AAGGTGAAAGCTCTAACAGTGAAGCAGAAAAATTAATTGAAATGTAGCCAGCTCAACTGATGATGAATCAGACACTGTGAAGGATGTGGACATCCATGGACAGTTTAGAATATTGTATGACAACTGGTTCTTAATGAGTAAGGAGAAGGTCTCATGGATGGAAGAAAAGTTAACACTTCAAGGTTAGAAGGAGAAGCTCAAAGGAGGCCTAGCTCTGGAAATTAAGAAGAACAGTGAGCTGACTCAAAAGTGTGGTTTAGAGGGGAAAAACAAACAGAGCTCTCACACAAGACTTGAGTGATACTCGGAAGAAGATACACATACTGAATAGTGTGACAAAGGATCTGGATAACATCTTAGTGTAACACCCCGATTTCATGAATATGGTGGTGCATGCAGAAAGGCTTAAAAGAATTGATTTGGCCACCTATGTCACAAAAGTGCACTTATCTTTTCGGTCAACTATCCTGAGAGAACTCCACAATTAAGCATGCTTGATCTTGAGCAATTTTAGGGTGGGTGACCTTCCGGGAAGTGATTGTCGGAACTATGTGAGTGAAGATAAAACACAGGGAAAGATCATGTGGTGATTTGTAGGGTTGGTAAACAAGTCTTTAAAGCCTCCCGAACGTAGCAAACGGGCCGTCGGAAGACAGTGGGCCCACATGCTGAGAGAAGACGTGGGTCCCAAACTAAAACAACTAAGCAAAAGGAATACTTAGAGCAAACTAGGAATGAGCAAACCACTGGGATAGAAGTCGACCACAACGGGTGAGGGTCTTGGTGCGCAACGAGGACGTTGCGATCTGTTAGTAACGGTGAATTGTAACACCCCGATTTCAGGAATATGGTAGTGCATGCGGAGAGGTTTAAAAGAATTGATTTGGCCTCCTATGTCACAAAAGTGCACTTATTTTTTCGGTCAACTGTCCTGAGAGAACTCCACAGTTAAGCGTGCTTGAGCTGGAACAATTTTAGGATGGGTGACCTTCTGAGAAGTTATTATCGGAACTGTGTGAGTGAGGACAAAACACAGGGAAAGATCATGTGGTGATTTGTAGGGTCGGTAAACAAGTCTTTAAAGCCTCTCGGACATAGCGAACCGGCCGTCAGAAGATAGTGGGCCCACGGGCCGAGAGAGGACGTGGGGCCCATTAAGTGAGGTGGCGGTGAGGGCATTACACTTAGGGTCTGGGAGAGTTGGAAAATCTAATTTTAGATTAGGCTATCATGGAGGTGAGACAAGTGGGAAGACAAATTTCGTTCCAAGAAAGGGTGTACATGCACGTCGTTATCAGTTTTTATTTCAAAACTACATTGGAGCTGTTCGAGCAAGACGTTTGCATCAGAATCATAACCATTATCACAGAGCAGTGACTGGGTATGAATGTTATTGATGTGGTCGTCATGGTCACATATAGATGTACTGCTACACATATGCAGCTAAATTGAAGAACCTAATGAGACATGGAAGGTTCTATCCACATTAGAGAAGAGAGTATAAAGTAAATGTTTGCAAAATCTGATATGTACTGCCATGTTGCATATACCTTAATTGAAAAAAGTATGACTAAGCTTTGGTACTTCGATAATGGAGCTTCTAGACATATCACATGGAATCAAGCCAATCTCAACAATTACACTGAAGTAAAAGAGAGCAAAGTCACGTTTGGTGGTGGAGAAAAGGAAAAGATTAAGGGCAAAAGAGACTTAACTGAAGCTAAAGAACCTCAACTCACCAATGTGTATATTGTTCAAGGATTAACAGTGAGCTTCAATAAAGTGAAATGTTGGACTACAGATGAGAAGAACCGCAATGCTCTCTCCGAAATCCGTACTGAGAACAATTGTTACATGTGGGAAAACCTAACTAAAACATGTTTTGGAGCTAAGAAGGATGATCTGGTGCTCTGCAATCAGCGACTTGGACACATGAATGCTAGAAGTCTCTCAAAGCTAGAGATGAAGATATCAACGACTTGGACACCTTAAATAGAAGCGATGCAAAGTGTTTAGAGATGATGATATTTAGTTCTTGACAATCAAAGACGAGATAAAAAAAATTGTGTCTCTCACCACTACGTATTAGTTGTTGCATTATGGTTTTTAAGATTACTATACCTTTGCTTATGTTAGGGTTTTTAATATTTCATTGGTTTTTAATAATTTTTTTATTTTTATATTATGTTTTCATATCAATGAAGAACATTTTTGATTTAATCAATAGGTCTTTATTTTATATAAATAATAATTTTTGACAATTTAAAAATAGCATTTGAGAAGACAATTTTTGAGTTTTTTGTGTATAAAAACAATTAATATAATTTAAAATAACTGTTATTATTAATTATAACTTATTAATGGCGATCACATTGCAAATTTTGAATATGTAAATATGGTAAAAGATAGACTATTAACATTGTTTGTGAGCCATAGTTGATAAAAGTAATGGTTGATTTTATGTTTTTTTGTAAGTAATAGGATGAATCCAAACATCATAGTTTTATAATTTGGTATGGCATTACACAAAATTTTGTAAATACTATATGCCAAATTTATACTTGGTATAATATAATCATTAACAAAGTCTATAAACTTCCTTAATGTTTAGGCCTATAAAACACAATTGCATAAAGAATTATAAAAGAAGAAGAAAAAAAATTGTTGAATGGTTGTTCTCCAAGCATAATCTTTCTCCGTTGTCAAATCTTTATTGATCTTGAAGATTTGGTCTTGAAGAATACACGTTTATCATTTTCAGTTTTATGTGATCATTTCGTAAAATATATTTATCTATATGTTAAAACATAATTTTGTAAACTAAAAATTGTTTGAATTTTTAATTCTTTTGATTATTCCACTCGGCCGATTAGTATATAGGTATTGATTGATATTTCTTTATCATATTAAAAATAAAAAAACTTAAGACAGTTAATATGTTGTATGATCTTATCGAATTGAATATTTTTCAGGGAAACCATGTCTCATGAATGGAGGTGGATGTTCTAGATTTTACCTTGACAACGCTCATCGAATTGAATTTATCCCCAAGAACCGAGTCTTTGACGAGTGGACAATTATTTACATGTCTCATGAGAAGAAGAGCGTCATGTCCAAGAAAGTAGCTCAGTCCAAGAGCAAAACAACCGTGTCGAGGAGAATGCCTAGGGAAAACCAAATTCCACACCTCGGAAGAGCTCACAGAGGAGCAGGAGGTGATCCCGAGACTTTGTTGCAATAGTGCAAAGACAACACTCATCAAATTGAATTTGCCCCCAAGAAGACAGTCTTTGACGAGTGGACAATTATTAAAATAATCTGGAGAAGAAGAGCGTGATATCAAAATTAACGTAAGAGTTTTGACATCAATATCTTTGGGATAATGGAAGGAGTTTCCAAATGAACATAATCTTTAAACTTCAATGTTTGGTAAAAATTGAAGGAATTTGCAAGTTAACATAACATTTAATTTTACAAGATCGTAAATATTATCGATGTTTAGTCTCCATATCTATGCCTACAATCTTTAATTTAATACTCCCTCTGTTTCAAAATATAAGAGGTTTAAGGTAAATGAACACATATTTAGATATTTTATTTTCTTTTAAAAACATCATTTATATTTAGTTAAAAAAAAAAACTCAATCATAATAATGACTGCAAAATATAAATAGTCATAAATGGTCAAATGCATTTAAATTAACTTTGAAACTTGTAAAACATCTTATAATGTGAAACAAAATAAAATCCCTAAAACATCTAATATAATGAAACAGAGGGAGTAATATATTGTTGGTTTAAATATATAGATTTTTTATATTTAATTCTATTATATATATCAAGATATAAACACTAATAAATTGTTTGTGATTAAAAAACACTATTAATTGTTGATTACTAATAATATATATCAAAAGTTATAGCGTTTTACCATAATTCTATATTAATGTCGTTATAAAAATTAGACTCTTGACAAAACTAAATCAATAAATATCCCTAACTTGATAACCCTAAATATTGATTAGTAATTCTGGTCTTAATCAACATACAACCCCACGCCGGGCGCGGGGACCTCCCCTAGTAAATATGTTATAAGGAGATACAATTTACAAAATATTTTTATACTAACTTTAAAATTAAATCATCCCGCGGTGTACCGCGGGTTAAAATCTAGTTATTTAGTATATTAGTAAAATATTTATTTTTAGTGTTATTCTTCTTAAGTTTGAAAATTTTGTTTAATATATCAAAAGTATTATTATATATCTCTAAGAATTTACAATAAAATGTTTTTGAATTTTAGTATTTTCATAGATAAAAAAGTGTTAACTAAGAAAATATAATACAAAAATATATAAAGGTATATATTTTATAGTTAATTGTACAAAATGTTATTTTCATAGATTAAGAACATAGTGTTACATATCTCTAGTTTATTACAAATTTTTTGTTTAGCTTTAGTTATAAGTTATAACACATTTTATTATGAAGAAGTATAAACCATCGGTCTTTTTTTTTTTTTTTTTGTCTTCGGCTACCAAAACTCTAGGCACAGCTTGATTCGGTAATTTTAATATTATCACAAGCATTGAACATTCGAAGTTGAAAGAAAAACAAAATCGCTGGATGGGTCTTGTTTATATGTCACTTGCTTATATGTATACATAGGCCTGGGCATTCGGATTTCAAATCGGATTCGGATCGGATATATTCGGATTCGGATAATTCGGGTATGAGAGTTTATTATCCGTTCGGATTTTATGAATTTTCGGTTCGGTTTCGGTTTGGATATATTCGGATTCGGATAATTTGGGTAGGAGAATTTATTATCCGTTCGGATTTTATGAGTCATCGGTTCGGTTTCGGTTCAGATAGGTGTCGGATTCGGATCGGTTTTTGGGAAAAAAAACTTAAAAATAGTTCAATGTTAATAAAAATTGGTTTAATCTCACTAAAATTTAATTAAATTTTGCAAAAATATGTATAATTTTAACAAATATAACTAAAATTTTTTCGAAATCTAGGATATTTAGGATATTTTTGTTATTTGCTATAAAATTACAACTAAATAGAACTAATATTTTTGGATATATAATTTTTATTTCCGGTTTTCGGATATCTTTTCGGTTTTCGGTTCGGATCGGATTCGGTTCGGGTAATTCGGATAGGAGAATTCATTATCCGTTCGGATTTTGTGACTATTCGGTTCGGGTTCGGTTCCGGATTTTTCGGATCGGTTTTCGGATTTCGGGTTTTATGTATAAACAAGTAAACATGAAGAGGTTTCCAAAACTTTAGTATTCAACATTTATGTTAAAGAAGTAAATTACTTGTTTATATCGACATATAAACAATAAACAATATAAACAAGTAATTAAAAAGAGAAAAAGTAAAATTTAATGACTTGCCAAACAAAGAAGTATTTCATTTATTTTAATTATTACATCTCAAAATATATCTATGACCTGTAGTTACTTATTAATTTCAAAGGAAACAAATTAATATATGTGAAAAAATAAAATTTGATGTAAAAAAAATTAAAAAAAAATGTCCATTTGGTAATTGAAAATGTTTACTCTAAGTGAAATAAATAAACTGTATAGTTTGCTTGCGAAAATTTAAATTATATTTACTAGAAATTAATTCTAATATTATATAATAGATTTATAAATAATTATCAGAAAATAGCTAGAACTGTTAAATTTCGCGCGTAATTCTTCGCGGGTCCGGTTGGGTCCGGTTCTTAATTTTAATTCAACAGATTACCTAAATTATAAATACAAAACATAAATCATAATATGGTTGCTATATATATATACCTACACTACATATTTTCAAACCAAGTGTTTTTGGAAATCTAATTAGTGGGTACCTGGAAAGATACGAAGAACATTTGTTATATATATATATGGTCAATTTGTGAGAAAAAACATAAGCAAAATAAGAAAAAGTGAGGGAAGAAGCAAGAAAAAATCACCAATTTACCTCAAAGTTTCCCAATGGATCTTTATCCAAACAAAACTAACAATGTTTCCTATGAGAGATCAAAATGGAAAGGTAAGGAGACGCTGATCATGACAATCCACAAACGCCATTTTAAAGAGACGGTTCATCGCCTCACCGGCTCTACCCAGGGCCATCGTTTTGATATGTCCCCTCCTCCGCCATTGGTTGTTAACAATTCCCGACCAAGTGTCTCTCGTATTACTACTCAACCTTATCGATTTCCTACGGTTTCGAGTACTACTAATGCCGTGATCCCCTCAACGGTTGAATCACTCAACACTCAACCTCCGTCTCCACCATATCTTCCTCTGTCACCGCCTTCTCATCGAGAACAAGAGTCAGTGGAAGCTCGGGTGGATACTATTTCGCAGGACTTTGAGAACAATATTATAGAAGACGATATGAACCATGAACAGTTGCATGGGTCTACGTTGCCTCCTCTGTTCGCAAATGGTGATGAGAACATTCCTCCTTCACCAGTTCAGCCTCATTCTCCAAACAATCAAGGATCAGAGAACATTACACCATCAGCAGTTCCAACGAGTGCACCGTTCAGATCTTTTGAGTGGCTTATGTCTCCTAATAATCTACAAACAGAGAACATTCTACAACCACCAGTTCCAACGACTTTACCGTTCGAATCATTAGATCAGGCCAATTCTATGAACGATCTACTATCAGAGGACATTCCTCCACCAGTTATGGTGCCTTCACCGTACGGATCTTTATATTGGCAAGTGCCAGATCCTCCAAACGGTCCACTCTCTCCGAGCTTGATTCAACGATCTCTCACACAAGTTCCGGAAACTTCACAGTTATGGAGTGTAGACTGGCCTAATCCTCTCAACGATATACGACCGGAGAACGTTCCACTACTGGTTCCGGCAGCTTCACCGCTATGGAGTCTAGACTGGTCCAACTTTCCGAATTATCTACAACCAGAGAACGTTCTACCTTTCGTTCCGGCGACTTCACCGTTAGACTGCCCAAATATCCAGAACAATCTACAAGAGAACGTTCCACCATTGGTTCCGGCGACTTCACCGTCAATGAGTCTAGACTGGCCTAATTTTCAGAACACTCCAGCACCAGTTCCGGCAGGTTCACCGTTATGGAGTCTAGACGGGCTTAACTATCCCAACTATCTACAACCAGAGAACCTTCCACCACTAGTTCCGGGGATTTCACCAGTAGAGTGGTCAAATTCTGAAAACAATCTACCACTGGAGAACGTTCCACCATTGGTTCCGGCGACTTCACCGTTAATAATCCGAGAAAACACTCCACCACCAGTTCCAGTGACTTCACCGTTAGGGAATCTAGAGTGGCCATTTGACCGATCAATATACCTCACCTGATATTCCTGTCATCTCTAACCTCTATGCCTTGGCCCATGAGGGGGCTGCTTCCAAACCTGAATCAGTGTTTTTTTTTTCATTTCTATTGTTGGTGTTCTTGGTTTATGTTTTTGTAACTTTTGCTGCTTTTGTTTCATGTTTCTGTTGTTATCTTCGTTTTTCTATGTGACAACTTCTTTGTGATCATTGCTTGTTTATCTTCGTTTCTCTTATGACAGTTTTTTTTTATTTTTTTAAGAACAATGATTTCATAACCGGTCAGGTCAATCAAGTCAACTCAACTATTTCCCTTTCAAGCAGAGAAAACAAACTATCGCTTGAAACATGTGACATATTTTTTTCTTCTCTAAATCACATGAAAAATCGCAAAAAGCTTTCATGATCTGAAACGATGGATCTACACGTCTAAAATTAAAATCCTTTATTCATTTACGATGCTTGAAAATTTTGAACTTTCAAACCAAAAGTGTCAAAAAAGGGTCAATATTTAGCTTGAAAAATCCTATATCAATATCCAAATTTTTTTTATTTGCTAAAGATCAATATCGAAAGTTAAATGTAAAAGGGTTTGTTGAAGGCATTACAAGTAAAAAATCTTATCAAAATTACTTTAATAATGAATATTACGTAGTTCAGTCTTATCAAAATTACTTTTTAAATGAATTTTATACATTTTTCCAACAACATTGTTTGATGTAAGTTCGTTAAAATTTCATCGATTAGGGAAGTTGTAGAGCGTGAAAACTACTCAAAAATATGCAAATTTATTTCATAGCTGAGGAATTTCATTAATCTAACAATACTTTGAATGTAAGTGGTTATCAAAAACATTTACTTCGTTATCACATCAAACATGTTATCTAATCTTTTTGAAATTTTGTTATTATAGAGGTACAAAAGAAGAAAGAAATCGATGTTATCCAGGATTGATAGTTCGACTTAGCTTTGATTTTTATGGTTGGAGTTTGAGAGCATTATAGACTTGTCCTCTTATAATTGTCTCAAAATGACTGATTGTTCCAGATCATATCTTGACTTCAACGTGTATCTCTCTACTTGCTACAATTGGTGATAACTAAAACCCAAAACTGTTCACAACATAAATAAAATCCAACCATCCATGATTTTATTAAGTCCAAAATGGAAATAATACTCACTAACAACATTAAAACAAAACCTTAAGCGTTCTTTTGACACAAGATTTGAATCAAAGATAAATGAGATTGTATTAAGTTCACACACACACATTTATGTAGATAGATATTATTATAAGCCAATGTTTATTTGATTAGACAGCAAAAGCCTGTTGAGACTTGATGCGTCTCTTTCTAAGACGTTCGGCGATGATGAAGGACAGCTCGAGAGACTGTGATGCGTTAAGGCGAGGATCACAGTGGGTGTGGTAACGTGAACCCAAGTCATCGAAGGTGACTGTGCGTGAACCACCGATGCACTCGGTCACGTTCTGACCGGTCATTTCTAGGTGAATTCCTCCTGGGTGGCTACCTTCTTGCTCGTGCACGTCGAAGAACGCTCTCACTTCAGCCTATATATTATCAATTAACATTAATTAGATGATTTGCAATAATACAAGTATAATAATTCAAGATTATCTTTTTCAAATCAAAATCAAACAATTAACTTTACTGAAATTGCTTAGTTTGGTATTTAATGTTTTTGAACATTCGCAGGACCACCAAACTTTAAAAAAAGCAGTTGTGTCAACTTTGGCCCAACCAAAGTCTGATTTTTTGTCATCTTTCACTATCTCACCTACTACCACAATCATCACATACTAATTATTTTACTATTTTGGAAAAAAAGAGAGACAATTATTCCTATTTCTATCATTTGCAATGATCAAAAGAACCTAAACAGTAGTAAAACAATTTGTAATCAATAGGGAGAGTTTTTATGAGTTAAAAACTTACCAAGATGGCGTCAAAAGGACGAGTCTTGAGACCACAAGGAGCCTTAATGGTGTTTCCGTGCATTGGGTCACTGACCCAAGTCACAATCTGTCCAGCGCGTCGCACAGCTCTGATCAAATGCGGAAGCTTCACTCTCATATTCTCAGCTCCCATTCTTGTGATTATGGTAATCCTTCCAGGCTTATTGTCAGCATTCAAGATCTCAATCAGCTTCACTAGCTCCTTTGGATCCATTTTATCACTCACCTATACAACAAATGATCTCAATCAGTCTCACTACGGTAAAACTAAAACCTGATATGTATTATAAGAAGAGTTGGGATAACAAACCTTGATTCCAAGAGGATTAGCAACACCTCTTAAGAACTCGACATGGGCACCATCGAGCTGTCTGGTTCTCTCACCAACCCAAATCATATGAGCAGAACAGTCATAGTAGAGACCAGAGGTCGAGTCTAGCCTTGTTAGTGATTGTTCATAAGGCAAGAGCAAACATTCATGAGAAGTCCAGAAGTCAGTTGTTTGCATTATGGGATGATCGAGTGTTAGTCCAGCAGCGTGCATGAAACCAAGCGCTTCATCAACACGGTTAGCTAGTTCACGGTACCTGCCAAACCAATATAACAGATTACCACACACACATACCCAAATTGTAGACAAAAATAACGAGACATCCTACATTTACTCGATAAGGTTGGAACAATGATTAGGCTTATCAGCTACTAAAAAAGGGAAAAACTTCCAAACTCTTTTTCGCATCCACTCCATAAATAAAAACCTAATTAGTTGATACCAAATAAGGTTAGGTATTCAAAAAGTGAACATTGCATCAAAATAAGCCAACACAAGCAATAAAAAGAATGTAGTCAGTTATATGATCCCCAAACTAGGCCTTAATGTTTCTTTACTTTTGCGTTTAGAATATCACAACACGAAAACGCAAACGCAAACACTCAGATCTTACTCACGACTACAACAAATCCCTAACTGTTTACATTCCACTAGACACAAACAATCAATCATCTAACTCTATGGCAACTAAGAGATCCATATCCAAAAGCTTTATAGTTTTGTTTAGTTACCTGTCTCCTTGCTCACTTCTTTCAGTGAAATCAAGATTCCATTGAGTAACTCTCTGCATAGCAGCATAACCACCAGTAGCAAAAGCTCTCAAAAGATTCAAAGTAGCAGCAGATTGACAATAAGCTCTAATCATCCTCTGTGGATCAGGAATCCTAGATTTCGAATCAAACGCATCTCCATTAATGTTATCTCCTCTGTAACTCGGCAATTTCACTCCATCTTTCTCCTCAAACGAATCCGATCTCGGTTTCGCAAATTGACCCGCCATTCTCCCAACCTAAAAACTCAAATCTCATCACACAAAATCCAAACTTTCTTCAAAAACGAATCAAAAGTCTTAACCTTTATTATACCTTAACAACAGGAACTTGACCTCCGAACATCAAAACAGCACCCATCTGAAGAAGAATCCTGAAAGTATCACGAATGTTATTCGCATTAAACTCTTTGAAACTCTCTGCACAATCTCCTCCTTGTAACAGAAACGCTTCACCCATCGCTGCTTGTCCTAAACGCTCCTCAAGCAATCTAGCTTCTCCGGCGAACACGATCGGAGGAAAAGCTTCGATTGTCTCGAGCACAGCTTCAAGCTCAGCTAAATCTGGATATTCCGGTTGTTGTAACGCTTTCTTCGTCCTCCAACTCTCTGGTGCCCATTTTCCTTTACCCACATTAACTCCAACGGTCTTCGTCAACGCTGCCGGAGTCGTCGCCGCCGCCGCCGCCGATGAAGCAGCTGGCGTTTTTGGGTCGGTTTGAACGGCGGAGATCCGGAAAGAAGTGGGTCTTGCGACGGCGGAGGAGAAGTTTGGTTGACGGTGGTTGATCATCGATGATTTGACCGATGATAGATTCATGGTTCCATTCATAAGCGCCATTTTTCGTTTACTTTGATAAAAAAAAAAAGTTTTGTTTTTTCAATTTGGGTTTGGTGTTGAGATTTCGACAAATGTGTGTGCGAAATGTTACACGAAACCTGAGAAGTGTTAAGATGAGAATTTGAGGGTTTTATAAACGAAATCGGAGATGGTGGTGGTGTTTGGTGAAGAAGAAGGCTAATGTGTTGTTGTAGTTGTGGTAGGTAATTTACTTGTAAGGGTATTTTTGGTAATTCCTATGTTTGGGATTGTTAGAAGGGTAAATTTGTCAATTTAGACTCAAACGATAACCGGCTAACGTGTCCGTAACCGGAAACGTACTTGGTTTAGCGTCGTGTTGAATGGCATGTGTAACGTTTGGTGAGAAATGTTTTATCATATTTTCTCTCTATTTTCTTGAAGCTTGTTTAATTTATTTTATAGAATTTGAGACTCATTTAGATTATCGAATAAGTTCTTTTATGAAAAATAGGTAACTAAAACTATATAAAAGAAAAGAGTATAATGATATTTTGAAGCAAAATTACGGTAAGATATTTTAAAGAGTTATATCAAACGTTGTTTGTTAAAAGGATCAAAAGTATTTTTCTTTAACCGCGTAGAGTCTTTATAAGTACAATTACAAACACGGCGTTGGTCGTGGACTCGTGGTCTTATATACATATTTAAGATAGTCATGGTCAAGATTTAGTATATTTACAAAAGTTGGTCGAATGTGGTGTTATATGAAAAAAACATGGGTGTAATTGTACATATTTGAAATAGTAAAAAATTAAATACATTTATAAGTAGATCGATTGATTATAAGTTAATAACCGATCGAGATTAAATGAGGCTGAGGAGTAAAGCTAGGTTATCTCACCTAACACCCGTCGTAAATGACGGAAGCCCACCATTCTAATTTCGCCAACTCTCACTTTAGTTATAATCTTATTTATTGTTTATTTGTAATTGTTTATCGTTTCAAGTCTATTCGGTTTGGACATATTATTATTTTTTACCAAACTTTTATTGTTGGTTAGTTTTACTAGTATTGATTGATAAGATTTGTTTCAATCTCATCCAATTCGTATGTGTTATTAACGACTAGTTCTATATTTGTAGACTGAAGACTGAAAAACTTTCCGCTCATATGATCATGCCTTCTCGAATACGATCAAGGACCACATTCAATGGACCTATTCTTGGTATTTGTTATAGGTATTATTAGTAAACGTGTTATGCAAATGGAATGGAAATGAAGAGCATATTCTTTTGTATTATTCCTGCTATAGATCACAAATTGGACCGTCAATGTAATATTGATCTGGTGAGGTCGACCCCACGGAGTCTTGTTCTTCAATATGTTGGTGGAAAGGAGAGAGGGAGAGAGACAAAATATTAGGTGTGTTGACTTTGGGGTTATGTGTTTATTAGAAAGATATTTAGTCATTAGCGATGACAAAAAAAGAAAAAAAAAAAAAAATTATACTTGTGATTTCTCAACTCCAATTTTGTTTCCTTTTCGACATTTTTTTTCTGCTGTTTGACTTTGACTGAAGTTGTGAGAAATAATGTATGACGAAATGTAGCCAGGGGCGGACCCACGTTGGGGAAGAGGGGTGCAGTTGCACCGGTTAAAATATAAAATGTTTTGATTATATATAGCATTTATTGATCTAAAGTGGTCTAGTGGTAAAGACCTCATCCCTTAAATATGAGGTGGATGGTTCAATTCTTCTTTACAACATTTTTTGCACCGTATAAATATTTTGGCTGGGTCCGCCCCTGAATGTAGCTACGACTAGAAAATGAATAGTGGAATTAACGTATTTGAGAAACAAGGCTTATGGATTAAATAAAGAACGTGCTTATACTGGACCATAAGGATATTGATAATCTCATACTAAGATTTGATGGGCTAAGAAAATCCATTGGGCCTAGTAGTCATGCTTCCTAAAACAGGGGACCATTCTATTCAGACCCTTCATCTTATGTTTGCGGCACATTAACATTCTCGTGTTTGCGGCACATTAACATTCTCGTGTTTGTGTTTCATACCGACCATATTTTTTCTATTTAGTTTATCCAATTCGCTTGTTCTGTCTCATCCGTTCAACCATTTATACCGTATACGACTAGTCTAGTACTCCACCAATTAATTTCATAATTGCAAATGAAAAATCGAGTCAAACCCTAGTCCAAAAGGGTAATTCGAACTTGGTTACAGATTGTATCCAAATTTCTTTGTCACGGACTCACGGAGCGTATATATTTTTCTTCTTTGTTACAGTGTATTAGGCGTGGGTTTTCCCCTGTTTTGTGGTTATTTTTCTTTGATGAAAGTTCCTTTGATAAATGGAATAGTGGAAAAGAAAAATTATAATTGTAAGAAACTGGAAATAAAGACAACAATTTTAGTGACGTCAAAAATAAAAGACATCAAAACACTTAAATTTCCCAACCTGTACCCGTACATGGACAAAACCTTAATAGTTCCAAAATTATTAAATTTCACAGAAAGTTAGAAACAACCAAAGGTATCCGCAAGAGGTAAAAATCTATAGGAAAATAAAGGCAAGTGGTCCACTCCCACGTCAATAGTCAACGTATTGCTCTGTCCGACATACTATACAATTGACACAATTTACCTCCTTATTAATCATGGATTAAAATAACTTTCTAAGTATGCTTATGCCTTGCACTTAAGGCGAAACGTTGAAAAATGTTAATTAAGCGGATATACTAAATTCCAGATTAATTATTCGGCTCAACGGTCACAAGCAAAAAGTAATTTGGAAAAAATTCCCTTGTAAAACGGATAGGCTCATAGGCACATGTGACAGGTGCCTTGGAAGGTATACTTGGAACGTGATCCTATATTTTGTTGCACGTATCCCTAAATGCTTAGATCCATTCGGCAAGTATGGCTTGTAGATTTTCTGCAGTACGCTCAGCATGTAGATGAACATTATCTTTTATTTGATTATTATGAATTTTACACATATAAATGGACAAATCCCGGCCTCGAAGTGGCTCATGGCAGGTTTGGATACTATTCACACGTGACGTAATTTGTGGACAACCACCAAGGGCAAGAAGTTATTAGTTTGGTCTCTTTTTTCTTCTCTTCTTTCTCTATAAAATGGCTTATTATGCCAAAGACAAACCAAAGCTCACATTTGTTTATTACAAAAAGAGGAAACTCACAATTGTCTTCGCGGAAGAGATAAATAAAAATGGGATCTCAGATCGTTCATAACTCACAAAAACCACATGTAGTTTGTGTTCCATATCCGGCTCAAGGCCACATCAACCCTATGATGAAAGTGGCTAAACTCCTCCACGCCAGAGGCTTCCACGTCACCTTTGTCAACACTGTCTACAACCACAATCGTTTCCTTCGTTCTCGTGGGTCTAACGCCCTCGAGGGGCTTCCTTCGTTCCGGTTTGAGTCCATTCCTGACGGTCTACCGGAGACCGACATGGATGCCACGCAGGACATCACAGCCCTTTGTGAGTCCACCATGAAGAACTGTCTCGCTCCGTTCAGAGAGCTTCTCCAGCAGATCAACGCCGGAGATAATGTTCCTCCGGTGAGCTGTATTGTATCCGACGGTTGTATGAGTTTTACTCTTGACGTTGCGGAGGAGCTTGGGGTCCCGGAGGTTCTTTTTTGGACAACCAGTGGTTGTGCGTTCTTGGCTTATCTACACTTTTATCTCTTTATCGAGAAGGGTTTATCTCCGCTAAAAGGTACGTACGTGTTCTTACGTTGATTATTGACTTAATTGACGTTATAATATTAAATTTAACGTAAGAACCCTTAAAACACGACGAGCATGGTGAGTTTTTAATATACGAGATCGTTCGTATATGGAATATATAATATCCATTTAGCTATCACATTTAGCGAAGCCATAGACTATAATATCCTAATTGATCCACCCGTACGAACGAGACCGGTCAAGATGGTCATGTTGTAATATATACTAAAATTTTATACAATTGTTACATTGTAGCCTAGGTTTTTGAGCATTACCAAATACGTAGTATCAAGAGAAATGTCCGTATTTTAATATATACATAACGTAATGAATGTTTTGATATATTATTAATTTCTACGCGTTTGCAGTTTTCTTGTAATTTAATAAGAGAAAATATCACTGTTGATTTGATTAAAAGCATTGATATCTTTCTAACCTTCCGCTTCCCCTATCCGCTAGTCAATTTTGAGTGACATTAAGGATTTAACGGAAATCCCATCATATTTTGTTAAGAGATGTGTAGATTTTTAACTTTGATTACAAATTAGAATCGAGTAAAATAAAATGTTCTAAATTCAATTTTGTGTTTTGCATAAGATTTTTTGTTAACTTATCTAAAAATTATATGATATTTTCAAACGTCGCCTTTCTATAACTTTCATTATTTATTTTGAAAGTAAACAATAATATATTTGATATTTTTGAAAGTATCATTAATATTTGTGAAAAGCCTCGAAATCTTAAAAGAGAGATTTTAAATAGTAGTAACAAATTTTAGGTGAGCTAAACCGTATATAAAAGGTAGGTTATTTACAGTATATGTGTAAAGATTCTTTTGTTTGTGTTGGTTCCAATTTGACCTTTAATAACATAGATGCATAAGGAAATTTGATCATGACAACAAAAAGATAACCAGTATTGCCCAGAAAAAAGAGAGAGAGAGAGAAAGAGAGGGCAAACTTGTTGACAAAATAAATAAATTTGAGTAATATCCAAACATGAAAGTGAGATAAACCCTTAAAAATCAACGCAATTAGACATATCATTGTCCAGGGACCAGGCCACTCTGTCTTTCGGTCATATTCATAACTCCTTCTGGCTCTGAAGTTACTCAATGAATGCCGTATCCTATAGAGTCATATAGACGTAGACGCTTATTCGCTTATGTAAATGCGTCAAAATTTTGAAAAATGGGGTGCCTAAATATTTATTAACTAATATCGGAGACTAATCTTTATTTATAAATGGTGATTGTTTTGGCAGATGAGAGTTACTTGACGAAGGAGTACTTAGACGACACGGTTATAGATTTTATACCAACCATGAAGAATCTCAAACTAAAAGATATTCCTAGCTTCATACGTACCACTAATCCTGATGATGTTATGATTAATTTCGCCCTCCACGAGACCGAGCGAGCCAAACGTGCTTCTGCTATCATTCTAAACACATTTGATGACCTTGAGCATGATGTTGTTCAGACTATGCAGTCCATTTTACCTCCGGTTTATTCAGTTGGACCGCTTCATCTCTTAGCAAACCGGGAGATTGAAGAAGGTAGTGAGATTGGAATGATGAGTTCGAATTTATGGAAAGAGGAGATGGAATGTTTGGATTGGCTTGATACTAAGACTAAAAACAGTGTAATTTACATTAACTTTGGGAGCATAACGGTTTTGAGTGTGAAGCAGCTTGTGGAGTTTGCTTGGGGTTTGGCGGGAAGTGGGAAAGAGTTTTTATGGGTGATTCGGCCGGATTTAGTAGCTGGAGAGGAGGCAGTGGTTCCACCGGAGTTTTTAACGGAGACGAAAGACCGGAGTATGCTAGCGAGTTGGTGTCCTCAGGAGAAAGTTCTTTCTCATCCGGCGATTGGAGGATTCTTGACGCATTGCGGGTGGAACTCCATATTGGAAAGTCTTTCAAGTGGAGTTCCAATGGTGTGTTGGCCATTTTTTGCTGACCAACAAATGAATTGTAAGTTTTGTTGTGATGAGTGGGATGTTGGGATTGAGATAGGTGGAGATGTGAAGAGAGAAGAAGTTGAGACGGTGGTTAGAGAGCTCATGGATGGAGAGAAAGGAAAAAAAATGAGACAGAAGGCGGTAGAGTGGCGGCGCTTGGCTAGGGGAGCGACAGAGCATAAACTTGGTTCCTCCGTGGTGAATTTTGAGACGGTTATTAGCAAATATCTTGTGGGACAAAAATAACAAGATTAACTAAAAGATAAGATGATCACCGAAATATATTATTTCTATAATGATTACTAAGTAAGTGTTTATTTTTTTTCTATTATGTGGTCCATTTTATAAGATGTTTTAGAATTTCTTTTATGTTTCATTTTTTTCTTTTCAAATTTCAACCATGGTTTTCTTTCCTTGTTAATTTGAATTGAGAATATTCTAGCAAGTTGATCTGAGACTTCATGGCAATGCTATCGTTATCAAATTTGAATTGAGAATATACTATTCATTGGTGAAATAATGGTAAAAATTAAAATTTATTCTTAATTTATGGTTAGTGTAGAGAATTCGTTCTAAGTAATTAATAGATCAGGCCATCAGGGTATCAATTTTGACACTTCAAATAAAATCTTGATGAAAATTACTTTTCAGTCCAATCTTTACCTCAACCATCAGTTTGTTACTGCTTTGTTCACATCATCACCTAATAGTGGTCATTAATTACTCATAATTATTACGTCTTGAAAATGCGTTCGCTCATCTTCTTTTGTAGATTAATTATTCGGCACAAGCGAAAAAAGATACATACCTTACCTTGGCACATGCCTTGTCTTCACAAATATATGAACTCATAATTGAAAACCTAAAGTTCGGTTTATGAAGCATGAATCATAATTGTTTAGGTTACAAAGCATAATTGTCATTTATTAAGCGAGGGGTGATGTCTTGAAATTCTAAAGTTTGTATTCGAGTTATTTTTAGTGTTTTGTTTGTAAGAGTATAGTATATATTGATTTTCTTTTTTAAAATATATTAACAACTTATCCTTTCATTCGGTATATTTTTGGTATTTCAAATGAATTTTTCTTTTGCAATTTCAATACAACTTGGATGAAATCATTCAGGTCACAGTACCATTCTAGGATTTGGACGGTTTTGTCGTTTTTATTCGTAGACAAGCTTCATCAATTACTATGACCCCACCGAAGTTTTTGTTCGGATTGTGATATAGATATCGTTTATAAATTGAACCGTAGGTGTCCACTTCGCAGCAGTCAATTTAAAACTTTTAACAATGCTTTACCGGATAACCAAAAACATGTCCGATCCGTATCCAAAAAGTTATTTATAACATGTGTTACTAGCTACTTAATCATATTGATTGATAATGATAAAATCCAATCATTACTGATTCATTGTACCGTAGTCAAAAACTAATGTCTGATTTTCGCTAAATGTTTTATAGTTAAGTTTATAGGTTTACATTTGCATCTAAAAAAACAGTTTGACATAATGTAGTTTAGTACGTATAGATAATATATATGTGTGTTGATTCTAGAAAAAAACACATGTATATCATAGATAATTTGTTTCTTAAATTTTGTTAACGGAATAAGTTTAAATTCAAAATTTGAGCTTTTCCCAGTTTAATATTGTATAATTTTAAATCATAATCATAAGTTTTAGCTTTCTTTAAAAAAAAAAACAGAGGATTATGAACTTGTGGATTTTATATAAATTTATTCGTAAATATATGGACATATTCGAGCCTCGAGATGGTTCAAATAGCCACGTGCGATAAACAGATGCGCTCACCGTTTTCCTATAAAATGGCGTACCTCAAAGCTTAAGCTAAGCCTACACTAGAGTGAACCGTACCTAGTTAGATCATATTTTGTCTTTTGGCAAAAGAGAGATAGAAAATGGGATCTCATGTTGTTTGTAACGCACAAAAACCACACGTAGTTTGCGTGCCTTACCCGGCTCAAGGCCACATCAACCCGATGCTGAAAGTGGCTAAACTCCTCCACGTCCGAGGCTTCCACGTCACCTTCGTCAACACCGTCTATAACCACAACCGTCTACTCCAGTCCCGTGGGGCAAACGCACTCGATGGACTTCCTTCCTTCCGGTTCGAGTGCATACCTGATGGTCTACCTGAGAATGGCGTGGACGCCACGCAGGACATCCCTGCCCTTTGCGAGTCCACAATGAAAAACTGTCTCGTTCCGTTCAAGAAGCTTCTCCAGCAGATTAACACCAGTGAGGATGTCCCTCCGGTGAGCTGTATTGTATCAGATGGTTCGATGAGCTTTACTCTTGACGTTGTGGAAGAGCTTGGTGTCCCGGAGGTTATTTTTTGGACCCCTAGTGCTTGTGGCTTCATGGCTTATCTACACTTTTATCTCTTCATCGAGAAGGGTTTATGTCCAGTAAAAGGTACGTATTCTGCATTAATTATTGAATTAATCGACGTTATAACATTAAAGTTCACGTAAGAACTCTCAGGGCATGTGCAGTGGGACGTTCTCACAAGTATTCTCAAGAATATAAAAAATGAAAATAATAAAAAGTAAGAGAGAGACATGAGCATGGGTTCTCATATGAGAACTTTTGAGAACCTCTTAAGAGACTCATGTCACACATGACAACATGTAATTGGTTTAAAAAAAAAATTATTACTTAAAATTTAATTATACAATTAAACTAATTTATGTATATTATAATAATATATTTTGAGAGACTTTGAGAGAACTTCCCACTGCACATGCTCTTAAGACACCATGAGCTTGATGAGTTAATTATCATTTAAGAAGTCGTTCAGCAATTAGGCCAACATCACTCTCTAGATCACTTTGTTTGCAATTAGGCCTAGAAAACGATGTTGGCCGAGAGAGTGGTACGAATGAAACTAGAACTCTTACTTAAACAATAAAGTAAAGTAAAGTGTGATGGATTTTGCAGATGAGAGTTGCTTGACGAAGGAATACTTGGACACAGTTATAGATTGGATACCGTCAATGAAAAATCTAAAATTAAAAGACATTCCTAGTTTCATACGTACCACTAATCCTAACGACATAATGCTCAACTTCATTGTCCGTGAGACATGTCGAGCCAAACGCGCCTCTGCTATCATTCTCAACACGTTCGATGATCTCGAGCATGACATTATCCGGTCTATGCAATCTATTTTACCACCGGTTTATCCAATTGGACCGCTTCATCTCTTAGTAAACCGGGAGATTGAAGAAGATAGTGAGATTGGAAGGATGGGATCAAATCTATGGAAAGAGGAGACTGAGTGTTTTGATTGGCTCGATACTAAGGCTCCAAATAGCATTGTTTATGTTAACTTTGGGAGCATAACAACAATGACCACGACACAGCTTGTGGAGTTTGCTTGGGGTTTGGCGGCAACGGGAAAGGAGTTTTTATGGGTGATGCGGCCGGATTTAGTAGCTGGAGAGGGGGCAGTGATTCCGTCAGAGGTTTTAGCGGAGACAGCGGATCGAAGAATGCTGACAAGTTGGTGTCCTCAGGAGAAAGTTCTTTCTCATCCAGCGATAGGAGGGTTCTTGACGCATTGCGGGTGGAATTCGACGTTAGAAAGTCTTTCATGCGGAGTTCCGATGGTATGTTGGCCATTTTTTGCTGAGCAACAAACAAATTGTAAGTTTTCTTGTGATGAATGGGAGGTTGGGATTGAGATTGGTGGAGATGTGAAGAGGGAAGAGGTTGAGGCGGTGGTTAGAGAGCTCATGGATGGAGAGAAAGGAAAAAAGATGAGAGAAAAGGCGGAGGAGTGGCAGCGCTTGGCGGAGAAAGCCACCGAGCTTCCATGTGGTTCGTCGGTGATAGGTTTTGAGACGATTGTCAACAAGGTTCTCTTAGGAAAGATCCCTAACACCGATCATAATTAATTGAAAACGTAAGATTATCATAAAAGTTTACCAATAATTATCAATAAGTAAATGCTTTCATTGTTTTCATCGTGTGTAATACTACCCCAGACTAGTAAAGTGGAAGTTGACTATTGGTAAAGCCAAGTTTCTAATAAGCATTGAAAGAAAAGAAAATTTCTGCTTCGCCATGGACTGTTATAAAGTATCCAAATCGAACAGAGTAATTAGTATTATTAATCAAATTGGGTCAATATAATCTATCTTCTCTTGTTTTGCTCTGGTCTATGATCCAATAAATTACGGATCCTTGATTTGGAATTCCTTTAGATAAATATTATAAAAATAAATATAAGGAGACCCCATAATAGAAATTAAATGAGATGGTACTTAGAATACATGGATCAGTTTATGCTAATTTATTTTAAACTTAAAACTCATAAAATTGATATAGTTATCAATCCAAGTAGGATATCCAAATAGAAAATGTTGTCTCACATAATGAAGTTAGGTTCAAGATGGATCGGAAGGCCCCTTCACAAGGATCCCATATAAAATATAGTTTCATAACAAATTTCCTATTAACATAAAAAAAATCCTAGATACAAAAAGTATAGAGTATTATTTAAAAAATTTGGAAGAAAAATATAAATTTATAAAAAAAAAAGAAAAATATAAATTAAAACTATGTAAAAGCACCATCATTGGTGGTATCTTAGATGGTTCTTAGCTTATTATCTTAGAATTAAACATTGAAAAATAAATCAAAACAGATTAAAATGCTAAGATTTGACTCTTAACTTGCAAAAACCAAAATTTTAATCTTAAACAATATTAAGAGCTAAAGTTAAGAACCCACCGTTAATGATGGTCTTGAACTAGTTAAACTCTATCTCACCCTAAGAAACATTTCTTTCACGAATTATTGCCTTATAGGACCACTAGTTTGGCTTTTATTTGACCAACGTCCAAGTAGATCGATAAACATTTATCTTCTGGCTGGCAGTATATCAATTATACAAATATCGCGAGATTGCTCATGCCCAGGGGTATAGGAAATCTTCGCACGTGGCAAAGATTTGTCGACAATCTCTACGTGCGAGAATCATGGTCTCGCCATCTCATTGTGGAGTCCTATAACGCCTAGCGAAATTGTTCCCAGATCATTCACATAGTTGTATGTGTGGCCTGTTTGATAAGATCAATCACATACATATCCATCTTTATTTTGTTTTTTCTTTGGCATACAAGAAAAGAAAATGGCATCTCATGCCGTTTCTAGCGGAAAAAAACCACACGTAGTTTGCGTCCCTTTCCCAGCTCAAGGCCACATCAATCCGATGCTCAAAGTGGCTAAACTCCTCTATGCCAGAGGCTTCCATTTTACCTTTGTCAACACCAACTATAACCACAAACGTCTCATCCGGTCACGTGGTCCCAACGCCCTTGACGGGCTTCATTCTTTCCGATTTGAGTCCATCCCTGACGGTCTACCGGAAACCAACAAGGACGTCATGCAGGATGTCCCTCACCTTTGTGAGTCCACCATGAAAAATTGTCTAGCTCCTTTCAAGGAGCTTCTCTGGCGGATCAACACCCGAGAAGATGTTCCTCCGGTGAGCTGTATTGTATCCGACGGTGTGATGAGCTTTACCCTTGATGCAGCGGAGGAGCTTGGAGTCCCGGATGTTCTTTTTTGGACACCAAGTGCTTGTGGCTTCTTGGCTTATCTACACTTCTATCGCTTCATCGAGAAGGGGTTAATTATCACCACTAAAAGGTAAGTACAAAGGTTATATTATTATTTCATTAATAATTTAAACTATATATATATGATACCTAGAACAGAGGTGATATCTATATATATAGTCATATAGATATGTATTAAGTTATCAATTTCTAGGCCTTTTTCTGTCATTGTTAGGGCGACCAGCAATCACTATTCTTAATCTGAAATTAACTATAGTATTGATATAAATTAAAAGCACCAAAATTTGCATATAATACGGGGATTTAATGTTTTTCGTAAATATTGAGATATTGAATTATTACTTATAAAATGTTGGTGGATTTTGGCAGATGAGAGTTACTTAGCCACAAAAATAGATTGGATACCATCGATGAGGAACCTAAGACTTAAAGACATCCCAAGCTTTATCCGTGCAACTAATCTTGAAGACATAATGACTTTTTTGCCCATGAGGCCGACCGAGCCAAACGTGCTTCGGCTATCATTCTCAACACATTCGATAGTCTTGAGCATGATGCCATCCAATCTATTCAATCTATCATTCCTCAAGTGTACACTATTGGACCGCTCCATCTACTAGTGAATCAGGAGATCGACGAGGAAAGTGACATCGGACAGATGGGAACGAATATGTGGAGAGAAGAGATGGAGTGTTTGGATTGGCTCGATACTAAGTCTCCAAACAGCGTCGTTTATGTTAATTTCGGTAGTATAACAGTGATGAGTGCGAAACAACTCGTGGAGTTTGCTTGGGGTTTAGCAGCGACCAAGAAAGATTTAGTAGCCGGTGATGTGCCAATGCTTCCGCCAAAGTTTCTATTAGAGACGGCTGACCGAAGGATGCTAGCAAGTTGGTGTCCTCAAGAGAAAGTTCTTTCTCATCCGGCAATCGGAGGGTTCTTAACGCATAGTGGATGGAACTCGACTTTGGAGAGTCTCTCCGGTGGAGTTCCAATGGTGTGTTGGCCGTTCTTTGCGGAGCAGCAAACCAATTGTAAATATTGTTGTGATGAATGGGAAGTGGGGATGGAGATCGGTGGAGATGTGCGGAAGGAGGAGGTTGAGGAGTTGGTTAGAGAACTAATGGATGGAGACAAAGGAAAGAAAATGAGAGAGAAGACCGAGGAGTGGCGGCGCTTGGCTGAGGAAGCGACGAAACATATGTGTGGTTCGTCGGAACTAAAGTTTCAGATGGTCGTTGACAAGGTTCTTTTAGGGGGAGTAGAGAGACTACATGGAGACTACAATTTACTTTAAACATATGATCTTTAGAAAATTATGTTATGTATAATTAAATAAATAAAGTATTATTTCATATATAATGATAAACCATACTATCTTTCTTTTTTCAACAGTATATATTATGTATGCTTGAATTCAAATAATAACGCAACAACCTCACTAATCATTGGCCTTATTTTATGTTTTGGCTTGAGTGTTGAAATATGCCACTAGTTTTGACATTTATTTCACCTACACACTTCAGTAAAATCTCACTTTTGAATAAACAATATTATCCTTTGTTAGGCTCACACATAATAAATGCACAAATTCGGCCTCGAGATCGCCCATCCCACCTATGGGAAAAATCTTCACATGTGAAGCAGATCTTTCGAGATTTCCCACGTGGGAAAATCATAAAGTCGAGCCGACTCATTGTTAAATACCTTTCTATAAAACGGAGTCCTATAAGCGTAAAGGAATCATTCCTATCAATCACAAATACAAATCCACTTTCATAATTTTCTCGGCATAAGAGAGAAAGAAAATGGGATCTCATGTAGCCCAAAAACCACACGTAGTTTGCGTGCCTTATCCGGCTCAAGGCCACATCAACCCTATGATGAAAGTGGCTAAACTCCTTTACGCTAAAGGCTTCCATGTTACCTTCGTCAACACCGTCTACAACCACAACCGTCTCCTCCGGTCCCGTGGGTCTAACGCCGTCGACGGGCTTCCTTCTTTCCGGTTTGAGTCCATCCCTGACGGTCTATCGGAGACTGACGTGGACGTCACTCAGGACATCCCTACTCTTTGCGAGTCCACAATGAAGCACTGTCTCGCTCCGTTCAAGGAGCTTCTCAGGCAGATCAACGCCGGGGATGATGTTCCTCCCGTGAGCTGTATCGTATCCGACGGTTGTATGAGCTTCACACTTGATGCTGCGGAGGAGCTCGGTGTCCCGGAGGTTCTTTTTTGGACAACCAGTGCTTGTGGCTTCTTGGCTTATCTTTTCTACTATCGCTTCATCGAGAAGGGATTATCGCCGCTAAAAGGTAAGTTTGTATTATTATTGTTTGATTGACGATTTGATCCGTGTTTTTAATACTGATTTAAACCGTGTTATTATATTAAATTTAACGTAGAAACGAGACATCAAGATATCATATATTTTACGTGTATATATAAAACAGACGAACCAGATTAGTCAAGGTGAACAAGTTGCTAGCTTTTATCTATATAAATTTCGTAACTGGAGTGCTAGTTATATATAGGGTTTTGGACTTTACCAAAGAGGCCCGCATAGAGATCCCAACCACAAATTATTGTACTTATTATATACTCCAAAAAAGAGGTCCACAATAGGGACCCCTGTTCTAAAAATCCCCGCCTAGCCCCGATTACTCCCCGCTTAATCGCTAGGTTCATTTTATCCGCCTCGATTAATGACTAATCCCCTAAAAAATCAGTAACCCGATTATTCTCCGCCTAATCCGATTACTTCCCGCCTAATCCGATTATTTTCCACCTAATCTTATATACCCCGATTACTTTTTAGATTGCAAGTATAAAAAAAACCTTTTATTTTTGTTATTCAATCATTTGAATGGAGAGTTTGTGATGTTTTACAATAACTTGTGTTCAAATTTTAATAAAAAATCATAAATTTGTAATAAAAATCATAAATTTTTACAATATTGGATTAATATATTTTAAAAATATTAAAATAACCCTAAAACTAATCCCCGATTAATCTCCGATTTTAATCCGATTTTCCGATTAATCGCTAGGCCCATGCCGAGCGTCCGACTAGCGCCTAGCGATTTTTCAAACAAGGATAGGGACAAATGATAAATTTGAGAAAAAGAAAAAAAAATTATCCATGAATTTGTATTTTCTCAAAAAAAAAAAAAATCATTTCCATACTTTTGTACAAACCAAATACCGATAGTGAAAAAAATAATACAAACCAATAAAGAACAATGGTCATAAATTACGTCAATTTACACAAACTAAATAAACTTTGTCAACAACATAAAGTATTATAGATTGGGTTAAAACTTATACATTGTCAAACCCAAACGGTTTCTATATGTTAAAAACAAACTGTAAACCAGAACTTTCAATCGAATAAAGACGAATCCAAAAACAAATCATATCCTTTTAGTTTGTTCGATTCTCCTACTTGAGGCACTAAAAATCACAATGATTACGAAACATAATAGTCATATATGGTGGTTCCCTACCGAAAATATTTTTATTTTATTCTTTATAACTAGAAGTAGGATAACTTGCAAGAGGAAAAAAAAAATCAAACTAGGTAAACTAAAATAAAATTTAAAATCCAAAAGAGAGCACATACTTGAAGAAAAGTAAACTCTATGCAATTAGCCAAATACTCCATATACATTGTATGTAGACAACTTTTTGTCTGACATTGTTGACCTCTAATAGCCTTTTCTGGCTCTGATAATTACACTATCAATGTAAATGCATCAACTATTGCATATTAATACGGTGCTTTGAATTACGTAATCTTGAGATGATATTGAGTTATAAGTTATAACTAATATTATGGTGGTGGTGGGTTTGGCAGATGAAAGTTACTTGAACAAGGAACACTTAGACACAAAAATAGATTGGATACCATCGATGAAGAACCTAAGACTAAAAGACATCCCTAGCTTCATCCGAACAACTAATCCTGACGACATCATGCTCAACTTTATCATCCGCGAGGCTGACCGAGCCAAACGTGCTTCAGCTATCATTCTCAACACGTTTGATGATCTAGAACATGACGTTATCCAATCTATGCAATCTATTGTACCTCCGGTTTACTCAATTGGACCGCTACATTTACTAGAGAAACAAGAGATCAGTGAGGATAGTGAGATCCGACGGATGGGATCGAATTTGTGGAGAGAAGAGACTGAGTGTTTGAATTGGCTAAATACTAAAGCTCGAAACAGTGTTGTGTATGTTAACTTCGGGAGTATAACTGTGTTGAGCGCGAAACAGCTTGTGGAGTTTGCATGGGGTTTGGCTGCAACGGGGAAAGAGTTTTTGTGGGTTATCCGTCCAGATTTAGTAGCCGGGGATGAGGCAATGGTCCCACCGGAGTTTTTAACGGAGACAGCGGACCGAAGGATGTTGGCAAGTTGGTGTCCTCAAGAGAAAGTCCTTTCCCACCCGGCTATTGGAGGGTTCTTGACGCATTGCGGGTGGAACTCGACGTTGGAAAGTCTATGTGGCGGAGTTCCGATGGTGTGTTGGCCGTTCTTTGCAGAGCAACAAACTAATTGTAAGTTTTCTTGTGATGAATGGGAGTTGGGGATTGAGATAGGCGGAGATGTGAAGAGGGAAGAGGTTGAGGCGGTAGTTAGGGAGTTGATGGATGGAGAGAAGGGAAATAAAATGAGAGAGAAGGCAGGAGAGTGGCGGCGATTGGCAAAAGAAGCAACGGAGCATAAGCATGGTTCTTCTAAATTGAATTTTGAGATGGTCGTTAATAAGATTCTTTTAGGGGAGTAGAGACTACATGGAGACAACCCTATAATTTATTATGAACAAGTGTTTGTTTCAGTTCTTTCAATTGTCTTTGACGATATCCTAAATTACCATATTGGATTGACATTTCCTAATAAATTATAAAATATAGTTGTGTATATGAGTGATGAACGATGAACGTTTATTTATATTCTATAAAATTATTTGTAAAATTAAATAGTATAAAATTTATCCGCGTATAACATGAGTTTTTACCTAGTTTTTAATAAAAATACTTTCTGTATTTTGTATTAAATTTTGTTTTGATAAAAATGTTTTATTTAATATAAATTTATGTAATGGTTTAAAATTTACTGTTTCGGAAAATAATAGTTGTTTTCCTTAGTTGTCTTTATACTAATAAATGATTAATTATTTGATTATTTTCTTTTTATGATAAATACAGGTAGAGTTATGATAGGTATTTTATTCAAATGAAATAGACAGAGCTAGTAATTGATAAAAATAAAAATACACCTTTAAATGGAATAAAATTATTAACAAGTACATATAATGAAATAGACAATGTTGTGGCCTCTCATTATCTTTAACATCCTGTACATATATATAAACGCCTACCGACTATCGAGTCGTGTCCACTTCCATCACTATCTTTTTCTTGCTGAAGTTTAGAAAAAAAAAATGGCATCTCCTGCCCTCCGTAGCACACAAAAACCACACGTAGTTTGCGTGCCTCACCCGGCTCAAGGCCACATCAACCCGATGCTGAAAGTGGCTAAACTCCTCCACGCCAGAGGCTTCCACGTCACCATCGTCAACACCGTCTATAACCACAACCGTCTCCTCCGGTCCCGTGGGCCCAACGCACTTGACGGCCTTCCTTCGTTCTGATTCGAGTCGATCCCTGATGGTCTACCGGAGACGGATGGAGATAAGACGCAAGATATCCCCGCCCTTTGTGTGTCCACGGAAAAGAACTGTCTCGCTCCGTTCAAAGAACTACTTCGGCGGATCAACAATAGAGATGATGTTCCTCCGGTGAGTTGTATTGTATCGGACGGTGTGATGAGCTTTACTCTTGACGCAGCAGAGGAGCTCGGTGTTCCAGAGGTTATTTTCTGGACAAACAGTTATTGATTTAAACACTTGAGATTGCAAGATTATAAAAGACTTCTTTCTTTTATTACTTTAAGAAACTCTCTCAAAACTTAAAGTTCTCTCAATCTCTCTTAAAACTCATAAGGTTAACCACACCATTGGCAACTCTTATATAGAGACTTGATTTGATAACTCCAAATCAAACTAGGACTAAGTTTAGATATCTCCTAAACAATATCTAGATAACTCCTAAATATTCCCAATATTATCTCTTCCTTTATTTTAGTAACTTCAAGCTCAAGTTACTCTTCAAGCTTATCAACATTCTCCCCCTTAAGCTTGAAGTCAATCTTTGACACTTCTTGAACTCCAACAAGATCTCGCATTTCCTTGAACTTAACCCTCCCGAGAGCTTTCGTCAAAATGTCCGCCTTTTGTTCCTCTCCGGGAACGTGTTCCACTTCCACTTGCTCATTCTCGACACATTCACGTATGAAGTGGTATCTCTTATGAATGTGCTTGCTACGTCCGTGAAACACCGGGTTTTTGGCGAGAGCTATAGCAGATTTATTGTCAATCAATAGCTTTACCTTTTCGCATGATTCACCAACAACTTCACTAAGAAGCTCTTGAAGCCAAATTGCTTGTTTAGCTCCTTCGGTTGCTGCCATGAATTCGGCTTCACATGAAGACAATGCCACTGTCTCTTGCTTTTGTGTACACCAAGTGATGGGATATTCATCGAGATAGAAGATGTGTCCGGTTGTGCTTTTGCCGTCGTCTTCGTCCACATTATGGCTGCTGTCGCTATATCCAACAAGTCCTGACTTGGTTCCACGAGCAAAAAAGAGACCATAGCTTTGTGTTCCTTTGAGATACCTAAGGACTTGTTTTAATGCTGCACCATGTGATTCTTTTGGCTCATGCATGTATCTACTAAGTACACCAACAGAGTATGAGAGATCCGGACGTGTATGGAGTAAGTATCGTAGACATCCTATGCTTCTCCGATATTCCTTCTCATCAATAGCCTTTTCTATTTGTGCCTTAGACAGTTTCAGTCCTGAGTCCATTGGTATATGAACTGCATTGCATTCTTCCATCTTGGTTTCTCCCAATATTTTTCCCGCATATCTTTCTTGTTTCAAAATTATGCCACCATCATGTTGAGTAACTTCGATGCCAAGATAGTAAGATAACAGTCCTAAATCACTCATTTCAAACTTAGTGGCCATTCCTTTCTTGAAATCTAGTATCAAGTTCAAATCCGAGCCTGTTACCAACAAGTCATCGACGTAAACAGCTACAATGAGAAGATGCTTGCTGTCTTGCTTGCGATAAAGAGACGGTTCTTTTGAGCACTTGACAAACTTCAACTCCTTAAGAATTTCATTTAACTTGTTGTTCCAAGCCCTCGGTGCTTGTTTCAACCCATAAAGAGCTTTGTTCAACTTGTAAACTTTTTCTTCACTTCCTTTAGTTATAAATCCTTCTGGTTGAGAGACATAGACTGTTTCTTTTAGTTCACCGTGCAAGAAAGCGGTCTTTACATCAAGATGGTGAACTTGCCATCCATTAGAGGCTGCTAGGGCTATGATGAATCGGATTGTCTCGATGCGTGCAACAGGGGCAAATACTTCATCATAGTCAACTCCATGTCTCTGAACATAGCCTTTGGCCACAAGCATTGCCTTGAATTTATTTATGCTACCATCGGAGTTTCTCTTGATTTTAAAGACCCACTTTAGTCCAATTGGCTTAACTCCAACGGGAAGATCAACTAGGTTCCAAGTTTTGTTCTTAGTAATTGATGAGATTTCTTCTTCACAAGCCTCTCTCCACTCTTTTAATTCCTTGGCTTCATTAAAATGCCACGGTTCATCATTTAAAACCATCAAGAGACGTTCACACTCAATGCTAGCTAACAACACATAATCTTCCAAGTATTTTGGCTTTACGACCTGTCTCTGTGACGCCCTTAAAATGGGTTGAATAGGAGGCTGAACTTGCTCCACAACACGTTCTGTCTCTCTAAGAGAGGTATCTTCTTCTTCCAACAGACCCTGATCGTCATCGTTGCTCTGTTCCTCTGTTTCTGCCTCAACTCTGTCTTCCGTGGCTTTTTCATTTTCTTCTCTTAAGCCATTGTTTCCGAAACTTCCGAGACTGAGCTTGAACATACCAGGACTGTCCTCTGCTTCTCCTCCTAAACCGTTCCATCTCCACTTTTTATTTTCATCAAAAATCACATCTCTGCTCACCGTTATTTTGCGAGTTGTTGGATCCAATAGACGATAGGCTTTCGAGCCAGGCTCTGTCCCCAAGTGAACTAGTACGCGTGATCGATCGTCAAGCTTCTTTTGGTGTTGTGTTTCTGTTTTTGTATAGCCTATACACCCAAATACCCGCAGATGCTCGATGTTTGGTTTTCTTCCTTTGAACACTTCGTATGGAGTTTGTGTAGCTAATGTCCTTGTTCCCACTCTATTTATCACATATGTGGCATGTCTCACTGCTTCTCCCCACAAGTAATTTGGTATACTCATGTGTTTCAAGATACTCCTAGTCATTTCCATTAACGTTCTGTTTCTCCTTTCGACGACTCCGTTTTGTTGAGGAGTATACGGAGCTGTTAGATGTCTTTGTATCCCTGTGTTGTCGCAGAATGATTGGAATTCTTGAGACATAAACTCTCCACCTCTATCGGTTCTGAATGTCTTGATGTGTGTACCAGTCTCTTGTTCAACCAATGCTTTGAATTTTTTGAATTTTTCAAAAACTTCACTCTTTTCTTTTAAGAGTATGGACCACATGTAACGGGAATAGTCGTCAATTAAAACGAAAATGTACCTCTTATGTGCAGCTGTAGGTGGCGTGATGGGTCCGCAAAGGTCTCCGTGTATGAGCTCAAGTTTGTTGGTTGCTCGATATGAAGTTGCTTGAGGAAAAACACGCCTTACTTGCTTTCCCAGCAAACAAGAGGCACATGTTTCTTTCTGAATTGTCATCATTGGCATACCACTTACAAGTCCTTTATTCATCATGGTCTTCATCGTTTCTATGCCAATGTGTCCCAGCCTAGCGTGCCAAATTGTTGCTTCACTTAGCTCCTCTGTTTGTAAACACTTCACGGGTTCAATTTCCATTAGTACCTTGTACAAGCGATTTATTGATCTCCTTGCTTTTACAAGCAATCTTCCTTCCCGATCATGTACTGTCAAATAATCCTCTCGCATTCGCATGTCACAACCTGCCTCTGTTGCTTGGCCAAGGCTAATGATATTGCTTTTCAGTTCCGGAATGAAGTATACATCTGCCAAGACCTTTCTTTCTCTGTTCTTACTAATGAATAGAACTGATCCCTTGCCTTTGATGTCTATTCGCGAATCATCACCAAATCTTACCTTCCCTGTCACTGTTTCATCAATCTTGGAGAAATAAGCGCGGTTTCCTGACATGTGATTGCTAGCCCCATTATCTAAGTACCAGACGTTGTTTCCATCTTGTGAAGTTTCAAAATTTCTAGGTTTCACATTTTTCTCATTTAGATACACAACTTCATGCATCATTAGATTCTCTGCTTCTTGAGTATCATTCTCATCAGTTTCTTGGACTTCTTGAAGTTTGAGTAACCTATCAGGACAGCTTGATGCATAATGTCCAATCTTGTCGCAGCGGTAACATACTATCTTTGATGTGTCTCTCTGTTGGTTACCGTAGCGGCCACGTCCTCTTCCACGTTGGTAAAAACGTCCTCTGCCTCTACCATAACCATTGTTTCCTTGATAAGATTGTCCCTCAGAGCTAGCATACATGAGCTTACCTTGGTCGTTTGATTGTTCTTCTTCATCTTCTTTTGTCCTTTCTTCATATACTTTCAGCCTTCCAACTATGTCCTCAAAGCTGGTGGTTTTGAGATCAAGGACTTGTTCAAGAGAAGCTGTAATCTGTATGAATCTCTTTCTTGGTAAGCTTTGAAGAAACTTTTTAACGAGTTTTGATTCCTCAATCTTTTCCCCTAAGGTTGCGGATTTGGTAGCTAACTCTGAAAGTTTCCCGGCATAATCGTCAATTGCCTCACCGTCTTTCATCTTCAGTTTTTCAAAGTAAGCCATCAAAGTTTGAAGCCTAGCTTCTTTCACACGATCTGCTCCTAGATGCCTAGCCTTGATTGCGTCCCAAACAGCTTTTGCATTATTAAGTTCTCCGACTTGAAGGACCATTGATTCTGGTATGGACTGGAAGAGGAGAGCTTTTCCTATGTTGTTCTTCTCCTCGTCGTTTGATCCAGGATCAATAGTCTCCCACACTTTATGAACTTTGAGAGCTGCCTTTATACGCATCGCCCATACGGTGTAGTTGATATTGTTGAGCATTGGACATTGTATGGAGGCCATGCTGACCTCCTTTATTTTGTCCGTTGCTGGTATTATATCGCCCATGGTATGGATTCACACAAACACGTATAAGAACACAGCTTCGTTGTTTAAACTCTTTTGTGATGTCTCCGGTGCTTAAATCAATGTTGCTCTGATACCAAATATTGATTTAAACACTTGAGATTGCAAGATTATAAAAGACTTCTTTCTTTTATTACTTTAAGAAACTCTCTCAAAACTTAAAGTTCTCTCAATCTCTCTTAAAACTCATAAGGTTAACCACACCATTGGCAACTCTTATATAGAGACTTGATTTGATAACTCCAAATCAAACTAGGACTAAGTTTAGATATCTCCTAAACAATATCTAGATAACTCCTAAATATTCCCAATATTATCTCTTCCTTTATTTTAGTAACTTCAAGCTCAAGTTACTCTTCAAGCTTATCAACAACAGTGCTTGTGGTTTCATGACTTTTCTACACTTTTATCTCTTCATCGAGAAAGGTTTATCTCCGTTTAAAGGTAACTAATTGTTTTCTTTTTTTAAAATAAATTATTGATTTAAATTTACATAGTTGAAAGAGAAAATATCCCTTAATAATGCATTGGCCAATTTAACTATCTTTGGGCCAATAACCCATTCTAGCTAGTTCTTGATTAACCAATTTATAACACTAGCAAAGTCGTGTAGTGTCCAATAGATTACTTATATTGATGGTGGATTTGACAGATGAAAGTTACATGTCTAAGGAGCATCTAGATATAGTTATAGATTGGATACCTTCAATGAAGAATCTTAGGCTAAAGGACATCCCAAGCTTCATCCGTACCACTAATCCTGACGACATAATGCTCAATTTCGTCATTCGAGAGGTGGAGCAATCGAAACGCGCAAGTGCTATCATTCTCAATACGTTCGATGATCTCGATCATGATCTTATACAATCTATGCAATCTCTTTTTTTACCTCCGGTTTATTCGATAGGACCGCTTCATCTCTTAGTGAACAATGAAATTGATGAGGTTAGTGAAATAGGACGGATGGGATTAAATTTGTGGAAAGAAGAGACAGAATGTTTGGATTGGTTGGACAGTAAGACAACTCCAAACAGCGTCGTGTTTGTTAATTTTGGATGCATAACGGTGATGAGTGCAAAACAGCTTGTTGAGTTTGCTTGGGGTTTGGCAGCAAGTGGAAAAGAGTTTTTATGGGTGATCCGGCCGGATTTAGTTGCAGGAGAGACGATCGTGATTCTGTCAGAGTTTTTAACGGAGACGGCAGACCGAGGAATGCTGGTGAGTTGGTGTCCCCAGGAAAAAGTCCTTTCCCACCCAATGGTTGGAGGATTCTTGACGCATTGCGGGTGGAACTCCACACTCGAAAGTATTGCCGGTGGTGTTCCCATGATATGTTGGCCGTTTTTTGCGGAGCAGCAGACAAATTGTAAGTTCTGTTGTGATGAGTGGGGAGTTGGTATCGAGATTGGTGGAGATGTTAAGAGGGAGGAGGTCGAGACGGTGGTTAGAGAGCTCATGGATGGAGAGAAGGGAAAGAAAATGAGAGAGAAGGCGGTAGAGTGGCGGCGCTTGGCGAATGAAGCGACGGAGCATAAGCATGGTTCCTCGTTTCTGAATTTTGAGACGGTTGTGAGCAAGGTTCTTTTAAGGGAGTAGAGACTAGAGACTACAAGGAGACTGTTATTTTTAATATAGAAGATGGTTTATATAAAAATGTTATACATATAACTCTGGACGAGTATTTGTTTTCAGAATTTTCAATCGTCTGTGGTGATAACCTACATGCTCATAAGTTTAGGTAGCTAGGGGAATCACAATTTACGTCGAAATTGTGGAATTGTTTTGTGATTTTGCACCAAAATGTAAAATTGCGTCAACCAATGAATAAGAAAATCGTTCATCCGTTGTTGAATGTATATACAAAATCTGTTGTAAAAGATAAACCAATATTACTTTTGCTAAGCTTATAAATTTCACACATAAATACAAAAATTCGGCCTCGAGATCTTCGCATGTGACACATATCTTTCGTTAATTCCCACGTGCGAGAATCATAAGGTCTCACCAACTCATTGTCAATTATTTTTCTAAAACGAAGTCCTTATAAGCCTATCAATTTTTTTTGTTTTTTTTTTGATAAACCCTATCGGCTATCCGGTCGGTCCTGGTGGGAACGCACCATGTACAAATCCACTTTCATTTTTTCTCGGCAAAAGAGAGCAAGAAAATGGAATCTCATGTTGTTCTTAACGCCATAAAACCACACGTAGTTTGCGTGCCTTACCCGGCTCAAGGCCACATCAATCCGATGCTGAAAGTGGCTAAACTTCTTTACGCTAAAGGCTTTTATGTCACCTTCGTCAACACCGTCTACAACCACAACCGTCTCCTACGGTCCCGTGGCCCCAACGCGCTCGACGGGCTACGGTCATTCCGGTTCGAGTCCATCCCTGACGGCCTACCGGAAACTGATGGCGATAGGACGCAGCATACTCCTACCGTTTGCGTGTCCATTGAGAAATACTGTCTCGCTCCGTTCAAGGAGCTTCTCCTGCGGATCAACGATAGAGATGATGTTCCTCCAGTGAGCTGTATTGTATCGGACGGTGTGATGAGTTTTACTCTTGACGCAGCGGAGGAGCTCGGTGTCCCAGAGATTATTTTTTGGACCAATAGTGCTTGTGGTTTCATGACTTTTCTACACTTTTATCTTTTCATCGAGAAGGGTCTATCTCCTTTTAAAGGTACTAATATAATCATATATAGTTAAAAGTAAAACATTTTTAATTAATGCATTTATACTTACATGTCTAATAATAAATTTTGTATTGGACAGATGAAAGTTACATGTCTAAAGAGCATCTAGACACAGTTGTAGATTGGATACCATCGATGAAGAATCTTAGGTTAAAGGACATCCCTAGCTACATCCGTACCACAAATCCTGACAACATAATGCTAAATTTCCTCATTCGAGAGGTCGAGCGATCCAAACGGGCCGGTGCTATCATTCTCAACACGTTTGATGAACTCGAGCATGATGTTATCCAGTCTATGCAATCTACTCTACCTCCGGTTTATTCGATTGGACCGCTTCATCTCCTTGTGAAGGAGGAAATCGATGAAGCTAGTGAAATAGGACGGATGGGATTAAATTTGTGGAGAGAGGAGACAGAATGTTTGGATTGGCTCGATACTAAAACTCCAAATAGCGTTCTTTTTGTTAACTTTGGATGCATAACGGTGATGAGTGCAAAACAACTTGAAGAGTTTGCTTGGGGTTTGGCGGCAAGTGGGAAAGAGTTTTTGTGGGTTATCCGACCTAATTTAGTGGTCGGAGAGGCGATGGTGGTTCTTCCGCCTGAGTGTTTAACGGAGACAATAGACAGGAGAATGTTAGTGAGTTGGTGTCCTCAGGAGAAAGTTCTTTCTCATCCGACGATCGGAGGGTTCTTGACACATTGCGGGTGGAATTCAACGTTGGAGAGTCTCTCCGGTGGTGTTCAAATGATATGTTGGCCGTGTTTTTCGGAACAACCGACGAATTGTAAGTTTTGTTGTGATGAGTGGGGAGTGGGTATAGAGATCGGTAGAGATGTGAAGAGAGAGGAGGTCGAGACGGTGGTTAGAGAGCTTATGGATGGAGAGAAGGGAAAAAAACTGAGAGAAAAGGCGGAAGAGTGGCAGCGATTGGCCGAGGAAGCGACGAAGCATAAACTTGGTTCGTCGGTCATGAATTTTGAGACGCTTATAAATAAAGTTTTGTTAAGAAATCTTAAAAGTTAAAAGTCTAATTAATGCGGTAGTTAATTACAATTATTATGTGATCATATAATTAAGTGGTTGACCCTAGACCATCCTATAGATGAGTTTCTCGTTTTATTGTCTGTTTGTATCCAGTGTAAATTGCTATAGAATAACTTTAGCATCATAAGTTTTTTTTTTTTTTTTTTAATACCAAAATAGTGATACAACCACACCAGTAATATAAACTTCAACTAGGTCTTTGCTAATATGTATTACAGAAACAAATGTTGTATTCATATCTTGAAAAGAACACATTTCCTGTGGAAGAGACCCTATATTCATCTTTTGTTCGTACCTTGCCGACCAATTGGCGAATGAGAAGTCAGCTCTTGCCGGAGGACGCAACGGGGTCGTCTTATTTTGAGACGTTAGGTAAAAAGGTCCTTTTAAGTCAGAATCAGCGTGGCCAATATAGACATGCCCAATATGTTAGGTACGGCCCATTCTCTCCTATGGAAAAGTTTGTCACTCGGGAACAATTGTCTGTGAAATACATGTCTTTTCTTGGGAGGCTGGTGCTATTAATGACTTATGTAGTAACAAATATTGTATAACTTATAAGTTTATAACCATGCTTAAAAAGGAGATATTGGGAAAACAAAATACGTTAAAATAGTCTATTTTAATCAAGAATCTTATGGAGTATTCTGAATATAAACGTAAAATTAATAGTTTTGTTTTAATCATCAATCACATTAAGCATTACTTCTAATAGTTCAATATTGTACATAAATTCGAAAACAGATCTAAATTAAACCCTTTTTTTTGTTTAGATTTATGATCTAACCGGTAAAGAGTATATAATAGTCAGCTAGTTAAGTTGATAAAAACAAAAAAAAAAAGCTTAACGTTGTTACTTTTTTGGTTGAGTGGGTTCAAATTCATCAATTAGTTTTGTTTATGTACAAAAATTGGTTTTAATAAGTAAGCAAAAAAATATAAGCTGAATAGCTTGGAAAATTAATCAGCCATAAAACGTCACGTGGGTTATCATTTTTCACAAATTGAGTTTTTTTTTTCTTAACGTAGAAGTACAATGGAAGATTAAAAGAATAGTCGAATTTATTCTAAAATAATAGAAAGAATATCAAAGTCGACATATTATATTATTCCGTTAGGAAGAAGAAGAAGAAAAAAAACATGACAAAAGTCGATAGATAGAGCCATCTTTATTTTGGCAGTCATGTTAAGTCATGAATGTGGTTGAGAAAATATAAACGAATTAGCTTTCTTTTTGGGTTGGATGACGAGAAAGAGAATGTAAAAAAAAATGTCAAGATTGTACAAATTGAGGCAGTTGATCATGAAGACGACGTTAAGTCTCTGGTGTTCGTGGTTGTACTTTCAGGTGCATCCGCTGGATCGAATTCTCCACCTTCTTCTGATACTTGTTGTGGTGCGTGTGATTCTGAAGAGAAAAAAGATCCATAACGTAAAACCTTTTTTTAACAAAAATATATAGTCAATCCACACATATAAGTTATTTGTTTGGTGGCCCCTCTACAAATAAGTTTGGATAATTGGTTAAATAGAGAGTGGTCCCTTGTGAGTTGTGTGACTAGATCTTGAGAATCAATAATATAAAAAGGTGACAGAACTCACATGCAAACACTATTGGTTTATGAAATTTACATACACATATATAAACATGCATGACCCATGATGGAGGATAGACAGATGTGAGGAAAAAAAAAAAACAGACAGCTCAGTTCACATGGACATGACGCAATTATATATATCCCATGTGCCCAATCATTCACTCTTTTTGGTATTCCATTTAATCTTTCGTACTATATAATTCATTCTCACTTGCTCTTGTTTAGCTTACAAAACTTGTTTAGTACTTGGTGTTTGTGAATCTTGTTATGATGATGAATTGCAATTTGTACAATGGACATGCATGGTGGTTATAAGACTTACCAGTGGAAGAAGATAGTGGCCCTTGGGAAGTAGGGGCATTAGAGGACGTAGGAGCCTCAACATTGGATGGGTAAATTAGGTAAGAAGAAGCAGAAGGTAAACGTTGTTGTTGTTGTTGCTGATGATGATGATGATACTGATAATGTTGTTGTTGATGATGAGGATATGGTCTAGGGCTTGGAGCTTGAAGGTAGTAATAAGGGGAAGGCATGATGTTGGATGATGATGGTGATGTTGCTCCTCCTCCTCCTCCGTACATTTGCTGTTGATAGTATTGTGCCTGTTGGAGCTGTGCGTTGTATAGGGCCTGCATGTAACTTATATGTTTTATTAATATATTACCAACCTGAACACAATAATTAATGATAATCTCTGAGTGCATTATTTTATGATTCACTCTATTTCTTCTACCTCATTAATATAGAATTCCCTACACATTTTACCAGTCCAATGAAGTTTTATAGCTAGGTACTACTAATTCCAACATTCACAGACGCTAGAAGGATACGACATTTTCCTAGTAGATGTCTATACTAATATACAATTGCATGTTTGTAATTGTATATATATGTATGTCATATGGAGAGGGAGAGGGAGACTAACTTGGTGGTACCCATATTCAGAATTGTAGGTGTACCTGAAAACAAAAGAATTTAATGATGCTAAACCAATTAGTCTATATATCCACCAAAATACAAAAAAACCTAATTATCTTACCTAGACAAATTTAGTGCATGCAAATTTCACCGAGACATACATGACATATTTCATTATTGTTCTATTGCAATGTTGGTCCGGCTAATCTTCATGATATAGATATACCTTTTATATGACAACTAGCTATAGTCTATAAGTATTTATATTTTGAATATGATATTTACAGGCTGACTCCAACTTGCGCAAATTGAAGCATTAAATATCATCTTCTGTCTCTTACCATTTCTATCACATTGGACCATTTCATTGTCTAAGCAAAATTTATAAATTTCTTTACACACTTTGGTATTAAATAAAACAAAACCATGCATTATTTTTTCTCTTTAAATCATTCAGCGTACGTACCCGTATGACGGATACATGAGCTGGGCAGTCGCAGCCTGCTGCACCGGAGCAGCCATTCCGGTGTAGCTTGATTGTCCTCCGCCTTGATATTGACTCGGGCTTCCTCCTTGTCCTCGTCCTATACACCATCAAAGAGTAATAAAAAAGTTTATATATAAAATATATATTATTACATTGCTAACAACATTCTTGAACAATGTAGCATTTTTCCTTGTATACATATCATAGAAATTCCTAGAAAAAATTATGAAGATAGAAAAATTGACTAATAACTCCAATTAAAGACAAAAAGTTTTTTTTTGGGATAAAAATACGTTTGAAAACAAAAATAAAAAATATTATTCATCATCGTATTCGGTTTTATCATTTCCTCAAAACATTAATATATGGATTAGTCCCATCAAATAATACAGCCAAATGGATAAATTTTTTTAAAAAAGTAAGTAGATCAATGAGAAGATCATTAAAGTTCACATTTCAAAGAAAAATGAATTGAGTTAACCAACCTCGAGGCGTCGATGGTCGGGGCCGTCCAAAAGACGCAATATTGCAATTCGCCTTTCGTCCATCGATCACCGGATTCGGATCAGCGACAGCTCTCGTCGCTGAATCCGACTCTCGAAACGTGACCTGGACCACGGAGATGATGACGTGTCAAACCTTGAGAATCCTTAAAATGGTGGGAGATAACGGGAGAAAAGAACTTACAAAACCATAGCCTTTAGATTTTCCGGTGGTCTTATCGGTAATGATGACGGCTTCAAGAATCTCTCCGAACTGATCGAAGTAACGGCGCATTTCATCGGTCGGAGTCTCCCATGCTAAACCTCCAACGAACACTTTGGTGTGGGTCGTGTCTCCGAACGGTGATCGGTAATAGCTTGTATTAGACATATATGATTGTGATGATGATGGTTGTGATGATATACACCGATAACAAAAATGGATTGAATAAATTTAATGAATGAATATATGAAAATGGGGTCTGTCTAATTAAAACATCAGCCAAGAAAGAAAAGAAGAAAAGATTGTAAATGAGGGAAAGTTAGCTTCTTTATATCGTCAAATGCCAAAGAAACGACTTTTTCATTTTCCTCTCTTAATTTTTTTGGTTGCAAATTGAAACTCTTAAACGGTACCGTTTTAGCCTCTGACCCTACACTTATATATATAGATATATATATATAGAGAGAGAGAGAGAGAGAGAGAGAGAGAGAGAGACTTGGTAAGTTAATGTAAGAAGGAATTAGATTTTCTTTGGGGTTTTGTAAGAGGAGTGACAAGGCAAGCACTGAGTATGTCTTCGCTGGCTAAAACTTGCCAGGTTTTAACATTATAGCTCTTCCACAACTTTTTCCCCCTCCATTAAAATACCTTCTTCAATGTTTTTCTACTAATATAGTGATTATGGTAGATGATTATCTGTAAACTCATTATGGTATTATTCCGAGTTGATACAGAGTTTTTACTAATCACATAAGTTGTTTGAAATCAGGATTTTACTTCACAATTTCAAAATCAACGAGAAATATTTAAAATACTGAAATTAAGAGTAAGATCAGAAACCCTATTGGAGATAATTCTTTTTCTTAGTTATTCCTAACCAAATGTAAAGTAATTAGTACAGTGTATATCAAAGATTAGATAAGGATGATTATGCTAATCGGATTTCTTGTGACTTTAATGATTATAGTGGAAGTCCATTGTTATATCCACCAAGCCATAAAAAGTAATAAATTGGTGAAAAGATAGAATGAGTATATTTCACTGTAGAGATTTCTCATCCCTCGTTTACAAAATTGACTATTGTATATTAGACTATTAAAAGACGGCAATATATAGCTATATACATATGAGTAGCTAGCTATAAAAAAATAATAGAAATACATATTCAATTGTTTTACTTAGTACAAAGCGTAAAATTGAATGGAGAGTTTGATATGAATCAACTACATACATATTTTGATCGTTTTGATGTGATTGTATAATTATGTCCACTTGAATTCGAAGGGTGAATTACTTATGATATGAAGTTAGAGAATCTACGCAACGACGTTTTAATTCATGATTAGGTAATTTTATTTATCAATTAAGCAAACAAAAAAAAGACTATTAACCGAAAGCTAAAACTTATCATCTACACACACACACAAAACTATTATTTTATACCACAAAAGTAGGTAAATAACTATGTTGAAATTATATGGAGTTTATTGGGAGATATATAACATATGAAGAAATATATATGCGTTCATAACGTTCATGTAAACATAGTAAAAAGAGTTAAATAAGGGTTTTAGACATGTATATGTAAATGTAGTTGTAAAGGGTTATCTAAATATGTGAAAGTGGAGAGCAAAAGAATTGAGAAGATCACATGAAATGAGCACAGAAACAGCTTTTACATAGTCCCCCGCACGCATGCATCCACCAAATAACGACCATCCCTCCTTTTTATCTCTAAGCAAAATAATATTATTAAACCCCACTATGTAATGATCATCTATTTCACTCCTAGTATGCAATTATGTATTGAGCAACATATGTGTAGTTGACCAAAAAAAGTATATTTACGTTTTCATTGGTCTACTAAAACTGTTTTTTTTTTAAAGTAATGTGAATTATGGACATATTTAAGAGAAAATTACATGAAAATAAGTATAAGAAAAAAAGAGAAAGGTTGGGCCAAATTTTGCCAGCATGGCAAAAAAGGATACACAACTGGAGTTGGAGTTCAAAGAAGAAACAGAAGAGAATCCGTGAACTGGCAGATCCCTCCACGTGTATCTCTCCTTCTGTTATTCTTCTCTCTCTCCATTATCTAATCTTATTTAGCTGTCCCTCTCTCTCTCTCTCTCTTACACAAAAACAAATTTGGTCATGATTAGAAAGCCCACAAGAAACATTTTCAATCTTCTGAAAACTTCAGCATTTGACAACAAGGTAACAAAAAGATGGTCAAAGTAAATTGAACAACTAGTAATATTTGAGTATTAAAAAAGTATAGTTAGCTATTTAAAACAAAGGGGTGGTGGCGCAGTTGGTTAGCGCGTAGGTCTCATAGCTACTGAGTAATCCTGAGGTCGAGAGTTCGAGCCTCTCTCACCCCAATCATTTTTTTTTTCCTTTTTCAGAAAACCCATGTTAGGCCCAATTTCAGTATTTGTTACTACTTGATACGTGAGACAGAAACGTTATTGATGCTTAGCTGCGTCACAAAGGCCGAAGCAAATGATGATTTATGGGATATTTTGTGATTTTGTTGGTCAAGAACCAAACCCTATATGACCCATTATAGGCCCATTTACTATTTCTATGTTCTACAATCGTCGACACGTTTCTTATTTGGCGATTGCACTGATCATGTTCTAGATTACATGCAATCAGTTACTTTTCTTGAACCGGCAAGATTACATTAACCTTGCAAATCAATTCACAATTCGACAATCATGAGAGAGGTTAATTTCACTAAAAATGAGCTCAATTCATTGAAATAAATTGGTATTAACCGGTTTAATTGAAAATTCTATAAAACCGAACCGAAAAGAAAAGAGCAGAGTCTAATCGAGAATTAAAAAAGCAAAAGCGAAGGTAGACTGAAGTTATCGGAATTTGCATCTTTTTGAAACCGTCTTTTTGATTCCGCCGTTTGCGTCTGACGTGTTCACGGCGGCAACCTCCATGGACAACGGTGACCTCGGAAACAACCACCACAACTTCCACGATGGTGCTGATAACCGTTTATCAGCCGAATCTTTGCCGTTAATCGATATGCGTCTCTTATCCCAGTCAGAACTTCGCGCTCTCTCTCACTGTTCTTCTCTATCTCCATCTTCTTCAGCGTCTCTCGCTACTTCCGCCGGTGGAGACGACGATTTGACACCAAAGATCGATCGCTCCGTCTTCAATGAGTCCGCTGGGAGCCGGAAACAGACATTTCTCCGTCTCCGCCTTGCGCGTCACCCTCAACCAACGGAGAAACCTCCTTCGCCGCAACGTCAAAGAGACGATTCTTCCATTGAAGAACAAACGCAAGTCGCGCCGCTTCTCAGATCTCTGTTCAATGTCGATTCGATTCAGAGTAAAGAGGAAGAAGACGAAGGAGAGGAAGAAGTCGAGGAAAACGAAGGTCAGATCCATTATAACAGCTATGTTTATCAGAGACCGAATCTTGATTCGGTTCAGAACGTTCTGATTCAGGGAACCTCTGGGAATGAAATCAAGAGGAAGCGAGGACGACCGAGGAAGATTCGGAACCCTAGCGAGGAAGATACGGAGGTTTTGGATTTAACAGGTGAAGCATCTGCGTATGTGTTTGTAGATAAAACTAGTAGCAATTTGGGAATAGAGAGTAGATTTGGTAGTTCAGGAATCTCCATGGATTCAAATTCAGTGAAGAGAAAGAGAGGTCGTCCTCCGAAGAATAAGGAAGAGATAATGAACTTAGAGAACAGAGACAGTGCAATTGTGAATTCTTCTGCATTGGATAAGGAAGAGTTAGTGAAATTGGAGAACAGAGAAGGTGCAATTGTGGATCTTTCTGCATTGGCTAGTGTTTCAGAGGATCCATATGAAGAGGAGCTGAGGAGGATCACTGTTGGGTTGAAGACAAAGGAAGAGATTTTAGTTTTTTTGGAACAACTTAATGGTGAATGGGTGAATATAGGGAAGAAGAAGAAAGTTGTGAGAGCTTGTGATTATGGAGGATACTTGCCCAGAGGATGGAAACTTATGCTCTACATAAAAAAGAAAGGTAGCAGTTTGTTGCTGGCTTGTCGCAGATACATAAGGTATAATAATGTTAGTCTTCTTCTTCACTGGTTTTGTTTCTAGTTGGATTATTAGATAGACCTGGTATTTGGCTGTGGAATTGGTTATAGCAAAGAATAGTAACTAACACTTTGTACCATTGGAGATATAGTTTTGTGGATTCATGAATAGGATTTGGTATATGATGGTGTTTTAGTTTCTGCTGCTAGACTTTTGATTGTCCCTCTTGTTTGCTCTCTCTATCTTCTTGAACATGATAAAAACATGTTTACAATAATTAAGGGCTGCTACTGAAATTGCTTATCGTTAGTTTGTGTATGTATTATTTGCCGTTCCAGGATTCTAGCTGCTGTTATCACTTTTAGTTCTTGAATCTAAATTTTTCTCTTTTTCTTTTTGATTATATAGCCCTGATGGGCAACAGTTTGAAACCTGCAAAGAAGTCTCCACATATCTGCGATCTATCCTTGAGTCCCCGAGCAAGAACCGACACTATTACTTGCAATCTGATAACAAGACTCTAGGACAACAGCCAGTAACAGCTAACGATTCTTCACTAGGTAACTCTAATTCCATGGACTTGCCTGTTCCGGACTCTGAAAAAATGCAGTACCTTGAGAGTGGAAGAACCGGCAGTGAGGTGTTTGAGGAAGCGAATGGTGATGAAGCAGATGGAGTGAAAACCAGTCTGGTGGAGAAAGATGATAATGCTGATTTTCTGAATGGAGACGACCACGACCATACGAAGAAAAGAGATGGTAACATGGAGAATTTGGCAGCTCTATCGAAAGCCATGTCGATGCCGACTGATGAGCTTCAACAGTATTTCAACTGACAAATCCACTGAGTTCAGTGACCAGTTCCTTTACCTGGAACAAAATGTTTTCTCATTCTAGTTCAGATTTTATGTTTCATGCACAAACTAAAGCATGTTTTTAGCTAACTACACGATATAGAATTTGAAAAGGTCCATGTACAAAACAATTAGCAGAAACCAATTTTTTTCTTAAAGATAAGAAGAAAAAATTCATTGAGTTTCAATCTATGTTTGATTTGGATTTTGTATTGTTATAAAGAAAAGAACAAACCCTTAAAATATTGGACAAGAGGACATGTCTTTATCACGGCAGCGTCGTTAACCTTTTACGTTATCGACTGGCCAAATTAGATGGGGTTTAACAGACAACAACTATTAGTTTTAGGTTCTTTCTGCGTAAAGAAAAAACCTTCGAGGCTACTTTATAATTTCTAAGACTTAAGTTTTGTTGACTAAAAAAAGTAGATCCAACGGCCAATATATGGTCACCATGAGAGGATCCTAGGGTTACTACTAATCTCGAAATCAATCAAATCAAAGCATCCATTTTTTTGATTCAGACTTGAGAGAGACAGAGAAAGAGAAGAAGAAGAAGAAAAAAAAAAGCTATGGAGAATGAGAGGGAAAAGCAGGTTTACTTGGCTAAGCTCTCAGAGCAAACCGAAAGATACGATGGTAATTTTTTCGATTTCTGGATCTCTGTTTTGGAAAAATGATTTGTTCATGTTTCTGAAAAATCCGATCTTTTTGTTTCTCCGATCGAATGAATATATGAATGTTTTTGGGTCAAACTAGATTTGTTTTTACATTTCCATAGATTTTCTTTGTAGCCCTTTTACGGATTTGTGTGTTTCTGGGCTGTTACTTGATCTGGATTTAGAGATTTTGATGAGACCTTTAAGTAATTTCTTGTTTGATGTTCTTTAGGTACTGTGATCTTATGTTGATATATACTTTTGTGGAATCTCTTAGCTTTTACAAAGGTGGCTAGTATGAAAATGAAATAGATCTATGTTTTTCACTCTCTGTAAGAAATCATCTTTGCTTTTGGTTTTGGATATTTTAAAGTTTGATGCAGAAGAATGAAAAAAGATTTCTACTTTTCTTTTTTTGTGTGATTTATGTTGCGTAGTTAGATTGGTCCATGTTTTCTTTTTACTGTCTTTAATACCCAAATTCTTTGAAATTGTTGTTGCAGAAATGGTTGAGGCGATGAAGAAAGTTGCTCAGCTTGATGTGGAGCTAACTGTGGAGGAGAGAAATCTTGTATCTGTGGGGTACAAGAATGTGATTGGTGCAAGGAGAGCTTCATGGAGAATACTATCCTCCATTGAGCAGAAGGAAGAGTCCAAGGGAAATGAGGAAAATGTTAAGAGGCTTAAGACTTATCGAAAGAGGGTTGAAGATGAGCTTGCCAAAGTTTGTAATGACATCTTGTCCGTCATCGATAAGCATCTCATTCCATCATCTAACGCTGTGGAGTCTACTGTCTTTTTCTACAAAATGTGAGTCATCTTATGCTTCTTTATACTCTGTCCACTTTTTCATCACAAATGTGGTATGACCTTAAGTTAATGTATAATTGATTTAAGTTGAGATCATATTCAGTTGACTGAAATTAAATGTTTAAGCTCTTACATAGCTACCACTCTTACTTATGTTTCTTCCTAAAATGATGATGATCCATGAAATTTTTTTGCCCCTATTTGTTTCACTGATTTGGCTTTATGTGTTTGTTCTTTCTACGTAGGAAAGGAGATTACTATCGCTATCTGGCAGAGTTCAGTTCTGGTACTGAACGCAAGGAAGCTGCAGATCAGTCTCTTGAAGCATATAAGGTCCTTTGATCATGTTTATTTCTTTTCTTATTTTTGTGCCTTCCCTCTTATATGTGAGCTCGAAATAACCTAACGCAAGTCTTGCATTTTCGTACTGGCAATGTAGGCTGCTGTTGCTGCTGCAGAGACTGGTTTGGCACCCACACATCCAGTTAGACTTGGCTTGGCATTGAACTTTTCAGTTTTCTACTATGAGATCTTGAACTCTCCCGAAAGGTTTGTTTTGTATTTTGGATTGAACATAATAGTGGAATTGATGGTCACTTTCTGACAGTCTGAAACTATGTGTTGTACAGCGCATGCCAATTGGCTAAGCAAGCATTCGATGATGCAATTGCTGAACTTGACAGCCTCAACGAGGAATCATACAAGGACAGCACTCTTATTATGCAGCTACTTAGAGACAATCTCACCTTGTGGACTTCAGACCTCAATGAGGAAGGAGGTAATCTTGTTTTCTTTTGTTTCCCTATCTTCCTCTAATGATCAAATAGTTGCCTTTTGTAAATCTTGTTCGTTATTGAACTGCTAAGAGCCTCAACTTTGAGTAAAAGTGTTGATATGTTGATGCTTAGGAACTGGTAACATTAACCATCTGTCTAGATTTGAATTTAACCATCCTTTATACATTTATGGCTTTGTAGACCTTTCATTTTAGTTTTGAAAGCGTCTACGAAATAGAAAACGCATAGTAGTTTGATTCTAGCTAATTTTTGTAGAAGTTATATGTTTGTAGCAGAGAACAGTAGCATACTAATTTCTTGTTTCTCTTCAAAAGCTTTTTCACTCAACTTTTTTTCTTTTTCCTTCTTAGATGAGCGATCCAAAGGTGCTGATGAGCCTCAAGAAGAGGTATGAAAAGCCAGTTTTGTTACAAGCTATGCTACTTAATGATTTTCCATTTGCATTGACAATTAGACACTCATGGAATAACTGAATCATTGCAGAACTAAATCCTGGATCCCTACTATGTGAGAAGAGAAACGACTCTTGCTGCATCCTGAATCTTGAAGTGGAAGACAGTAAGTGTCGTTACTCTCGGATGTGTAATTTTAATTTATGTCTTTCTTGATGATGTTTCCAGAATCTTGAACTCTTTCCAGAACACAAGACTGTATCTTCAACACTCTTATGATGTGGTTGGAGTCTGTTTTTACGCTTAGTTTGCTTCTTTGCTTTGTTGTTGAATTGAGCCACCAGGCATGATTTGGGTTTTGTTTTATCGGAATATTAGGAGTATTATCGTTTCAATATCAAAACTAAAAACTGACGAAGCTTTATTCTAACTTCTCTAATAACTCTATTGCAAATGTCATGAAAGTCTGAATTCAAGAGCCTACGAAATGATATCCCAATGTTTCAACTTCTCATTTTGTGGATGTTACACCTGTCGCACATAACACCGATTGTGTTTAAACCAATCGAGAGCCTTCAAAGTCTAAAAACATGTAAATCAAATTGTGAACCAATCCTTATAGAAACAGACATCTTTAAAATAGTGCTACATCGGCCAAAAGATGTCTGTTCCACGATGGTTGCCTCTTTTTGTCAACTTCTTAAAAAAAAATCATTGTTGTCACCAATTGACTACTTCCCTCAAGAGATTTTGTGTTTTCTTTAATCATTTTTCTTATGTCCAAATAATTAATATTTCACACATCAATCGATAAATTCAATATTGAGAAGGTTTGACACTTTGACTAATAAACAGAGGATCATGGTAACTATCTTTGCCAAATCAACCTGAAACCTTCAAAAACAGATTTGATGAGCGTGCCAAAATTTGTAATGACATTTTGTCCGTCATCGATAAGCACCTCATTCCATCGTCTACCACTGTGGAGTCTTCTGTTTTTTTCTACAATATATGTGAGTGCTTCTTTTTTTTATCTGTCCTTTTTTTTTGCTACAATGTATGATCTTAAGTAAATGTACCATGCATGTACTTTTACTTTCTTTTTTTTTGTTTTGATGGTTCTGGCTTTACTTTTATGTATTTTCTATGTAGGAAAGGAGAGTATCTTCCTTATTTGGCAGAGTTCAGTTCTGGCTCTCCATGCAAGGAAGCTAAAGATCAGTCTCTTGAAGCATATAAGGTCCTTTGATAATGTTTTGTGCCTTCCCTCTTTATATGTGAGCTCGGAAAAATACTGAAAAATATGTTTTGTGTATTGGTAATGGCATTGTAGGTTTGCTGTTACTGCTGCAGAGACTGGTTTGAGACAACCACTTCCAGTTATACTTGACTATGCATTGGAATTTCCTGAAAGGTTACTTTGCTTACATACATATGATCATTTAATGAAATCGGTGTGGTGTTGTTACTTTCTTACAGTCTGAAACTGTGTGTGTTGTACCAATTGGCTAAGAAAGCGTTCGATGTTGCAATTAAAAAATTTGACAAAGTCAGCGATGATTGAAGCAGACAAGGACACAGTACTCTTATAATTCTGCTACAAAGAGACAATGTCAACATGTGGACTTCAGACATCACACAAGAAGGAGGTTATCTTTTTATTTCCCTATCTGAATCTCTGATGATAGGTACAGTAGTTTTCTTTGGAATCAAAATGGAGCCTTTTTGTGAAATCTTGTTAGTTCTTGAATTGTTAAGAGCCTAAACTTTGATTGAATATGTTGATGCTTGGGAACATACAAACCATTAGCATACTAGTTTCTTGTTTCTCTTCCAAAGCTTACACTCAACTTTTTTTAAAGCTACTCCAAGATTATTTTTTCATTTTGGCATTGCCAAGGGAATTACTTAATCATCGCAGAACTGAATCTTGAATCCTCTGCGAGAAGAGAAACGACTCTTGATGCATCCTGAGTGTGTAACTTTAATTTATGTAATCTTGTTGGTGTTTCCAGATCTTTAACAACAATGCATAACGTCAAACTTCTTATGCTGGTTGCTTGTCACCGACGTTTCTTCATTCTTTCTTTTTATAGTCAAATGAATCTATGAAGAAGAAACCTCGAGAATTGCTTTGGTACAACTTCTAAATCATTTTGTCATCCATCTACAATCAGAAGCATTGTTGAAATTAAATATAAATTGTAGTAACCTGATCCATCCTAATTTTTAATCCTTTGTAGGATAATGACATTTACCTACAACAATGATAAAGATAACTTTTGTTTGGCAATGTAAATCTCATCATACAAATGACAAATACTTTGGTTAAAACATATATATGCAAACCTAATCCAAAAGTACTTTCACATAATTTAAAAACATCCTAATATTTATATCTCGATGATTAAATATAACAAATCAACCAATTATAATAACACAAATCCCCCATCACCACCCACCAACTCCATTTCTCCCTTTTTTTCTTGTTCATATTCTTGTCGTCTTTAAAAACACACAATTTACACAACGAACGCGCATAAGCTATAGCAAGAAGCAGCTATCACAAATCGACCGGACCAGAATCATCTGAGTCGAATCCTGTGAAAAACAAGCTTTTTTGTCCTGATGAATCTTTGATTGAAAATGCTGGTTTATTATATTAGGAACCGTCTCCTCGTAAATGATCCATCCCCCTTCAGAGTTTGTCATCTGAATCGGACTACGACACAAGATATGTCGTCTTTACTCTCTCTTCTCAATGCTTCAGCTGTTAATTCCTTTGCTGCTTTCTGTGGATCTTTCACTCTTCTAGCTATCTCCATTGCCTCTTCATTTGTCATTACCTGTTAACATCATTTCAGTAATCAGAAAAAATGGTCTCATAACACTTGGTTAACCGAGAGCAGAATCGATCTTCTATTGTAATAATATACAGAGAATGTGCCATTACCTTCCAAATGCCATCACTGGCCAAGAGAAGAACATCTGTCTGGCTATCTACAGTGGCTTCTTTTATGTCAGGTTCTGAACTCAGGTGTGTCTTAAGTCCCTTATCTCCAAAGGCACGAGACACAGCTAATTGACCATTCACCCGAGGAACATCACCTGTTAATAGATCACAACCACAGCATCCTTATCAACAATCATTCGATATAATCAACTGAACAAAACAATGATTAAAGCCACACTGTATAAAATCAGTTCTTTACCTGGTAGATTGGATACAAATCCACCTCTATCTTCAATGCTCGACCTTTCAGTACGAGGCTCATGATCTGTACTCATCTGCGTTATTGTGCCACCGTGAGAAAGAACTGCTCGTGAATCCCCAACATTGGCTATCCACAACTTTCTCCCATTAATCAATATAGCAGTCACAGCTGTAGACCCACCACGACCCAAGTCAGAACTATTTGATAAAATCGCCTGGTCCGTCTTCTCATAAGCTTTTGCAATAGACCTTCGAGGATCAACCCAGAACTCTCCCTGAATAAAAACAATCAACCATATAATTAGTGAATAAGGAAGGACTATAATCACTTATAATAATCCCATGTTACAGAACCCAAGCAAAGATTGGTTTTTACCTCCTTAAGGATATTGGAGAAGAGGCGTTTCTGCAAGTAAGCAGGGACACTATCACCCATATGACCATCATAAATAGCAAAAAGCCCCAATTCATGGTCTTGGATGTTGATGAAGTTAGCAACATGATAATCTTCCATGGGATGGTTAGCTTTCCCTTTCACTAGACTAAAGCCATACTTGATCATCCCTTCATCACTTCTTCCTTTACCTGATCGAGATGATGATTGTCCTCCCACAACCTAAACCACACCCCAATAAGAAAAATTTAACACAAAGCTCTCAGATCTTCACTTCTAAGACAAATTATTTCATCTCATAACATTGAAAAAAACAAAAACGAAATTATATAGCCACAAATTCGATGATATATTGAAAATCATCATCACTAGAACAGAAATCTTTACCTCAGAAGCGGAAGTGAAGCAACAAAATTTTCCCATTTTTTTGAATCGAAGATATTTTCTTCGATTTTTGCAACCTAATTCAAACTTGCGCAGATTTATTCAAATAAACAAAACAATCTGCAAAAAAAAAGCAAAATCAAAACCTCGGAAAAAAAGGCAAAATCTTCATTGAGGAGCTTGGAGATGATGATAAGAAGAGGGGGAGATTTTTACCTGGAAATAAAAACCCTAATTTGGTTTCAATTTTTTTGAGGTACTCAACGATAAATCCACAAAGTCTCTGCGACGAAAGTCTTCGCTCTCTTTTCGTTTATGTCTTTTTCCTCCGCGAATTTTTTTTATATATTCAGTTGAAAGAAAAATAAAATGAGTGCTCTGTTATTTTTTTATATTGCATTGGCATCCTTAGTAAATATTAAATATTTACTTTACGCCTCATATTATTGAATCTTATGATTGTGACCATAATACTTCCTCTTGACGTCGATTATTTAATTTGGGTAACAATAATTTCTTAACCTTTAAATTTTAATTCTGTTTCGGTGAAAAATTTCTAACAGACGTTGCCTTGTATTACAGTAAAATGAGGGTGTAAATATAACAAAAGAAATTTTGGGATAAAAGTGAGAGATTTCGGGAATTAAAGGGTGAAGGTAAATGAAATTAGGGGAAGAAAAGGAGAGAGAGAAAGGGATGGAGCAAAAGGAGTGATCTGGTCAAAGAAAATAAAAAAGCTGCCATTTAAAAATTTAAGTCTTAGCTATTTGGCATGTTGACTTCCTCTTCCGTTACATTTATGTCATCTCCTTAACAATCCCTATTTTTTTTTTTTTTTAATGCGTTTTCACTATTCCATCAAAAGTGTGCGAAATAGAAAAAAAAATTCATATAAATTTTATTTTAATCTCTAAATTATATTTGGATAAATTAATTTATTAAAAAATACAGTAGTTTTACTTTTTTCACCCGTTATATTTTGGAGTATTAAATAATGGGATTATCCAAAACTGAAGGATTAAGTCAAAAAGTAATGAATGTTTCGTTTTCACACAGATTAATGCATGAAATTAGCCGTTTACTAGAAAAAAAAACATATTCATTTTGGATTTGAGATATGGCTTAACGATTGCGGTAATTATTTTACCTTTTATTTAGAATTAAAAATTCGAAAACAATTATGTAGGAGTAGTGCTTGATTGAGTAAAATGTAAAATATCAGGTCTCTTCCCATTACCAGAATCTAAACGAATGCGACAAGAAAGTGGAAAGGGTCAAAGGCTTCGACGCGTTTACTAGCCATCTTTTTGTTTCTTCATTTAATGTGATTCGCACACATTTCATGACTTTTGACCCTTAATTATGTTTTTTGTTTAATCAAACACATCAATATAGCTTCCTTATTTATACATAAAATTTTGATTGCTAGCCTAAAACAGACGATTTGTTGCTTAAAATAATAAACTTGTTCGTCTAATCCTCCGTGATATGTTCCTCTAAATTAGGTTCATAGGCCCCCTAGTCATGTACATCATAGGCCCCTAGTCATGTACTCATTTCCTATTATGGGCCTTTTATGAGCCCAACCCATTATTTAAAAAAAAAAAAAAGAGTTAGATCAAGCTTATCTTATTTTCTTACTATGTATATAAGTACTGATACTGATACTGATACTGATACTGATAGTGTATGTTAGCGAGGCCACGAATGTGAAACTAGATATGTATGAGTTATGTATATATACAAGTACTGATAGTTTTGTTTTATTCTATGCTTATATGAATGGCTTCGACCGGCACGATTGAACTGCTTTCCACTTTTTTCATGGTGATTCTTCTTACTCCTCAGTGATCATTCCACTTGGAGTTAGTGTTCTGTGATGCCAATCATTCAACAAAAAACTGTTAACCTCCAGAGAAAATGAGCCACTAATAACACCAACAAATACCAAATATACAAATATAGGGAGAACTATAAAGATGACAAACATACTCAAACACTTTTGATTGATGCAAGGTTTTTATCAACATTTACAAGTTTTTGAAACACTCGCATCGTTATTCCATGTTATAAAAATTAGATAGTTGATGCAAGCAGCAAAATGCTTATGTAAATCGGTGAGCGCTTTCACAAAGAGTACGTATATGCAAGTGAGAGAGAAATAGGGAACTGACTTTGTGAGGTAGACTTCAATCAAATGCATAGGGATCATCAGCATATGGGTTGAGTGAACCTTCTGAAAACAAGTCTCCAATATTTGCAGAGCGAGGATGACCGGCCATCGATGTTTCCTGCGCTTAAAAGACCATAATAATATGCAGTTTACTCAGAAAACATTTTAGAAACCTAGCATCATCCATAACTTCTTGGCTTGAAAAAAATTTCTGCATTATAGTCGCATAGACCTAAAGCTTGGTTAAGCAGCCGCCCTAAGTCCGACCTCCTATTGTTCCCTTATGTCGGTCATTTTATCTATTTTACTATGAAGGAAGGTGTGACGGAATGACTATAGAACGTTTTGTGAAAATATGATGTTTCTCCTATCATCAAATCTACTTTTTTACTCTCTGCTTCAACACTAGTTGACTGATGTGAGGGTTTGTTCATTTCAAGCATCAGTAAAGGTAGTGAATTTGTATTTTACCTTGGCAATGCTTTTGGGTGTCATCAATTTGGGTGTCAACCTAGTACTGCGTCTTTGTGGCTCCTGTTGCCAAAGAATGTAAAGTTAGATTTCTTGAATATGTCTAGATAGCAGGATGGACAAGCTGACCTGAAACATTGTCGTATTTCTTGTTTTTCTCCGTTTAGGTATCCTCCCATTATTCGTTTCAATGTCATAATCACGATGAGGTTCCTGCCCAGTTGACCACAAACCAAACAATGAGGTTGATTTCGATGTAAAAGTGCAAAGGTTCAATTGTTCAAATGTTTACCTTGCTATGATGCTTTGGATTTGGAATGCTCATTACGCTTCCTGTGTTTACATTTCTAGCTTTCTTCAATATATTTGACACAGATGTTACTTTTGTCTTTACAAAAGGAGAGTCCTGCGTTTAATCCATGAGAAAGTGTTAGTGTGTTGCCTTGACAATGCAGAAACGAAACAAAAAGAAGAAGAAGATATATTTGATTATTTGCCTGTTCCTCATCATTTTCTGTCCTCACTGTTGCATGCTCGCTTCTCTTATTACCACCAAGACGAGATTCTTTCACTTTGATCGACGAAAGTGAATAGTCCTACAAGGTAATAAACACCATGTCAACCACTTACACTATTAATATTACTTTTAGCACATATTTAAAAGTAGATAGATAGCGATAAGGAAGAAAATGAAGTCCACTCTAACCTTGTTTGAGTTAACTTCTTGCTCTTCAGGTGGATTGTCACTCATCACCTTCCACTGTAACTGCACCAAAGCTCTTTGCCTCTCTTCCTGCAAGGTTAGGCCATTAGTCAAAAGTTAAACCCATATCATCTTATAATGGATCTTAAAAACCACTTACTTTTTTCCTTTGAAGATCTAATTCTTCTTGCAGCTTCTTGCAATCATCTTCATACTGACATTTGAATGCTTTCAACTGAACATCATGCTCACTCTTCAAAGCCGTTATCCTCTGGATAAATATACAAACCATTTCAATACCAGAGGCTCTATACTCTTGCATTTGTCTGAAATATGAAGTTATATCTGTGATTACCTCTTTTAGTTCATTTTCAGCCTGAATCTGATTTTGTCTCAGTTCCTGGTCATACTTGGCTTTGAGATTGAGCTCCTTACTCTCATGTTCCTCCCGAATACTAAGAATCTGGGGAAAATGCAGATTTTCTCAGTTTATGTCCATAATAATTCGAACTTGGCTTGACATGTTGTCAGAAATAAACTTCCAAACAGATTATACATGCATTTTCTGTTATTAAATCTAACAACTCAACCCAGTTTGATTGATTCATTCTAAGCTATGCACCTTCATGCTTGAGGATGGTCAGAACCATCAGGTTTCTTTGGAATCTAATAACACTCATTGATAGTATCGGACTGGACAATGTATGAATCAGTAACAGGATAAGATGTGGTAGTTTAGCTCAGGGATTCGCAGAGAAGCCTTGTCCAAAAAATTCATATATGATTTCCAACATATGAGAAATCAGCATGATCAGTTAAATAAAAGATAAGTTCAAAGATATACTAGATGCCGTGCATACCAGAGAAGAATGTTCCTCTTGACTAGTCAGCAGTTGCCTCTTTGATTCTTCTTTGCAATCTGAGAGTTCTTTATCATATTTAGTGGACAGCTCCTTGATAATTCTTTCAACCTGGAGTTAGAACCACAAAAAACATCACCGAGACATCATCAATTTTTCAGAAGACTGCAACAAAAGATACTGTAGTCATTATACCTTGTCCTTTTCAGAATTAATAATCTCCTGCTTCTCTACATCATACTTCCTCCTGATATCATTAATTGCCTAAAAATAACATAGAGAGATCAAAATCGTCTTTTGCATATTGCATTCAGATTCAGCTAAGGGCCTCACGATACTTATTTTGCTAATATATGGAAACATTGCTACAGATATACCTGGTCATTCCTCTGTGATAATTCTTTTAAGTGCCTTGACAATTCCAACTGTTTACTTTCTAGCATCAGGTCATATTGCTTCTTTGCTTCTACAAGCTTAGTTTCAGCAGTTGCCAGTAGCTCCTTGTCCTGCAGTGGGATTCATATTTGATGAGTACTAAAAAGGTTGATTAAAAAACCTTAAAGCCATGTCCTAGTATTAACTTTTTAGACCTTAATGATTTGTTGGTTTAAATTCTTCTCGTTTTCATTGCACTGCAGGATAAGATTTCCTTTCTCCTCTATGACGGTTTGGAGCTGGTTCACCTCTTTCGCCAACAAATCCGCCTGCAGCTGATGGCTCTCACTCTCTTTTTGCAAAGTCTCTAGTTCCCCAACATGTCTATGTGCATCTGCCTGCAGTGTCTCGTACTTCTCTTTGCTTTCCATCTCTAATGATGAAAGCTTTAATGACAATTCTTGCTGCAAGATAAACTTGAAAAACATTAGCATCACAAGAATGCATTAGCTACAGTGCATAGGGATAGAAATTAATTTGATACCTTCTTATCCGCTGATGTCCTTACACTTTCCAATAAAGTTTCTATTTCCTCTTTCAGCTTCGAAATCACTGATTCTGTTTCAGCATTCTTTAAAACCAGTCCTTTTGCTTCAGACTCCAATTTATCAATGGTCTGGCTTGCAGAGCAGCGTACCCCAGAAAGTTGAGATATTAAAGACTCTTTATCATTCTGGAGCACAACTATTTTTTCACTTAGTTCGTTGCTCGTTGATTCCAGAGCTTCTTTTTGGGCAGTTATGCTAGAAAACTCGCCCTGGAGTTGATCAAACGATCTTTGAGCACGATCTGATGCAAGATCTCTGTCTTTTCGCGACAACATAAAGTGGGTATCATATAGGCCACTTAGTTTATCAAACTTTCCCTTGAGGGTCAGATTCTTTTTGTCCAATTCAGTCAACTCAGCTACCAAGTAGTGGACAAATTCATCGAGCTTCTTAACCTCCTGCTCTGAGCTGACAAGCTTTTCAAACAGTTCATCTGCACTCAACTGAACACTCGTCTTTTCTTTCTCCAACTTCTCCTGGATACTAACAAGGTCTTTGACCTCGTCTTCTTTTGTTGTTAACTCAAGATGTAGCTTTTCCAGTTGGGAGTTCAAGTTTTCAATGTTGAGTTTTCTTTCGGCTGCAGTTGTTTCTAACTTTGTTATCACAGCATCTGCCACAGAAGAAGCACTCAATAAGAAAATACAATTGCTTTAGATCATGAACGTCTTTCAGAAACATTGCTTTTCAAATGTGTGGCCACATATTATAGCTCTTCAAAACGTAGTCTAGAACAAGACTAATTCAACAATCATTTTTTACTGCATGTGACCAAATGGCATTGTGAATTCAAGAGGAACGAGAAATGTACCTTTCTTCTCAATGAGACTGGCAGTTCCGCACCGTTCAGTTTGATAGAACATTTCCTTCTGTTGTTTCTCGAGTTTGAGCTCCTCCAATTCCTTATCTCCTGCATTTTCAACTCAAAGATGTTACAAACTTGGATACCAATTGCGTTACAGGTCATAAATAGAATAATGCAACGACTTACTGCTTGTGATTTCTTCTTTAGCAGTAACTAATCTTAAAGACATGTCTCGCATTTGCTGGTTTAAAGAGTCTATTGCTTCTGAACTAGTACTGAATTTGGTCTCAAAAAAAACTTTATCCTTCTCAGCTGCAGATGCAAGTTAGGAAACATATAAAGCAACACAGCATATATAAGATATTTCACAAAATCAGATGACTGTATGATCATTTACTCTTACCATCCTGAACTTGAGAAGCTAAATGCTGCAGAGTCTCAGTAAGTTGATCACCCAGAGTCTTTGTTGAAGAGAACTTAGATTCCAATCCTCTCCAAAGCTTCTCATCTTCCTTTTGCCTAACTCTGAGCTTAGCATTCTCATTAAAAGCGTTTTGAAGTTTATCCTCTAAGGCATAGACATGCTCCAGTGACTTTTTCAGCTTACAATTCTACACCATGGAAAAGCAAAATTTCTTTCAAATTTAGGTGAAATATGTATCTGCTATCTACTCCGAAGAACGAAACAAGAGCTAAGACCTCCAGATCAAAACTACTTTCATAAACGCAAATCTAGCAATATACTTCACAAGCACATCCATCGAATTTAAGTTCGTAAACACAAATAATGTATGAAGAAAACAGGATAGCTTCCAAAATACCGCCAGTTCTAGATCTGTTCTCATAGCCGCCTGATCCTTCACCAGTTTCTCTGTTAAACAAACGTGAAATCTTCGATATCATCATAACAGTACGATTTGAGAGAGGCGGATTGAAATAAAACAAGAGAAAGACCTGCAGTGAGTTTCAAATTCGAGAAACTTCCGGAGGAGACGGAATCCTGAGGCGGACGAGTGGAGAAGGAGTACGTCTTCGCCGATCCAGAAAACGATCGGAGTTGATCCAAGCTCTTCATCGCCGGAAACCCTAATTTCTGCATCTCGAGATCGGAGTTCGAGATTGTAAGCAACAAAATGACGAAATCGATCTCTCGCTCTTGGTCTCTCGCTCTCTCGCTCTCTCGCTCTCAATTTCTTGCGCGCGTTCTCGAAATTGTGTGAGAAAAATTCTGAAATAAAGTTGGGCGCCAAATACGTCGGTGGTGTTTATACCGGAGAAGCCGACTCATTTATCCCAACGGCATGCTGATGTCAGAGACTCAGAATATCGCAGTAGCCACGTGGCACGATCAACGGCTGCGATTGATTATCAGCGAGCTACATTATAATTCTTTTCATGAACCATTATGGAGTTATTATTAATATATATGATCATTATCAATTAGTTTTGAATGCTTCTCATGGACTTGCAAATTTTTAATTTTGTTTAAGATGTTATCAAACTATTATTAGTACTCCTTGACTACAATTTCATAAAATAAAAAAAAAATTGTAGTTTGTATAAACTAAAAATTTTTGGATGAAGTAATAAACTCTTAAGTCTTTTATATGATGATAACACCATATTTTAAAAAACATTCCTTGACATTTTACATAATTTGGTTTTAATGACATATTGCCTCCGGCCTCCAAATACCAGGCACAGCTCTGACTCCTAAGAGCACCATTATTTCTTAGTTATAAGAAATATTTCTTAGTTAAGAGTTGTCTTAAGAGCCTATTGATAATGATGGTCTAAAGGCTTAAGAGTTAAGAGTAGTAACAAACAATGAAGCCTAAAGCCTGGGTAAGATAGATTGAGAGGGGAAAGCAATGTATTGTGTTGGATACTGCGTATAAGTAGGTTCCTATGAAAACGCTACATGAACAATAGAGGAACTAGTTAAACAATTTTTTGCAATGTGGTTGATCGAGCGAGGATTCATGTCAGTCAAACTAGTTTCTGTGAATAGTATAATCCAGATTCAAAGACTATCAACAAGAGTTGTATTCTTTGAATCAGCTTGTCTGCATTCACGACATGACAACATCCATCACACAACAACCAAAGGCTTTGGATCGAATCATATTCAAAACTAGCATATATGGAGCCATAAGTCGAGCTTGCACTAAAGCAACCACATCTTTTGAAAGTAGTGAGATTTGACAGCTTCAGATGCAAAGCTCAGTGCTTTATGAGCAAGAGCCAAGAGGGTCATGATCACCCATAAGCACAATGATTAAGAGAGGCCAACAATGCAATCCAAATCCACAGGATGCACCAATAATACAGATGAGTGACCATTTAGTTGAAACAATACTCAAAATCAGGGTATAAATTTGAAGCAATCAGGCACCATTCTTCTGATAAAACCCTACCAATACGATTAAAGGATCCAAAACGATGAAAAGGGATGATTCAATTGCATACTCACTAAAGGTTCACATCACAAACATCATCAGCAACATACCCAGAAACCCTGACAAACCCCCAAAAAACATCATAAACGAAAACGTACAAGTAAAATTTTCCCAATCAATTAAACCTCGTCTTCATGAAGAAGCATATTTGGGATTCCTTTGTTTACCGGAAACTTCCGTCCAGTCTCAGGGCAAACAAGCGCGCCTTCTTCGAGGTGGAGCTCGAGCAACGCGTGGTGGAGTTTCTTAAGGAAGGGCTCATCTGATTTCAGCACCGCCGCGTCCGGAGAATCCTCAGGTAACTCAGCGTATCCCATGGAACGCGCACCTTCCACAAGAGCTTTCCACTCAATCTTCGCGAACATGTGCCTGATAAAATCGGGATTGAAATCGACTTCCTTCTCAATCACGTTCCCAGCTTCGATCCGTAGAGGAAATCCATTGGTGACTCCTTTGATGTTGCAGGAAAGCATGTTGTGCGTTATCAACCTCATCTCTAGTTTCTCTCTGGCTTAACCCTAGTAAAAAAAAGCAAGACGAAGAAGACGAAGAAATAGATGCTGATGCTGATGCGGCCGAGGGTTTTTGTTTTTGTTTCGCTGCGTTTGATTTTAATCTCAACCGTTGATTTTTGCCACGTGCCTCCTGCGATATTTTAAGTCTCTGACGTCAGCAAACCGCGTAATATGCACGCTACTTTTAGCGCGTGGAGTATTTTTTTCAAAATTTTGCCGTTAGTCGAATTAATCGACATCTCCGGTATAAAATACCACCGACGTGTTTGGCGCTCAACTTTATTTCAGATTCATCTCACACAATTCGAGAGCGCAAGCAAGAAATTGAGAGCGAGAGCGAGAGACGAAGAGAGCGATAGATCGATTTCGTCATCTTTTTCATTTCAATTTCGATATCCGATCTAGAGATGCAGAAGTTAGGGTTTCCGGCGATGAAGAGCTTAGATAAACCACGATCGTTGTCTGGATCGGCGAATTTGTACTCCTTCTCCAATCGTCAGCCTCAGGATTCCGTCTCCTCCGGAAGTTTCTCGAATTTGAAACTCACTGCAGGTTTTTCTCTTGTTTATTTCATTCCGCTTCTCTCAAATCGTACTGTTATGATGATATCGACAATTTCACGTTTGTTTAACAGAGAAACTGGTGAAGGATCAGGCGGCTATGAGAACAGATCTAGAACTGGCGGTATTTTGGAAGCTATCTTGTTTTCTTCATACATTGTTTGCGTTTACGAACTTAAATTCGATGGATGTGCTTGTGAGGTATATTGCTAGGTTTGCGTTTATGAAAGTAGTTTTGATCTGGAGGTTTGAGCTCTTATTTTTGTTGTTCCGAGTATATAGCAGATACAAATTCACCTAAATTTGAAAGAAATTTTGCTCTTCCATGGTGTAGAACTGTAAGCTGAAAAAGTCATTGGAGCATGTTTATGCCTTAGAGGAGAAACTGCAGAACGCTTTTAATGAGAATGCTAAGCTCAGAGTTAGGCAAAAGGAAGATGAGAAGCTTTGGAGAGGATTGAAATCTAAATTCTCTTCGACAAAGACTCTGTGTGATCAACTTACTGAGACTCTGCAGCATTTAGCTTCTCAAGTTCAGGATGGTAAGAGTAAATGATCATACAGTCATCTGATTTTGTAAAATATCTTATATATGCTGTGTTGCTTTATATGTTCCCTAACTTGCATCTGCAGCTGAGAAGGATAAAGGTTTTTTTGAGACCAAATTCAGTACTAGTTCAGAAGCAATAGACTCTTTAAACCAGCAAATGCGAGACATGTCTTTAAGATTAGTTGCTGCTAAAGAAGAAATCACAAGCAGTAAGTCGCTGCATTATTCTATTTATGACCTGTAACGCAAGTTTGTAAGGTATCCAAGTTTGTAATATCTTTGAGTTGAAAATGCAGGAGATAAGGAATTGGAGGAGCTCAAACTCGAGAAACAACAGAAGGAAATGTTCTATCAAACTGAAAGGTGCGGAATTGCCAGTCTCATTGAGAATAAAGGTACATTTCTCGTCCCTTTTGAATTCACAATGCCATTTGGTCACATGCAGTTAAAAAATGATTGTTGAATTAGTCTTGTTCAAGACTGCGATTTGAAGAGCTTGAATATGTGGCCACACATTTCAAAAAGCAATGTTTCTGGAAGACGTTCATGATCTAAAGCAATGGTATTTTCTTCTTATTGAGTGCTTCTTCTGTGGCAGATGCTGTGATAACAAAGTTGGAAGCAACTGCAGCTGAAAGAAAACTCAACACTGAAAACTTGAATTCCCAACTCGAAAAGCTACATCTTGACTTAACAACAAAAGAAGACGAGGTCAAACACCTTGTTAGTATCCAGGAGAAGTTGGAGAAAGAAAAGACGAGTGTTCAGTTGAGTGCAGATGAACTGTTTGAAAAACTTGTCAGCTCAGAGCAGGAGGTTAAGAAGCTCGATGAATCTGTCCACTACTTGGTAGCTGAGTTGACTGAACTGGACAGAAAGAATTTAACCCTCGTCGAAAGTTTTGATAAACTAAGTGGCCTATATGATACTCACATTATCTTGCTGCAAAAGGACAGAGATCTTGCATTGGACCGTGCTCAAAGATCATTTGATCAACTCCAGGGCGAGTTATTTAGAGTAACTGCCCAAAAAGAAGCTCTGGAATCTGCAGGCAATGAACTAAATGAAAAAATAGTTGAGCTCCAGAATGATAAAGAGTCTTTAATATCTCAACTTTCTGGGGTACGCTGCTCTACAAGCCAGACCATTGGTAAACTGGAGTCTGAAGCAAAAGGACTAGTTTCAAAACATGCTGAAGCAGAATCAGTGATTTCGCAGCTGAAAGAAGAAATGGAAACTTTATTGGAAAATTTGAACACATCAGAGGATAAGAAGGTATAAAATTCTATAAATGCGCTGTAGCTAATGCATTTTTGCAATGCTAATTTTTTTCTTGTATATCTTGCAGCAAGAATTGTCATTAAAGCTTTCATCATTAGAGATGGAAAGCAAAGAGAATTGCAAGAAACTGCAGGCAGATGCACAGAGACAAGTTGGGGAACTAGAGACTTTGCAGAAAGAGATTGAGAGCCATCAGCTGCAGGCGGATTTGTTGGCAAAAGAGGTGAACCAGCTCCAAACCGTCATAGAGGAGAAAGGGCATGTTATCCTCCAGTGCAATGAAAACGAGAAGCAGTTAAACCAACAAATCATGAAGGTCTAAAAAGTTAATTCTAAGTCATGGCTTTAAGGTTTTCTAATCGACATTTTTAGTACTCAACGAATATAAGTCCCACTGCAGGACAAGGAGCTACTGGCAACTACTGAAACTAAGCTTGCAGAAGCAAAGAAGCAATATGACCTGATGCTAGAAAATAAACAGTTGGAATTATCAAGGCACTTAAAAGAATTATCACAGAGGAATGACCAGGTATATCTGTTGCAATGTTTCCATATATTAGGTAAATTAGTAACGTGAGGCCCTTAGCTGAATCTGAATGCAATATGCAAAGACACTAAAGACAATTTTGATCTCTCTATGTTCTTTTTAGGCAATTAATGATATTAGGAGGAAGTATGATGTAGAGAAGCAGGAGATTATTAATTCTGAAAAGGACAAGGTATAATGACCACAGTATCTTTTGTTGCAGTCTTCTGAACAATTGATGATGTCTCGGTGATGTTTTTTGTGGTTCTAACTCCAGGTTGAAAAGATTATTAAAGAGCTGTCCACTAAATATGATAAAGAACTCTCAGATTGCAAAGCAGAATCAAAGAGGCAACTGCTGACCATTCAAGAGGAACATTCTTCTCTGGTATGTTGGAAATCATTTATGAACTATTTGGACAAGGCTTCTTTGCGAATCTATAAGCTAAAGCTACCACATCTTATCCTGTTACTGAATTCATGCATTGTTGATTGTCTGATAGCATCAATCGATTCCAAAATATCTGATGGTTCTGACCATCACCAAATGAGCTTTGAATGAATTAATCAAACTGAGTTGAGTTGTTTATTAACAGAAAATGTAGATATCTGAAACGTTCTTGTATTTCTTGTATGCATTATCTGTTTGGAAGTTTATTTCTGACAGCATGGAAGTTTAAATTATTTTGCAAATCAACTGAGAAACGCTGCATGTTCCTCAGATTCTCAGTATTCGGAAGGAGCATGAGAGTAAGGAGCTCAATCTCAAAGCCAAGTATGACCAGGAACTGAGACAAAATCAGATTCAGGCTGAAAATGAACTGAAAGAGGTACCCACAGATATTACTTCATAGTTCAGATAGATGCAAGAGTATAGAGCCTCCAGTATTGAAACAGTTTGTATATTTATCCAGAGGATAACAGCTCTGAAGAGTGAGCATGATGCTCAGTTGAAAGCATTCAAGTGTCAGTATGAAGATGACTGCAAGAAGCTGCAAGAAGAATTAGATCTTCAAAGGAAAAAAGTAAGTCGTTTTTCAAGATCCATTATAATATGAATCTTTATGCGTTTAACTAATGGGCTACCCTTGCAGGAAGAGAGGCAAAGAGCTTTGGTGCAGTTACAGTGGAAGGTGATGAGTGACAATCCACCTGAAGAGCAAGAAGTGAACTCAAACAAGGTTAGAGTGGACTTTATTTTCTTCCTTATCGTTATCTATCCACTTTAAAATATGTGCTCAAAATAACATTAACAGGGTAATAACTGCGAAATATGTATCTGTAAGTCTATAACTAGATATCGTTATTGTTTCTTTGTCTGGTTGACAGAATGTTTATAATTTTGTAGAACTATTCAATTTCGAAAGATTCTCGTCTTGGTGGTAGCAAAAGAAGCGAGCATATAAGAGTGAGGGCAGACAATGATGACGAACAGGTAGAGAATCAAAATATATGGTTTTGTTCGTTTCTGCTTTGTCAAGGCTACACAAATAAACACTTCCTCATGGATCAAATGCAGGACTCTCCTTTTGTAAAGGCAAAAGAAACACCTGTGTCAAAAGTATTGAAGAAATCTCAAAATGTAAACACAGGAAGCGTACTGAGCATTCCAAATCCGAAGCATCATAGCAGGGTATACATTTGAACCTTTTACATCTTTACACTTTTACATCAATGTCAACCTCATCGTTTCTTTGATTTGTGGTTTAACTTGGCAGGTAGCTCATCGTGAATATGAAGTTGAAACGAATAATGGGAGGGTAACCAAACGAAGAAAAACAAGAAACACAGCCATGTTTGAGGTACCTTGTCCATCGAAACAAGAAATATATGGAACATATTCAAGAAAGCTAGCTTTACACTCTTTTTCAACAGGAGCCACAAAGACGCAGGACTAGGGTTACACCTAAATTGACCCCCCAAAGTGTCGCCAAGGTAAAATACTAATTCACTAGATTTTCTGATGCTTGAAATGTATAAAGCCCTCTTAAGTAAACTTAGTGCTGAAGCAGAGAGTAAAAAAAAATATGATGATAGGAAAAACATCATATTTTCACAAAATGCACAAGTTTTTTTCTGTAACTTGATTTATTCCACCTTATCTTCCTTGGTAATAAAATAGATAATCTGACAGGTGAGAACAATAAGAGCTCAGAGTTTCATAACTGCTTAGCCAACTGTTAGGTCTATCCAATTATAAATACAGTGATCCTTGTGATTTGGAAAGTCCGGCAGTTAGAAGTGCAGATCGTTTAAAGTCAAGAAGCTGTTGTAATGCTGCTAGGTTCTAAAATGTGTTATGAGTTAACTGCAGGGCGCAGGAATGACGGGTCATGCTCGCTCTGCAAATATTGGAGACTTGTTTTCAGAAGGATCCCTCAACCCATACGCTGATGATCCGTATGCATTTGATTGAAGTCTACCACACAAAGTCAGTTCCCTTCACTACACTATCTCTCTCACTTTCAGAAACATGCTACTCTTTGTAGAAGCTTGCTCACCAACCGATTTACATAACATTTTGATTCTTGCATCAACTATTGCATTTTCTTAACATGAAGTAACTATGCGAGTGTTTCAAAAACTTGTATATGTTGGTAAGAGGATTAATCCGGAACCTGTTTTGTATCTTGTGGTATCTACTGTTGCTATTAGTGGTTTTTGCTCTTGGTGGTAACAAATCTAATCATGTGATTAATAGTTTCCTGTTGAATGATTGTTTACAGAACACTGATTCCAAGTGGAGTGATCACTGAGGCCTGAGAAGAATCACAAGGAAGCAAGTGGAAAACAACACAATCATGCAGATCGAAGACATTCATATAAGGATATAATAAAACTAACATTCATATAAGGATATAATAAACCTATCAGTACTTGTATATATACATAACTCATACATATCTAGTTTCACATTCTTGGGCTCATTAACATACACTGAAAAGCAAGCCTAGCACAAGAGCTTAAACAAATTTAAAGTCTTAAACTGTTTTGTGGAGCTATGATCATCATGGTGCATGAATTTGCAGTTAGGACACACAAGAGTTGATTTACAGAGCATAACCAGCATGTGACACTTCATGCACACTGTTGTTACCATCTCTTGCTTCTTCTGACTATCATCATCATCATCACCTTCAAACGCTAGCCAAGACGGGGATCGACTTAGCCCTATATCACCTGATCTCACCTTCTTACTTGGGGTAGTCATGATCAAAGATACTCCTTTCGAACATTCATCTTTCTCCATGATTGTTTTTTTCATATTGAAACTTGATGACGAAGAAAGATTCAAATTAAGGTCCAGGTCTGTCCTATGATCTTCAAATGTCTCTGATAGGGTCTAAAAAAATAAATTTTAAACATGTTTTAGTTCATGTTTGTGTGCATATCCTTACATAAATACTTAGATTTTACGCATTCATACCTTAGCCTCTAGGTGAAGCTGAACATCAGGCTTTATCAACATGGCGCTCTCTGACTTTGATCTTTGAAAAAACAGAGTAGTAGAGTTCTTCTCAAGTTTGGTTTGTGTTTGATCTTCTTGTTTGCTCCGTTTAAAAGAACCATGAAACGATTCTCCAAAAACTTTCATATGATCCCTCTTTTTAGAACAGAGGGTTCCATCACGTAGAGAAAACATTAGACCTTTTCTTTTCTCACTCTTTTGTGCTTAAGAATCTCTCACTTTGCCTTGGTGTTAGAGAACGAATGATCAGATAGACGAACAGTTCGTGAAAGTCGTGTATATATATACAAGATAAGTCACCAAGGGAGTTATTATCCCCCACCGGTTCATGTAGAATAGTAGACAGAGTTAATGAGTTAGATATACCAAAATAAATATCGTAGATATTCGTTGACAATATAGGATTCAATTTATGATTTTTTTTTGCATGGCATAAAATAATGTCTACCTTGGTATTTGTTTACTCAACAAGGATTTATTTTGCATTTCTGATCCATATCAGTGCTCATATCTATCTAAAGAATGGTAACTCAAGATTTTAACCAATGTAATTATACTTTTATACTATACAGTATAATCCTGAAGTAAATTGTTTTCTTTTGGACTAATTTGAGTTTTGAAGGAAATGGATGATGATGATGATGTGTGAGTTCCAAGTTGGATGTGTGATCTCATTAAGTGTTGGGTATTGCTCCAAGGAGCCTCATTGAAATGTGTTGATTTATAGTTATATTGAATTCCTCTTTCTTTTTTCTTTTTTTCTTTCTTTTTTTTGCTTTTCTCTTCCACTACCATTATCATCAGCCATTATCTACACGACTACACGTCTGATGATGCATATAGTATACGAGTTGAGTGTATTCTTGTTGGTCATGAAGTTGTCTACATGTATGTATGATAATAATGATAAGCGTTATGTGATTCAAGAGGTGAATAATTATTAAATAGAAACCAATCAGAAAACAATAATAAATAAAAAGAAACTAAATACGGTTGAAGGAGGAAGGTTGATGACTTCATGAATGCCGAAGCAACATTAATACCACAATAACTCTCACTCCCACTTTTCAATATATTACACCAAAAATACGTACATATATTAATACTCCCTCTGATTTTTTTTTTATAAAACGTTTAAAGGATTTCTTTTGTTTCAATTTATTTTTTTTACACAAAATTTATTTATATATTTATTGTGAAATTTGTATCATGCAGTAGTTTTACTATTGGTTAGATAGTTTTTGATATTTTAAATGATTTTAATGTAAACAAGGTAAATCTGTATTATTCTGTGTATTCAGCCAGTAAAAAGAAACATGATCTTTAACCAAAAAACAGTATTCTATATATATACACTACGTAGTAAATTTCAAATAACAGACTGAAATCTTCTTCTGCGGCCTACCATGCCACGGCCTTCGCTTCCTCATTTATTTTTAGGACTCCTTTGGTCAGCTTCGTCATTAATCGCCTTTCTATTTTTCCCCTTTCTTCAAAGGGAATCTTGACAAATGTATCACTTTCTGACGATTCCCTTTGAAATCTACCACAATTGGAAAAGGTTTTCTGTTTCTACCACTTTTTTTGCCATGTGATAATTTATGGACGAGTTTGCCCTTGATGGCGACAGACTGATGTGTCAGAAAAAAGGACAGCTGCATTAATTGCACTCGGGGACAATTTTTGTTACATTTAGGGACAAATTTTATTACACTCGGGGACAATTTTTTCGAAACTCCGTCGACGAAGCTTCACCGCTCCAAATCTTGTGAGCTATGGGAATCATCATCATCATCATCTAGACCGATCAAAACTCATTCGATTCGAAGAGTTTATAGCGCAAATTTAGATCCATTCTCCGACGAAGAGTTTTCAAAAAAAATCCAAGAGCTAACTCTCAGATTCAATGTCCCAAACCAAAACGACGACGAGAATTCAGAACCGATGATAATTCACGATTACAAAGCTAATTCAATCGAGCCACCATAGAATGAGATGGTTCATTTGTCGAGTATTGAAATGAAAGCAAGCAGTGTTGATCTTCCTCGTTCACTTACTCGGGGACGAAGACAAAGATCTGGATTTACTCGGGGACAACTTTGTTTCGAAAGGTCACATCAACTGCAGTTCCTTATCTCACCAGTTGGAGAGTAAAATGGTCATTTTACAAACACAATGTGGTATGAATGATAATTGGGATTCAAATTGGGATTCAAATGTGGTAGAAGTGATAACTTTTGGGCAAAATGTGATACCCAATCTAATTTTTCTTCAAATTCAGCAGATAAAAAAAAAAAAAAAAAAAAAAAAAAAAAAAAAAAAAATCAGCATATGCATTTATTTTTAGATATACCTTTATAGTTTCATCTATATATACATTTTTGGATCACAATTAGCAAATAAATCCTGAAGTTGAAAAGTATTTACAATGACATGCCACTAGCATTAATTATTTAGATTTGTTTTATTTAAGTAAAGATTTTTAATTGAAATTCATTTCTCATATATTTAGCAAAAGTCTCTACAAAATCTTTCTTTATCTATTTAAGTAAAGATTCTGAAATCAAATATGTTCTCAACAATTTACCAAAAATCTCTACACAATCTTTTTAAAAATCTCGACTTAGTTAACTTCTGATTTTTATCTGCAAAAAAAAAATTAATTGTAACAGTTCTCAGAATTTGCAATAAATAATAAATCCAGATGACAAAAAAGAAAAAAAAAGTGATGTAAAAATCGGGAATGTTGATACTACAATTTCTTCTACTTATTTTTTTCATATAATGAAAATTATTTTTTAGGGATATTTTTAGGCCTGGGCAAAATACCCGGAACCGAATACCCGAACCGAAAAACCCGAACAATACCCGAACCGAACCCGAACCCGATTTTTAAAAATACCCGAATGGGTCCTAACCTCCTACCCGAAAAAAACCCGAACCGAACCCGAACCGAATCCAATACCCGAATGTACCCGAATGTACCCGAATACAAATATACACCTAAAAATATTAGTTATTTTTATTTTTATAATACCCAAAATATCTAAAATTACAATCATAAAACCGAATATATTAGATATTTTAGATATTTTTGGTTATATTTGGGTAGAGAGTAACCAATGTATTTTCGAGAAATCGGGTATTTCGGTTAGATTTGGGTATATATGAGTTAAAAACCCAAACCCGACCCGAACCCGAAAATATTCCGGGTATTTTTGGTTATTTTCGGGTATTTTGCTTTTTTATTAAAATACCCGAACCGACCCGAACCCGAACCGAACCCGAACCGAATTTTTAGAATACCCGAATGGGTCTTGACCTCCTACCCGAATATACCCGATACCCGAAAAAAAAGAACCGAACCCGAATGGGTACGCGAATGCCCAGGCCTAGATATTTTCTTAAAACCTCTAAACAAAACAAAGGGTTTCAAAAGATAGCTTCTCTTTTGGCGGATGGATCCGCAACCCCGCAACTCTCTACGGGCTTATCCGCATGAACCTGCAACCCGTAGTGGATAAAAATATTATTCAAAAAAATAACAAATGATGTTTAATTTTACGGGACGGGGTTATATGGTGCAACGGGTTTAGATCAATATTAATATTAAACAATATACTATGGATGAAATCCTAGAATTAAAAATCAAAATTTAATTATAAAATCAGAAACACTAAACAAAATAAACAATATTAACAAAACAAATACAACTTAAAATTTTGCAAAATAATTTTTTAGTTATAAAAAAATTGACCCGCGGAGTGCCGCGGGGTAAAATCTAGATTTGGAAGTTTAAGAAGAAATTTTTTTAAAAAAAAAATAATAGCTCCGCGGTGTACCGCAAGAAAAATCTTTCTCCTAAACTGAGGCAAGAAGAAGAAGAAAGCCAAATGTCGTTTAAGTGTATATATAGATATACCATTTAAACCTAAAACACAATTAATATACTCAAAATTATTAATATAGATATATGGATGGTACATTTATAAAATAGGTCGAAATATTTTATTATACTCTCTATTAATAAACAAAACTAATTATATTTAGATTTTTTAAAAAAAATTATAGCCCTGCGGTGTACCGCGGGTTCAAATCTAGTATTGTACATTAATATATATATATACTATACTATACTATACGTATGAATATACATATTAAGTTTAAATCCTAGAACTATGATCAACCCATAAAATAAAATATTGGTTCTAACTTCTGACTGAGAAACTTTTTAAAATTCATTAGATCTTTTTTTTTTTATTATTCATTAGATCTTTATATCCGTAACTAACAAAGTAACAATGTTTATAACTAAGTTTAGAAAATAGGAAATAGAAACATCAAAAATAAAAAAACTTAAGAGAGAATTTTCACAATTTTATTTCAAGATTAATCTTCTATGATTATAGTTAAAATAATATTACATACATTTTTTTGTTAAAGTAAAATAAAATTACGTACATTTTTCAAGAACCGTTTGTCTTGCTGAGTACTTTATTAGACACGACCTCGGGGGCCATTCAACATAATTTTTTGTTTCTTGGAGGAACGTCTTGCAAAAGAATTTTACCATACGAAAATCGTCTGTACACATTATATCATGTAATTGGGCCACATGCACCATGGCATGCATGCGATAGCCGGTAATTTAATTTCTGCATAGAATTACAACTATGCATAAATGGGGCTATTTACCACTAAATAAAAGGGAAAATAAAATGAAAGAATATAGTTTTCTCAAATAGTAACAAATTGCAAAAAAAATCATAAATTCGAATTAGGAGGGGAGGAAGAAGGTTTTAAAAGCTCGTAAGAGCAGCTACTTCATGCATGCAGTTACTTGTCTCGTCAATTTATTTAAAGCTAGCACCAGAAACTCATAATTTCGTAAATTGAAATATACAGGAAAATAGAAAACCATACCAAGCAATTTTAAAGATAGCACCATAAATTTGAGATTCCGTGAACTGAAATGTACAATATAATGGGAAAAAGATTGTATGAAATGAAAGCTTCGAGTAATTTATATATACTTTATCCAAAAAAAAGTAACTTTTGTTTTGTCTCGGGTAAAATAGTTAATGTATTACTACTATATATCTTGAATTACTTGGTTAGATGGAAAATCATAATTGTGACCCTCAGTTAATATTATTTTCTGAAATACGAAAATAGTTATTATTTCCTGGTGGAAGAATTAAAGATTCAGTACTTGCCTACCCGTTTCCATTAAATAATTTTGAACAAGTATAAATGCCTAGTAATAGTTAATACATCTAATTTATTTTTCAACGATAATTTTACAAAACAAATATGCAAAGATATGTTTTCAAGTTATAACTGAAGATGACTGCATGTTACCATGCAGAGTTCGGATTTCTATATATACCGGTGGAAGTTATTTAAGTTTGGAAACGGTTTCAAAATATATGCATTCACATTTCACATTTACTACAAAGGATAAAAAAAAAAGAGCATTTTCATAGTTCTACTTCTCTTCTTGTAAATAGTTTTACAAAAATGGAATGGATCAACCAACTTGTACAGTATTTAATCATGTAGTTAGCCTTAGGCATAACCACATATATAGATGATTGTTTAGGGATAATAAAATGCAGAGTCAGGATTTACTAAGAGGTAGCTAAACCTATATTAACGATCGACTTCATTTAAAGCAAAGCTCTAACGACTCTTCATCCTCACAAGGTGCTAATAAATGTAACCATAATTTCGAATTTTCAATTCAAGAATATATATTTCTATTGATTATTTCTATATAATTGTTTTGGTCAAGACATTTTATATATTGATAAGCTATAAAAATCATTCGGTTCCGTATAACCATTAATTAGTCGTTCTTCTATTCATCCACCAACACAAATTTCTTAGCGAAAGTTTAGATTAAAATAGTGAAAGTTTTAGATTAATCTTCTACATTGCAGAGAGTTTTCTTCCGATCCTTCTCTTCTTGCTTCTGCAGAATCATATTTTCAGTGTACAGATGCTTCGTACGTAATGGCCCAATTTGGATCTTTTTACTGCTGGCCCATTACCGTTCCACCCAACAAAATATATTTGAAAAAGAATATATAGAGTGATTAGTGATTACATAAGATAAAATTGGTTTACCTTCAGAGATTTCATCTTTTAAGCCTAAGGTGGTGTTATTCAATGATATTTTTAATAGAATTGAAATCCAACTTTAATCCAGTGTTATTCAACTAATGATTCTAAATCTAACTTTAAAATCTAGTGTTATTGGATCTTATACTTCATTAGATTTTAATAGTTTGGTGTTATTCAACTAAGATTTAAAATACTTCATTAAAATCCAGTGTTATTCAAAACTAAAAGACTTGAAAATTTTTTGTATATCAAATCATTTGAAATGATGAGTAAATTATTAGAATCAAAATCCAAGATATACTGTAGAGATTTTGAAATCCATACAAACAGATTCTTGAAAACAATATTAGAAAGCAAATCTAAACCTTAAAGAATTGACTTTTAACTCCATGATTGAATAACACCCCCTAAGAAGAGTGAAACAGGGAAAAGTCTTTTTTTAGTTACCTAATGAGATTAAGAAATCCAGGTCTCGAAGCTGATTTCACCAGAGAAATCTGCTTCCTTGTTTTGATTGATTCCACTAATCTCTGAACAACTCGATTACTTAACTTAACCACACACAAAACAAGACAATCAAAAGCTGACCAGGTTCTGAAGTGACCATGAGTATGATCTGTGTTCTTTGTTCTTCATTACAAACATATAATAGTTTATGCATCAAGTACTTCCCAAAAGGATCCATCATAAGCTTCACAACATGAGGAATCACTTCATTGAAAATGATCATTGCATCTAAAGCACTTCCATCTTCAAAGATCCTCTGTAAAAATCTGCAACCATGCTAACTTTTTTTTTTTAAAAACATTGACTTATGACTAATGAATTAATTTGATGACAATGTGACAAGTACATAAATAGTAGTAAAATTCAGATTTTTACAAAAACTTGAGAGATAAGTCGCAGTAAGAATCTATGTAATTCTCAACTGTTTATTTTGCAATATTTCGAAAGGGTAATAGAAACATGAAAAAAAAAAACTGAAATCATCTAGAGAAATATCGGAGGTTTTTTGCAGAAAAATGCAAGAATCAAATCTAATCATCTCTTTCTTTCCTTTTGCGAGATTGGTTGAGTTGCACTAAACTCGGAAAATAAGAAGAAGAGCACACAAGTGGAGGACAATACATTTGCGAAGGATATGTGGACATGGGGCAAGTATCCTCGATATAGGGAGCTTCTCCGAGACTCACAGATTTAGAGTATCCATCTTCTCCAATGATAAAAGCCGTGTTGTACCGAGTGGCCTTGGTTCGTATATATATATATATATATCCGTCAACATCGAAAACCACGACGACCTTCTCTTCCTCGTCAATGAAGAAGCTACCAGCTTCATGATTAAACCTAACACCAGTGAGTTTAAATGGTCTCATCTCCACCCTCAAAAACTTGCTCCAAGAAAGAGTGTTGGGCTCAATACTAGTCGTAACCCAAATATGTAATATGTCAGAAGATTTATTTTTTTGCTGATATAGTACCGCGAGCTGCTCTTCTTTAACACGTGAGAGGGTCACAGTCTCATTGAACTTAGAGTGAAACGGAAGAGGCAGGCGCGGTCCAAATTTTTCTCTTGTGAAATCAAAACAGAGTAAGAAATCTTCAAGATATATGGTTTGTACACCTCCAGGAACTCTTTCTACTTTGCTAGACAAGTTAGGTTCTATTGTTAATCCAGGAGAAAAGCAATGTCCAAGTTTCTCGTCAGCAAAAAAGTAAGAATTTCCCTTTAAAGACACGCTACGTTGATGAAACTTTATTCGCCAGCGAGAAGTGACGTCGAGAATCCTCCATGAATTAGAGTTAAAGTCGTAGATTTCGTACCCGAAACATTCCTTCTTTTGAAAGGAGTTATTATCCAAAAACCTCAAGATTTTGTGGTTACGGTTGATATCGTATCCTAGAGCATACGTGTCGTGTTCGTGAATTTTTTTGGGTACGATCCACTTTGTTTGACCCAAATAAGGGTTCCACACAATGAGCCTTGAGTTATCTTTGCCGACGCATAACAATAAGCCGTCGCAGTGAAAGACTTTAGATATATCGACTTGGTTGAGTAAATCTATCTGCTTTATAGATAGATCAACCAATTCTTCATCTTCATTGCGGCAAAGATGGAATCTCAGTGAACAAACTTTTGAATCCATCGTCATGAACCCCAAAAACTGCTCCCTAGCTGCTCCTTTACCCAAAACCCAATCTTTGGTTAAAGCTTTCCACAATTTGCAAGTGGAACGCACGGTTCTTATTGATGTTATCGGAATCTTGGTGAATATCATACCTACTAATTCTGGTGGAAGATCGCACATCCTTGTCATCTTCCCAAGCTTCACTAAACGCTGCAATAGATTTCTCTACTAATTAGGGTTTCTTTATATTTTTGGTGACAAATATGAAATAAATATAGTAATTATGACAAGAAAAAAACAAACATAAACCTTTGTACAAATTTTAAAAATTGACCCTTTCTTCATACAAAAAAATAAAAATGGGTTTTTTCATGTTAAAAAATCTTTAAAATTGGCCTTTTTCCATACTAAAGAAAATATTTAGGCATTTTCAAGCTAAAAATATCTTAAACTCTTCACTACAAGAAATTTGTTCATTGATAGCGCTAAAAATATGCTATCTTACGTTATAGATAGCGAATTCACAAACGCTATGTTCTCGGCAGCTATAGTAGGTATCACCCATACAAAAGCATTTTTTGTCGTGCTATTATAAGTCCTTCTAGTATAGCACTAATCGAATGCTTTAATATAATTTTTTATAACTCATAATTTTTGCTATATTATATTTTTGTGTAGCAAATTTTATGTGCTACATTATAAAATGATGAATTGCAAAATTATTTTAAATCTATAAATTTAAAATCCAAATAATTATATGCTACAAAACCAATTTGTTGAAAGCACATTTCTTTTCATAGATCATCAAAAAATACATAATTGTAATTTTACAAAATAGTTCAGCATTTAACACCATTTGTTATAAAAACAAAGGTCATAAACAACGTCATAAGTACTGCAATTCAGATGGACTAAACAAAGAACTCCATTGGTTTGCTCTTTCCCTCCCTCCAAGGACTTAGGATGATGTCTCATTCCAAGCAATTCTCATTTCACTGCCTTCTCTATATCCTCTGCAGTTCAGTTCTCTTTTTGAAGTTGGATGTCTTTGTATGAGTAAAAGCAAGTGACTTTCTCAATTACTTCTACAAGATAATGGCTAGAAAACCGTGAGAAAAAGAGGGAACCTGAGATTCATGATGGTCTTTTTAGCATCAGACTTCAAAGACAATCCAATGACCTAAACAGCTTCTGTTGTAGCTTATTCACCAGCCTTAAAAAAAATATTAAAAGAAACTTGCCTTAGCCTTCTGGACCATGCTTCCTTTGTTCTTGTCTTTCATTCCCACAGTCAACAACGTTAACACCTCTGTTGGCAAACATGGAACAAAGGGAAAACAGATTACTGAATTATGATTTACAAAAAATAAACGTTGATGATAAGAAAGGAAATTTTACTTACTCTTCTATGTTGCTAGTCCATTGTGCTTCAGGATCGTAGAGATTGTTACCACATTTGTGATTGCTAAATACACAAAAGATTAGATTATACGTATATAACACACAAGACGAGAAACAGATCTAAACAGAGATGGAGTGATAGTAAGAATCTATACCCATTCCAGGTATCACTCAAACTCCACTTCAAAAGCCTTTCTTTATCTCCTGCTTTCTCAATGAATCCAAGCACATGAGAGTACAATTACTAGCTAGGACTAGTATTAACCTTTTGTCCCTTCACTGTCAAAAACAGAACCCATGTAAGTTAAAAAAAAATAACGTGTGTATGAAATAAAAATGTAGTAGCTAACCAGAGAAACCCAAAACTTGTGACTTAGACAACCAAAACTTGCAAATTTAGAAACCAAAACCTGAAAATTCATAAACTAAAACCTGTAACAGAAAATCAAAACCTGCAGCCATCAATCTGGAAAGCTATTTCCACTTCCACAATCATCAGAAGCCATAAAAAACAGACTCCAATAAAGGATCAAGTATGAAACATTACCATTAACATTACAAATCTGTAGAGTAATCGTTATCTAAGTCGCAACAACCTAGACTAAAGTAACCAAATTAAATTCTTAAAGATCACATCCTAACAAATCTTAATAGAGTACACATGAACCATTTGAAGCAGCAATGAGAAAACGAGAAAAGTAACGACATCTTAATAGAGTAAACATGAACAATTGCAAACATTTTTCAAAGACTGCACATATATACCAAAGAGGAGACATTGCGACAGTCCATAAATAAGGCATGGTTTGCTTGAATCCTAAGAACTACGTGAGTAAAGACTCCATCATGTTCATTGAAAAAAAAACAAAGAAAAAGCGGAAAGACAGACCTCTCTTGGTTATTTCTTGAGCTTTGCTCTCTTGCCACTCTCACTAAATGGAAAAGAGCTCTGGAAGTATTTGAGGATTCATTGTATCTGGGAAACAAGTAAGATATTAGAGTAGAAAAAGGGAGAGTTCTATGATGTATGAAAATAGATATGTAAAAACTCACTAGAAGAACTCGATGGAGACTTTTTGCTTTCTAAATCGAAATCATTATCTCACTGCTAAATCAATCTAACCCAAATTCATCTACAATTGCTAATAAATCTAGTGAATCCTAACAAAATCGTACATATGGAGCCGAGAGAAAGAGAAAGACGGGAGTCGGAGGGAGAAGGATTAAGCAATTGATCGAGAAACCTTTCAGCTACGAAGAACCAAGCGACGAAGATGGTTTGGGTTTCACCTACGTTTCAGCCACCGAAATTAAATTTATGGTTTAAGGCTATCTCAGACCACCGACGAAGATGGAGACTGAAGATTTCATCAAATTGAAGAAGAATAAGATAAATTTGGGGATGAAAGCGAGGGTGACAAAGAGATAATGGATCTGAAATCTGAAGCGAAACTGATAAAATCTAATAGATCTAGGGTTGCATAATCAGAGGAAGAGAGTAAGCGAGAGAGGAGAAAAGAAGAATAGAGAGGTATAGGAGGAGAGAACGATGAAGGAGAAGAAGATAGAAATTAGGGTTGTCTCTTAATAATTTAAAAAAAAAAAATTTTTTGCTAAAGTGTTAAGCGGTTTTTGTGAAATATTTGCAAAGTTTTGGCGGTCATAAGTGATTCTACGTCTCTTCTTTGCTATTATAGGGCTTAGCATTTTTCAAATGCTACGATATAGTTACAAATCCCTCGATATCATCTTTAATAGCATTTGCAAAATCCGTGCTATCCGAATATGCTATCAATGCACACTTTTTTTGTAGTGCTTAAAAATTACTTTTTTCTTTACTAAAAAAAAAAAAATTGGGCCCTTAAATTTACCCAAAAAGTTTTGGTCCTACACATTTGGTCCTCTAACACTCCCCAAACATCGGCCCTGAACATATTATGTACATGGTTTTTTCTACACATTTATCACGTAGTTTTGAGTTAGAAACTCATAAATGTGATATATAATCTATTTTGATCTAATTAACGGTTTCTGTGATATAAATGGTCGTTTTGAATTGGCATTTCTGAAATTATTGGATGAACCTTAAATTTAACTTCTGACTAACATATTTCTATTGAATTCGAATATTTTGCAAGTTCGTTAAGATCTTTATTTTAAAATCTCAACTGACTCTGCAAAATATTCGAGTCCATGGCATAAGTATTTCTCTCTTTTCTCAAAGCGCAAATATCTCAATTAATTTGCTAAATGTAGAACTCGAAAAAATCTTTGTTGAAATCAGTTATTATCCTTTCTATAAAATCTTAATCATTCTCCAATCACAATGTTACGAACCATCTCTCTCACCTCCTCCTGTCTCCACACCATCTCCCTTTTAAGTACCTGGTCTTCACCATTCAACATTTCGATAGTTTTACTCACCGACCCTCTTTCCACCATAAATCATCAGCCAGTCATTGTGTTCCAAAGTGACCTCCCCCACAACTTCCCAAGTGTTCAAGTCCTGGAAATTCTGCTTAAAATCAAGAAGGTAAACACCCTCAGTCTCCTCTTGTATTTCTCCTTTCGTTTTATATTCTCTCAAGCCCATATCACTAATAAGTGAATCCCATTCATTGAGGTCAAGTCTTCGAGTTTCGGAACGCCTTAAGATCCTCAAGGTATCTGATTCAAATCAAACATGGCAAAATGTATATAAATTAACATCGACTTCATAACGGCGCAGATCCTGGAGGTTGTATGGCAGCAGTTCTCTCTCCGCCATTTGCTCCGCAAATGCCGCCGCAATTGCCGCGTCGTTTTCCGCCTCGATTGCCGCCTCATTTAACACCGCGATTAACGGTTTATGTGATATAAATGGCTGTTTTGGATAGGCATTTACACCGACCAAAATCTTTGACATGTCAATAGCCCATGAGACTTTATATATTAATATATATTTCATTGATAGGCCGAAATAACGAATCAGTATTAAAGTATTTTAACCAAAGCAAATCAAAATTCGCATCATCGAATCAAAATAGAGTTAATAAGTCAAAACATATAACTAGAGGTTAGATAACAATGAACATTCTTTGCACCACAAAAGTTATTGGTATAATCAGGTGCAAATGTATATAAATTTTTATTCTGCTGCAAGAAACTTACCATCGACGTCATGAAAGTGTAGATCATGCAGGTTGAATGGTATATAGATCATACTGATATATATATTAATATTTCTCTATATTCTCAAAGCATAAATACTTCTATTAATTTACTAAATATAGAGGTGTAAAAATATCTTTGTTGAAATCATTTATTGTCCTTTCTCTAACAAAAAGTTCACAATCTCGTAACTACTATTTTACTAACAAAATTAGAATATTTTTCATTCTTAATTTTAGATACTACTATTAAAGCAGAAGTCAAATATTTCCTAATATCTCAACATTTATATTTTGAGTGTTGACAAAATTAATCTCATTAATTAATTAGATAATTTGATATCCTCTCTTTTTTTCTTTCTAATTTGGTGCCAGTATATTCATTTATATTGCCTTATTTTTCTTTTTCAGTTTCTATATAACCAAAATATATAAAGTGGCATAAAGTATTCATAAGACGAAACCGGTATATAGAAAAATCTTGGTCCATACCAACAACATACCAAGAACAAGTTACATGCAACAAAAAACAACAACAGGAGAACATCGTCTAGATAGTAGTAGTAGACATTGCCTAGAGTGACTACTTAGTAGGACTTGAGATTATTCATAGCAACAAACAAACTTGGGGAAGAAGAAAACAACAACACATTTTGAAATTACAGACTCATCCACCAGTGAAGAGCCTTTTGACTTTCAATTCTTCAAGAGATTTCTTGAGAAAATCCTTTTGCAATAAGGATTGTTACGTAGAATCGAGTGAGGCCTTATGACTTCAACGAGTGTGGCATGAAGTGAACCCTATATGATTATTCCACAAAATCTTGGATCATTCTCCAGTCACAATGTTAGAGTTAAAAGACATTTTTAAACTTGAATTGGCTTTGTACCTTGGTGACAGCAAGAGCAGCTTGGATGACAAAGTTAGCATAAGGGTCTTGAATTAGAATATCAAAATGAGGAACAGAGATGAGTTCACGCACGATCTGAGGACGGCTCTCTGGACAATGTGTTAAGCATCTTTCCACCATATGACTACTGAATTTCTGCATTGAAAGCTCTACATAATGACCTTTTAACTGCGCAAGCATCGCGGCTATCGCAGAAAAATCCCTCAGTTCTAGAACGAATTGGACCGCATAGTTCCTGCATTTGATCAAGAACAAATAAATGCTTAGAATGAGTCCCTAGGTGTAATTCTAGTTACATGAGACTGTGAATTACCCATAAGGATCTTGAGCAAGGAAGAGACTGTTTCTTGAGATTTCAGTTACAAGCTTCTCTCTTTGTAGTCCACTGGAATAAGCAATGCATTTTTGTAACACACAACATCCATGTCGATGTGTCGCAATATCGATACAGAACTTTGTAGCATCTTCAAAGATGAACTATTAAGAGTGATTACATAAGATAAAATTGGTTCAGAGATTTCATTTTTTAAGCCTAAGAAGAGTAACAAAGGGAATCTTTACCTCGTTATCTTTTGTGCTAAGGCACTTCAAGCAACGTTGAATCACATGATTCCCATTTAGATCCCTAATGAGATTGAGAAATCCAGGTCTAAGAGCTAATTTCACCAAAGAAATCTGCTTCCTTGTCTTGATTGATTCCACTAATCTCTGAACAACTCGAGTACTTAAACCACACACAAAACAAAACAAAACAAAACAATCAAAAACAACATTAATTAGTTTGACATCAAATTGATCATACACAAATCTCTTACCCGTAAGCGTTGAGCGAAATCCGAATAAGCTGTCCAGGTTCTGAAGTGACCATAAGTATGATCTGTGTTCGTTGTTCTTCATTACAAACATCTAATAGTTTCTGCATCAAGTAATTCCCAAAAGGATCCATCATAAGCTCAACAACATGAGGAATCACTTCATTGAAAATAACCATAGCATCTAAAGCACTTCCATCTTCGAAGATCCTCTGTAAAAATCTGCAACCATGTTGATCTTTAGCCATTAAGTAAACATATCCCTGGAATTCAGATACTTTAGGCAGACTCTGATTCGTGTTACTGCTACTTCCTTGATCATCAAACAATGTCCCAACACCGCTTTTTCGATAAACCGGAACAGAGTAATTGTTCATGTAACAACTCTGCAATCCCAGATTAGGAATCTGATGATCCCTTTGATTTGGGAAGAGTAAAGTTTGATCCTTTTGATCAACACCAAAACCAGAGTAAAATCGCAATCCACCATCACCATTAGCGTCATAGTTACCAAAGTTGCTCCTTTGAGTTTGGTGATGAGTCTTGTATTCTTCTTCTGCAACATTCAAAAGATGGAAACTTTCGCAAAGACCTAAATCATCACCACCAAGATTATACTTGGTCATCAAGCCATCGAGTGGAGGAGAAGCGAACTGAGACGAACCATCCTCAGAAGAACACAACCCATTTGAGAAGTAACTCGAAAGTGAGTAATCAGACGGAGATCGGAGACAGAACCTAGTCGAACTGTTGTAAGATGAGTCACCAGGGAAGACATAATGATTACGATAGAACTTAGGAGAGTGATGATGTGATTGTGTTTGAAGAGGAGAAGAAGGAGAACGTGAAAGAGACGAAGGAGACGAAGCTTCTCCAAATTCACCTCTCATCATTATCTCTGTGTCTCGTTTGTTCTACAAAAATCAGAAACAGAACAAAATTATAACAAAAATCTATATTTTATTTGTGACAATTTTCTTGGTGTTTGATGAGAGACGAGCTCACTAATGGAAAAAGGGAGAGATCAAGAAGTGTTAAGGTTTGTTTGTTAACAAAAGTTTTTATAAAATTTCTGTGTGTGTGTGTTTTTTCTTTTCTTTAGTAAGTGATTAAGATAAATGTTTTTGTAAGTTTTTATTAATTATAAGTCAACTGAATTTAATAGAATATGCGATTAAATTGGCTAGATTTTCTCACTATTACTATTTTTGGCATATATATCTGAATCAGATTACAGAAATTATTTTAAGTTATAAGTGAACGTTTTCAATCAAATAGAAATGAAAAATGAAAAATCTAATATTAATATTTCATTTTAAAAAGAAAAACATATGTTGAAAAGTTGTTAACCTTTTTTGTCCAAATATTAGTGAAATAATCATTCTCCAAATAAAAAAATATAAGTTATATTTACCAATTAAACCTGACAATTTTGAGTTTTAATCAAGTTTTTCGGCTTTTTTTTACATCATCTATTCTAATCAAAAAGTGAGAAATTGGTAAAACCATAAACGCGTAAAACAAACAAAATTTGTAACAAATAGATATATCTTGATTTCAAATATTTACTAGTAGTTATTTATTATAAATTTCAAATCTCAAATATTTATACTTCATTTTGGTCAAAGATTGCTGTTGCTATCTTTCAGGTGTAGAATCGATAGAATTTTATGGTTGGACTAGGATCCAACATTATAGTAATTTAGTTATATATATTTTTTGTATTTTAGTAATTCAATAATATTAACTAAAGACTTTATCAACAAAAATAGTTATATTTTTTTGTCAAAACTCACAAGAGTCGCTGGTCAAAACTGAAATCCATCGATATATTGTAATTTGTTAGGATGGTTTGATATTGAAAATTCTTCAATATATCTAAGTATAATTTATCTTTTTGTAATTTATATGCTATATATCTCTGTTTAGCTTACTAAAAATGCACAAGAACAACAACAAAAAAAAAGTAAAACATCAAAGTAATTTAATTCGTGGAACAAATTATATGTTCATACATATCATCTTTCTTTTTGGAAACTTCGTGGAAATTATTGAACATTCCTTATTATGATCATCGATCCAATTAGACAGACCGTAATATAGCTGAATTATAGGCTCTAGAAGTGGTCCTTCTTAAGTTCTAATTCCGGTTAGTATAATCTGAGTCAAGCCATAAGCATGACTAGGAATATCATTAATTTGGTTTCCAAATTAGGAAAGACCCCGAAAACGATAGCTTCTGACACAAGCTACTCACTTTTTGACCACTTTTTATTCCTTGTTGGTAGCTGCTAATTAGTTACTTCCTCGCAATTTCCACTCTTTGCGTCACCATCCATAGTATCAGTTGCTTCTGCGTCAACGTCTAGTACTAAAGCCTTATGTTTGCGTCGATTAGTGGTTTTGTTCTTAAGTAATCAGATTTTGTATTTGGGTCAATATCTACTTGGGCTTGAAGCATATTATATGTGCATGTCTTTTCCACTTATTGTTTGTATAATTGGCCCGTTAACCAATCGGACTTTTAATGATTGGAGTAAGTCTTAGATACAATACAAGTATGCAAACTAAACACACACAAGATAAACAGAGGAAGCTCTGTAAAATAAGAGAAGTAAAGTGAAACATTTGATGAAAACAGTCTCAAACTTTCACAAGAGTATTATTATAAGAAAAAGATACTTAAAATTCACAAGTATTAATTTTACATACTTAAAACATACTCAAAGATCACTTCTTCCAGCTTCGACTACGAAACAGAGGATCTTGAATTCCACCGACAACCCAAGTTTCCTTAGCGATATCTGTAGAGAGTTTGTAATAGTTTGTGTCGTAATTCATCACTACCAAATTCATCTTCTTCTCTTCCTCCATTAATGATCTCAGATCCTTCTTATTTCTCACTCTCTCCTTCTCTTCTTCTTCTTCTTCTTCTTCTTCTTCTTCTCCGCTCTGTTTTACTCTGTTTTCACCTTCCTCTGTTTCTTCTTTCTTCTCCTCTAACCAATTCTTAACCGGGGCAGATCTGCACCGCATCAACAACAACGCGTTTGGCGGCGGAACCGCAGTTTCTACATCCGAAAAAGCGTTTTCCTTTTCGTTGACGCACTCTTCATTGTTTTGCTTTTCGTGTAAAACCATAAGCCATTTAGAGAAAACTGTCCCTGAGCTTTCATCTTCATCTTCTTCTTCTTCCTCTTCTTCTTCCTCGTCTTCTTCATCATCATCAGAGATTATATCCACCGGAGGAAACGCACCGAAACATCGAAAATCAAAATCGCGGAGGCAAGTCAAGAAGCCCATAACATCTCTCTTAATCCCAAAGAACTTACTCTCTGACTTGCTTCTATGTATCTTCTCTATCTCCGCCATTAAAGACTGCCAATTCTTGCTTCCACCATCTCGTTTACTTGACCGCACTTTGATCTGACCAGCACAAGTGACTTTTGGCGACGTAGGTTCTTCAACTACCTCCCTCCCACCACCGCGACTCTGACGAACTCCACCACCGCTTCCAGAGAGCTTACTGATGCTGCGGCGGTGGTGAGGAGCATTTTGACGGCGGTTAAAGGAATGAGAAGGGCTAGAAATGGATTTAGAAGGTAAAGACAAATGTGTTCTTGAAGGGAAACAAACCATCAAATCTGCTGAGTAACCAGAAGATTTTCCTCCTCCTCCTTTGATCATCTCTTCTTGTTCTTTTTTTTTTCCAATCCGATTCTCTCTTCTTCTTCTTTGGATTTGTATATAATAGGATCGATCTTGAAGAGAGTGGTTTAGCTTTTTATCTTTTGGTTTAAAAATGGAATTGCTTTCGTCTACTTTTTCTTGAAAATTTGTTTATTTAAGCCTTTAGCATTCTTGTGCTTTGACAGCTTCGCAAGCTTTATCTTTTGCTGGAAAATAATACTTTCTTTGCCATCGTAAATCTTATTTTGCCCTTTCTATATTAATCAAAAACAATTGAGCACAAATTGATAAGTATTTTATTGTTTTTTGTTGGTAGCATCAACCATGTGTAATATGATTATTGAATGACAAGTGACAACACACATGCTTTTTTATTAACTATAGATTTTTGTTATATAGTTAGCGATCCGAAAGTTTGATGTCAGAATGAAAAAGAATATTGTTCAGTTCACGAATCGTTGCTATAGATTTGTTTTGTGATTTCTTCTTTGCATTTTACCTACTTCAACGATTTTGCTATTACGCAGTATAAATGATGTTTTAAATCAATAAACTTTGGAACCATATGAAATTTATCCAAGACAGACATTAGTTTAACAAAAACTTAACTAAGCAGAGTATGCAATTATTATTTAACCTGTTTTACTAATAGCATATATAGCCAAACAAACTAAACAATGACCTAAACATATTTAGTTTAACATGCAAAGAAAAGAAAATTATTGATCGAATATCATATATATTGTAGCGCCAATATAAATGTTTTGCCTAACACTTCTAATTTGTTAATGATTTAGATTTAGTCATCATTCGTACCTATGGCTACAGCCTACAGTCGAACTAAATTCCGCACTTATAAGAGATTCTGTTAAATTATTCGTTTCGAATAACAAATTCTTATTGGTAATCATGTAACATGTATCATGTATGGACCAGATCTTCGATCTAACAAACCCCATGTTTATATAATTCGGCAGCTTTTGAAATTTATAATAACGTGATTAAATTAGTGTGCCAGTGACTAATTACAACGTTCTTTAAGTCATGATTTCACTCAGTGGCTACAATAATGATTACCTGAATTGATTAGGTGATTCTAATGATAACAGAATCAATTATTTATCGATTGATTATCTCTTAAAAGAGAAGGAATCTAAGACCATTGTTATATCAAATTTATGTCACTGCTCATAAGTTTTTTTAATAGAAGGTGATGATGTTTTAGCGGCTGAAAAGAACAATAGTATTGTATGAGTTTATAATGGTCTAAACAAGAATTTCTGTTTGGTAACCGACCGAATAGCATAATTTTCACATAATTTTTACCAATCATTACGGAAACATTATTTTTATTTAAACATCCATTCATTATTTCTTAAATCCTGGAGTATATCATCATGATTTGTAAGAGTTTATTCACTTTTATGGTTCATTTGTTTTAATCATTTTACACAATTTTTTAAAAATGTGTTCTATATCTCGTTAAGATAAAAATAAAAGAAGCTGTTGTTGAAGGTTAATAAGAAACGTCTCTACGCCAATGGTTGCAATTTTCAATCTCTTGAATGACTTTGCCTTTTATAACTAATAACTCAGTAAAAAGGTTACTAAACGTTTTTTTTATAAACTTATGAGGAAAAAGCTAACGTCAATTGGCCTAACATGGATTAGTTGACGACATTTTTGTTATTTTCTTAGAAATTCTGACGTCTTTCGGCACCATTCATGCCACATTATTGTTTTTCTTTTGTCACAAGGATCCAAATCCGCATATGATTCCAAAGATTGACCAAATTGGTAAAGACTTTGTACAGTGTAATAATTAAATATGCGTACAAAAGAAAAAAATCATTCTTACAAATGTAAAACACAAGAAGCCCACAAGGCCCATGACGAGACCCAACAAAAACTTAAAATGAATTCATCTCTAAAGCGTTCTTCTTGCACTTTAACAAAGCGACGACCGCTTCACCGTACATACAATCTCCGGCGAAAGCCTCCGTCGCCAGCTCAGCATCATCTCCGACGACATCGGAATATTCTCCACTCGGACGGATGATCACAAGCGTGGCAGATTCTAAACAAATACCACTCTTAAGTTTAAGAGACGGCGCGTGTCTCATACTCATCCTCACGCTCGGGACAACACTCCTGCTATTTTTCACCACGCGCTCCTCGTCTTCCACACGCGCCTCCGTATTCCTAAACTCTTTAAGCCCTTCCGCGTCCATCACCACCGTCCCCTCTCCTTCTACGTCACGCATGATCAAACTCTCCATCTCCACGTGCTCCTTCACGACTTCTCTCATCAAGTAATGACGAGACGACGCAGCCATCAACGCGCTTATCGTCCACACGACACGTGTCTTCAGTCCGGTCACAAACTCGGCGTCTGACTCACCGTCTACGGCGACGGGAGAAGACACGGTAGCGGCGGAACGGAAGGCGACAACGACGCAGCTCTTGAGAGTTTTCCCAAACTCCGCTTTCCACTTAACGGCGGCGCCTTTTTCAAGCTTTACATCGCCGCCGTGAAGCTCGACGTCCAAACTCCGGATCTTGTCAAACGGGGAGAGAATCTTGGAGGGGAGACTCGGAGAGAGAGCCGTGACTGGGATTGGTTTAGCCGGTTTAGAGAAAAGAGAGAAGAGACCGTGAAAGGACTTGAATAAGGATTGGAAGATACTGGTGAATGGTGAATCGGAGTCGGGGTGGTCGAGTCGGAGGATGAGTGACTCAGACTGAGGGACAAGCGAGCTGAATCTTTTTGAAAGAGAAGTGCAACGAAGTAAGGTTTTGACGTCACCAACTTTGTTCAAGATGTCGACGATGATCGGGTCAGGAAGGCCATCGAAAACGTCCATCTTACAGAAACTTCGGAATGAAAGAGAGAGTTTCTTTGTTTCTCTTCTGTGTTTTCTTCTGTTTCACTTTCTTGCTATGATTGATTATGCCTAAGAGTTCGGAGAGTGTAACAAAGGAGTTTAAATAGAGGTTGTTTTTTTTGGAAAGGAAGAAGAAGCCAAAAAGACAAAAGTAAAAATCATTTTTTTTTTCCGGCATGTAGGACCATTGCCGTCTTTTAATAGTATTGTAATTGGTACAACCAATAATAAAATTCGGGCACTTTGTTTTGCTCGTTTGATGTTTTCAAAAGGAGACATCGGACGGTCTATAAGCTTTCTTGATCGACGGTTCGTGGTGATTTAACATTGTTTACCATTATCTCGATCCATTACCGGAAATATCCAAGAAAGTATCATAAACTAGAATCTTATATAGTGATTTGTATCTTGTTATGTCACTTTGCTATCTCAATTATTTAATTACTAAATTAACAAAGTATGTATGGTAATTACTGCGAAAATCGACTATAAGAAATTTGATTTTGTACGATTCTGACGAAAAGTTGATGATGTTTCTAAAGCATAATTTTGAAGATGTCCTTAATAATTGGTAGGCTCGCTTGGGCTTCAGTATAAGTCATTTTTTCTATCATTTCTCTAAGAGTATCTCTAAACTTTTCAATATTTCTATTCATAATCACTTTGTCGACAAACCTTAGAAAATGAGCCTTTTTCTTGTCTGATTAATTTTACAATGAGTGAAGTTGCTAAATGGATATGAAGATATTTCAATAACTAATATATACACATTAGGACTTTATTCAAAAAAAAATATATACATTAGTACAATAAGCTTCATATTTAATACAATGTTAGTTATTACAAGCTACTCACTTGGTTTAATTTCTCGTTAATTAGTTGGTCATCTAATTTCCCATCTATCAAAATATATCGTAGTATAAACCAACTAATAAAAATACGTCATAATCTAAGATACTTTTATGTACGATGAAAGCAAAATTTGAACTTTTTGGCATCCGGAAGGGTCACATACTCACATTATATACTTTAAAAGTATATATACACATATAAATAGTATCAATGAGGACATTCCTTTTTCTTTATTTTTTTTTATTTTTTTCTCTATTTATTGCAAATTATGAGAACTGTTACATAGACGATTCTACAACGGACAATTCTTTCCGGTCCTTATTAGATATACGATAAACGACATTTCCTTCTTCATGCTCTTGACGGACATCTTCAACGATCCAAGATCTGACGATACTTCTCTCTCTGCGTAGAATCCTGGCTAACGGCTATAATTGTACATCGCTGGAAATCTCTTGCACACTTGCCTCCATTAATCTGCAAATTTACTAATAAATCGCAATATCTGGGATTCGAAGCTTAGACCTCTTGGTGTAGAAGCATTAATTAACCTTTAGTCAATCAATGGGTCAAAAGAACTTCCACATTCTTTTTTCTTTAATGAGGAATATTATCAGTATTAAAAAATTGCAATTCTCCGTCTATACACATTTTAAGAGTTTTGAATTGAAAATAGTATATTTATTGTCATCTAATTTTAAATTAATGATCACTTGTAATTAAAAATGTCCAACAATGTTTATAACGTCACTTGTAAGTTTTAATGTTAAAATCTAATGATGATGGTCTAGTGATTTTGTGTCCAGGTTCTGTGGTTTAACACTAAATCCTATTAGGATTTGTGGCTTGTGAACTTGTCCATTTGGCTTTTGTATACCAAAAGATATTATGAGTTCTTCAAATTTGTTCACAAATATTTGTTTTGTTGTAAGACAGAATTAGAAACGAATGATCCCAAACGGTATATAATAAAGATTCTTTCAACTTGGTATAATATCACAGACGGAATATTAAATCAAAGGGGTATCGTTGAATTCTAGTTTTCTAATTGGTTTAAACAATGGAATATGCTTTTACTAGGAAAAATAATACATTCTGTCGACATTATTTTAATTTTTGATTCCCTGAGCTATGATCAGGAAATAAAAATAATTGTAGGTCTTTAAATATAAATTATTAATTTGAATATTTAATAAATATATCCAACTCGAACATTTTTAATTGCAATATCAGTAATTTTATATGAAGTGGGTAGGAAATATACTAATTTAGTTCCCGGTACAACTCATACTTGACAACGACTAAACTATAGATTAAGACGATTTTAATCATTAGCTTATTGAGTATAATTTTTTTTATAGATTTAATGATTCATATTTTGTTTGAAACGCACGGCCGGATAGGCGGATACTACTTTTCTATCGTGTTTACCGGAAAACGTCAAACATTAATTGAATTCGGAACTATAAAATATAGCTTTGTGAATAAGTACTTTCATAATTTTTAAAATTACAAAAAAATTAATAAAACAGATGAGCCTAAGAAATATATATAAATAAATTTGTATGTGGCCATATATCTATTATCATAACTAGCATATATACAAATGTGTAATTTATTTTAGCAAGCCTTCTAGAAAAATAATATAGAAGAAGAAATTCATTTAAATATCTTACAACACTGTGTAATGAAAATTTAACATTTTCGGTATTATTATTGAAACAATAGTTTAAAAATCTAAAAATTAAAGTCACCACTTTTATTTTGCTAAGAGTCCCATATATTTCAGGGCGGGTAACACGAAACTCAATCTATCGTATGAATCACTTCTTCTTCTTCTCCAAGTGTTTGTTTCTTCCACTTTACCAAACGCTCCAGAAATTCTTTAACCTGCATCTCACATTATAACAATATTGCAGTAATTAGTCAGTGAGTCAGTGATTATAAATATTATATAGCACATTTGCACTAATACATCTTATTTTAAAATTTTCCTGAAATAATGTATACCTGAGATGGGTCTTGAAGAGAGTAGGAGGCGTAGGTTTCCTTAAGAGTTTTTGAGACGACAATCCCAAAACCTTGTCCCCTTTCACATAAAACCTATCCCAAATATGTTTTATGGCGTCAATATAGTATAATCCTTAATATATGGCATCCAAAAGAAGAACAAAAAATCACACTCTTAATTGGGCTTGGTGTTGTTTTGGTTCAACATACCTTAAATGCATCTTCATCAGTACGGTCATCTCCAATGTACACCGGTAAAACATCTTTAGATTCAGCTATCCCTATTTTAATTAAGCCAAACATATTTTCAGATTAAAGGATCTAATTAACATTATCAAAGTATGAATTACGAAAGTCCAAACTTCAGAAAGACAAAAATAAATCACACCTAATGACTTTAGCAAAAATTCAAGAGCCTTTCCCTTGTCCCATTTGATGGAAGGTCGGAGTTCTAACACCTGGTTTATTGAATGAATAATTACGGTTAAATACATTACATTAATCAACTAAGCGCCATATTAACAATTTGATAAACTTTCATGAATCAAATGTTACCTTTCTGCCTTGTGTCAGTCTCAATTTGGGATAATCAATGAGAACCAATCTCACTTGCTCGGCTAGTGCAGCCCATCCCTGTCGAGTACAAACACATTCTTGAAAACAATTTTAACAAAAATAAATGTCAACGAAAACAGAAAACCCTTGTTCTTAAAATTGTTATTTTGTTTCCGTCAAAAGAGACATCTTATCCACTATCGTAAAAATAAAACGTTGGTTAAATGATCCTCTTAGACGACCATAATGTAAATAGATATTTACCGTTTCATCAACGCGACGAAAATGTACTGTTAGACAAAACTTGTTGTGCTCGACCGTAGCTCCAGGGATAAATTTTGTCTTTTCCTTTAAAACGTTAACCACCTAACCTCGTATAATCAACAAATCAATTTCTTGTTTTTTGTTCCTTAAAGTATCACGTCATAAAAAGAGAACTTAAAGATGACGAAACTACGAAAAAAAAAACCTCGTCAATCATCGGTAAATAGTCACTTGCAGGTTGAAACATCACTTCTCCTTGGTTACTCTGCGATGAATTCATTAATCATAAAATATAACAACAAATTTTATCTCTCAAATTTTCCAAAAAAAAAAAAAAAAATAGACACAATGAACCTGATCGGTATTTGTCGGACCCTTAATGTCCATGCCGTGGCTACCGGCGTAGTGAATTCCAGTGAGTTTCACAAAACTCTGTACCTAAACAAACAAAAACATATATCATATATCCTTATACACTTTACCATATCTACTAGTATAAGTCTATAAGTAATGCACGCAGCCAAATCGAATATATTAGTTGATATCATTTACTTTGTCAGTACTTCGTCCGCTGATGATCGCAGTCTTGAAATACGTAGCCACTTCCTTTACAACTTCTCGCATCTGTAAGATATACTTTAGCTTAATAACTAAACTCAAACTATATTTAAACTGCATGGAACATAGCAATGATAGCATGAAGCAAGGTCAGAAAAAACCTCGTCGGTTATGTAAGCTTTGTCGTGATCTTCAGTGATTAGTGAGAGAGTTCCATCGTAGTCAAGAAACATAATAATTTGTTTGCCTTCTGCATCAGTCATGATTTTGTCGAACATATCTAATGCGGACGGATGACGTGCCTAACTCCAAGAAGAAAACTATTATAAAAGGGAGCCTAAAATCCAAAATTTAACAAAACAGCACCGTTTTACTAAATTTTGAAGCCGATCAATAAATAGATTTCAACTCTTAATATTTAGACTGGATTAATATATATTACGTAGCCCATTTTTCAAATTAATTTAATGGACCTAAAGGATCAGAATTTCTACTAACCAAATGAAAGTGAATACCGTTCTAGTGAAAATCAAACTTTAGAAACAAACGAGTTTATGTCTTGTCCCATGATGATCTTTACCATAAAGCTAGCCACTAACACTTGTTATACTTTTGTTATAAATAAAAACAATATATATGTGCTCGTATGATGATGATCCAACATCTAATATCTAAGCTAAATAAATTATAAACACATGAATCGATGTAGGAAAATGAATTATAAGTTATATACGGCGTGCGTATAAAGGAATTAGACATTTAATCACAAAAAATACAAATTAGAAAATTTAAACTAAGAAAAATACCAAAAAGAATTTCATAAATGTGCATCAGACAAGAACATCACATTTGAAAGATTAAAACGTAAATGAAAAGAACAGTAAAAATGCTTTAAAAAGATTATCCAAACAAAAAAGTTTCATAAAACAAAATATAAAATAACGTACAATCCAGGAGCTTCTCTCGTCATCGTTCTCGGATACATGTTCATCAGAGGAGGAAGATCTGACACGGGTCGGGGACATATCCCTCAATGAATCGACCAAAGTCTCGATCTTTCCCGCAGCATCCGTAATCTTCATGTCAGCGATCTGAGAGAGGTAAGAGTAACTCGGCGGTGGCGAAAACACAGAGTCTATAATCTATATTTCTCAGTTGTTGCACAAACCACTCTTTAGGCTCATCTCATATATAAACGGTTTTTGTAGCAGAATATATGTAGTTAATAGCTAATTTATAGACGATGGCATGCGCATAAAGATGATTCCATAATTATGTTCCATTAATATAGAAAACCGAATCCTAATTAAGTAAAGAATTTGGTAAATAAATTCATATCTTGAAGATGTTGATATTGACATCATATTTTAAGTAAACGACTAAATTGAAACCTCTCATTTCTTTGAATATATATAGGGTTTACCAACGCATATGGAGTTTCCAATTGTGTTACTGTTAAAATGTTCATGCATGAAGAAATTAACCCATTTAAGATGATTCTCCTCTTTTTTGGTATCATGCTTCATTTGGTAAAAAAAAAATCAATACTTTTGACTTTGTTTACATGGACACATATTAATTAGATTATGTATCACAAGATTGTTCTTTCTGGATCCTGCAAATGACTGTTTGACTAACATTTCATAATTAAATTCATGTTTTAAGAAAAAAAAACATATCATACTTATTTTTCTCATATATGGGAGTATAGAAGGTACAAAAATTATTTATATGGGCCTTATTGATACTCAGAGCCCAAACCCAATTTGGAAAAACAAAAAATAAAAATAAAGCGCTCAATATGCAAATGAGCATGATCAAAACTACAAATACGAAAACATTAAACGACGTCGTTGTAAGCGTAGCGTCGGCGTCGTCCGTGATTCTCTCTTGCTTATTTTTGGGGAAGACGATTCCGAGAAAATAGAGAGTAGAAGAGAAGAGAGATCCTAAAAGGTCAAAAGAGGTCAGGTGATTGATTAACCCGTTGAATCATCTCCTTCTCCCGTTGAATCGGGTCAAAATAGTTTGAACTTTAAGCCAAACCCTAGCTTGAGGAGGAAGAGGGAATGGTCGGCGTGATGAACAGATTGAGGAATCTGGACGCTTACCCTAAAATCAATGAAGATTTCTACAGGCGTACTCTTTCTGGTGGTGTTATCACCCTTGTCTCTTCTTTCGTCATGCTAATTCTCTTCTTCTCCGAGCTTCGTAAGTTCATTTGATTACCCCTGTTTTTGTTTTGGATCCAATTTGATTTGGGGAAGCTTAAAGGTTGATGCTTTGTAGGATTTGAGCTCCAAAGTTTTGTTTTTTCTTCGTGGGTTTTGAATTTGATGGTGTTTTTGTTTTGTTTTATTTATGGGTTTGTTGTTCTAGAGCTCTATATTCACCCGGTTACTGAGACTCAGCTTCGTGTTGATACATCAAGAGGAGAGAAGCTACGCATTAATGTAAAATTTTGTTCCTTTGCTTACTAGTTATTTTGTCAAGGAAGCTTCTTTAGTAACTTGCCTTATATGATTTGCAGTTTGATGTTACATTCCCTGCGCTTCAATGTTCGATTATTAGTCTTGATTCCATGGATATCAGTGGAGAGAGGCATCTTGATGTGGTACGTGCTGGTGAATTGCTCTGTTCCATTACGTTTTTTTTTTCTTTTTCAAATCATGCGTGTTTACTTTGTCTGAAATTTGATTCTGTTCGTTTGGTATATTGTAGCGACATGACATAATTAAAAGAAGATTAGACTCTTCTGGCAATGTGATCGAGGCAAAACAAGATGGAATTGGTCATACTAAGGTTAGTTTTTCACTGGTTTTGACCTTTTTCATTTTCATGTGTCATCTCTGATCTCATTGCAAGAAGTTTTAAGAAATAGAAAGTGTTGAAGTTCTGTTTTATTTGCTTCGTTATGTCTCTAATTCCCCCTCATGTTATTGTCTATCCCCAGATTGAAAAACCTTTACAAAAACATGGTGGAAGGTTGGAGCACAATGAAACATACTGTGGTTCCTGTTTTGGAGCCGAAGCTGTAAGCTTCCCTAAATCATTCTAAGAATATGCTCTCACAAGCGATATTGGACTTTCAGTTGCAGTAGAGAATTTTCAACAGATTTCTTTAGTGTTGATTCAGTTTTTTGACATTTTAGTTTCTTATATGGTGGTGAAATGTTTTTGATCCTCGTTACATGTTGTGGTTGTCATCGCTTCCCGTTACAGTCAGATGATGCTTGTTGTAATTCATGTGAGGAAGTTCGTGAAGCTTACCGAAAGAAAGGTTGGGCCCTCTCAGACCCTGAATCAATCGACCAGGTATACTGACATGCCTTTACTAGCTACAAAATTGAGTTGATTTTGTTACTTAGTTTGAAACAAATAGCAACATCTTTTATGCCCTAAACTGGAATATCTGAAGAAAGCATGGATATTTGGTCTTTCGTTTTAGCTATCCCCACGTCTAGTTGTATGATATTCTTACTCATCATTTCATCTCAGTGTAAAAGAGAAGGCTTTGTGCAAAAGGTCAAAGACGAAGAAGGTGAAGGTTGTAATGTTCACGGTTTCTTGGAAGTTAACAAAGTTGCTGGGAACTTTCATTTCATTCCTGGGCAAAGCTTTCATCAATCTGGTTTTCAATTTCATGATATGTTATTGTTCCAGCAAGGCAACTACAATGTAAGAAAAGTTTTATTCTTGTTTCAGTCTCTCTTTATAAGCTCATATTTCAAATAGGTCTTGACTCCATTATATCTCTACACAGATTAGCCACACGGTCAACAGGTTGGCCTTTGGGGACTTTTTCCCGGGTGTAGTGAACCCTCTTGATGGGTAAAAACTTTATTCCAAAGCTATTACTCGCATCTGTTATCGCTTTCCAATAATCTTACCTTTTGAAACATTCTCTTGATTCTCTCAGTGTGCAGTGGAATCAGGGGAAACAGAGTGGTGTTTATCAATATTTCATCAAGGTTTGCTTCATTTTTACATTATATCTATAGATCACACTCTCACGTGGACAATATTTTAGATAACAAAATTTCTAATAGGCGTCGGTTAGATTTCTAAATTGGTCATTATTAGCTCAGGTTACTGTTAGAGAAGTACAAAGACATTATGCTTGTTGACAAATGCAATTTTTTGTTTCCATCGGTAGCTTTTGCGTGCTATAAAGATTGTTGAGTGTAGTGATAAACAATGGACTATGGTTTTGAATTGTAGGTGGTACCAAGCATATACACTGATGTTCACCAGAATACAATTCAGTCGAACCAGGTAAAGCCCACATCTCCAAATATCTGTTTAAACATCTTTGACATTTTCTTTTTGTTAAATCTAACACATGGGTTTTCGTTTTTAACAGTTCTCTGTGACGGAACATTTCCAAAACATGGAAGCAGGTCGCATGCAATCTCCGCCTGGTGTTTTCTTCTACTATGATCTATCGCCGATTAAGGTCTGTTTGGGCTTTTTTTTTTTTTTTCCGGTAGTGTGTTAATAATAATAATGGAGACTATGTCTCTGAAAACATTTTAATTTTTTAATTGTTGGTTAGGTGATATTTGAGGAGCAACATGTGGAGTTCTTGCACTTCCTAACAAATGTTTGCGCTATAGTTGGAGGTAATCCATATATCTCCCTTGTCCATTCAATTATAAACATACTACTGAGATATGTTATCATCAAATTCAAAACTAAAATACATTTGATTTGCAGGTATCTTCACGGTATCGGGGATAGTAGATTCGTTCATATACCATGGACAACGAGCAATTAAGAAGAAAATGGAGATTGGTAAATTCAACTGAGTTGTTTAATATTCTCCACACTTTCTTGATCAGCGACTGGGGAATCATCTCGACGGCTTTTACGGTTAGACATTAGGTTTGAATTTGGTGACAGTACGATGATGATCGATTGATTTAAAGAATTTTGCAGTACTGTAAGATATTTAAGGATCTGAACTTTTGCCTTTCAGTATTCCCTATCTCTTCATAGGCAACGTACAAAGTGTAAAATGATGTGATCTCCAATCGAAACGATTTAAAAAAGCACGAACATATTATAGCTTTGTTTTATTTATTTTGGGGGCAAAATTATAGCTTTGTTTTTAACACTACACAATAGAGTTCTGCTTTTCCCAATCAAGTTTTTATAATTTAAGTAGTTTCTAGATCATTTACGTTATGTTTCTTGAGCCAATATAGATTTACGATTTTAAGTTAAGCTAAGAAAAACTTTTAATTAAGACAAGGAAAATACATTTTAAAAAAAACAAACAAATTACATAAAAAAATCTCGCACGGTCGAAGCATGACAAAAAAAACCCAGCTTGGACCGACGCAGAGACTAACAATAATAACATTAAAGTACATAAACTTATTAATATTAACATAAAGCCCCCTAATAATGATAAGTTGATAATATCCCTGCAAATGACCAAAAACTCCATTGCAGTGACATCTAATATTCCTAAAATACCCCTATGGCATCAACTAATTTACATGACTCGAACACTGAAGAATCGAATCCCAATCGATCTCGTACGACGGATACTTCTCCAACGCAAACTCATTCCACGGCGGCTGAATCTCCTCCTCCGTATCACAAAACGTCAGATCCGACAACGGCGAAGAAGATCCACCAGATCCGTAACTCTCCGTTAACGGCGGCGAAGAACCAGCGCTAGAGTAATCCTCCGGTTTTACTCCCGAATCAGCCTCCGGTTGTTTAGCGGCGGCGGTTGATGAACGTTTCCGGAAAGAAGACTTCTTCGTTGATTTCCCCTGTTTCTGAGTCATCTCAGCTAAGTTTTGACAAATAGCTTCAAGCTTAGCGTCGACTGATGATTGAAGAGGTTGATACTCGCCGATGTTAGATCCGTTATGACGGAGATTAGGGAAATTAAGCCTGGCGAAATCGCCGCGCAGCTTATACGCCGCCTTGTCATAGGCTAACGCAGCTTCCTCCGCCGTATCGAATGTTCCGAGCCAGAGACGAGTTCGATTTCTCGGTAAACGAATCTCAGCCACCCATTTTCCCCAGTGACGTTGTCTCACTCCTCTGTATAGCTTCGTCGGTTTAGGCGCTGAAGAACCGGTTTGTTTCATTGAGACCGGTTTAGGACTAAGATGGTGAGAGAATGAGCGGAGATCCGACCCGTATGGAATCGGAGCGGGTAGAGAGAACGCAAACGCGGAAGAATCGTTGGAAGGGCTTTTGATATAAGGTAAAAGCGCTTCCATTAATTCACCACCGAATGGATCAGATTGTTGAAACGTTTTGTTACAGTAGAAATCCATAGAAGTTGTCATTTATAATTTTTGTTTCTAATAAAAAAAAAATTAAATTCGAGAATTTTTTTCCTGGTTCTTGAAAAAAGTAAAGAACAGGATTTTTTTCAAGAAATTCGAAAAAGAGGTTTATAAAATAAACTACCTCTGTGTAGATCTGAGAGGAGGGAATAAAAAAATACCCTCACAAACGATTAAATCTACAAAGAAAAAAAAAACAAGAAGATCAGAAATAAAAAAGATTGATAAATTTAAGAAAATACAAACTAAGAAATCGGTTTTTCTAACAGAAATGGATCGAAGTAGCGGGAAATAAACAGATCTATGGGGGGTGGATTTGCACAGAATAAAAAGTTCAGGAGAAAATCAGAAAGAATATCAACTTTTTTTTTTGATTACCCTCAAGTGTTTTTTTTTTTTTTGTAAGTGAATAACTCTCAGCCTCACCGATACACTTATCTCATTAGCTTGGTCCTCGTTTATATAGGAGGGGTGGTGTCTCTTTTTATTTTTCTTTTTTTCGTCCTCGTATTTCTCAAATTTGATATATGTCTAATTATTTTTTGTTTTGTTATTTTATGTACTATTCCAGATAACCTCATCCATGTTTTTCCAAATACAATGTATATATATATATTCAATTTCAAACGGAGATGTGTCTTTAGTCAAGCGGTTAAGTCTATTTGACTCCGCATTCTCCACCGGAGTTCGACTCCAGTAAGTCGCGTTACTCCGCGTAGTAGGGATTGACTATTGATCGGGCCTTGTCGATCCAATGATATCAAAAAAAATATATATATTCAATTTCAAACGCTTAGTCTAATTCTACAAACATAGTTTGATGGAGATCATATTTAAGTTGCGTTTACAAGTTTTGTTTTAGAATATTTGACTTTTACAAGTTAAAATGATTCTACAAGTTTATTCTATAATCGAAGCATTTTAACTTTACAAACATAGTTTGATGGAGAATCATCTCAATATATTACATTCACACCTGCTATATGGGACGTTTCTTCCATTAGCATATGAATTGTTTTTCTATTCAAATAGAAGTGAGTGGACGTACACAACTCCATAAATTTAAGAGATTAGTTAACTTTTTCATTTTAATGGTTATCTACACATTTAGACGTCTTTCTAAGCAGTTAAAACTAATGTTAAGGCGATTATGTCAATATCATCAATATTGATATCATCAATAAAATTTTATAAATTAAAAAATATTTAAAATGTGATTATTTGGTATCTTTTCACTTTTATATCAATTAATTTGAAAGAATATAATGCCAAGAAAATAACTCCAATTAAATATTAAATTAAATTACATCATTGTATTAAAAGTTGAAAAAATATATATGTAAAACAACTAAAATGGAACCGAGAGAATATTAAGAATGAGATCATCCAAATTAATAGTATGAGTATATAAACCCGTGAAGTATGAATATAAAGAAAATTATCCGGAGTAGGTTCCGAATGTGACACACGTAGACTTCATGATTGTTAAGCAATAATTTTGGCTCTCGGTGTAATGATGATCATGTTAATGATGATCATGACTTTTAATTAGATAAATAAATCATACAAGACTAAAAAGAAGGCTCTAGAGGGTTAGAAATGAATGGCTGAGAACTCCTCATATGTCATTACAGTATTATATCATCAATTTAATTAGTTAATCAAACATTTCATCATCTTACGATATTATCGAGTTACGTATCTTAATTTAATGCTTCGTGTAATCGTGTACAATGTCACTACAATCAATACGGCGTCAGTTTGACGCAAATTGCAGGGTTAGACTATGGTGCCACAATTTTGTAATGATCTAACTTCTGGAATGACGAAATTTTTTACTTTTGTTTTGTTTTCACCTAGCAATCCTCACACTTCGGTTTTTATTTATTTATATTTCTTGTCCAATATAAAATCTCTAATGACTTAGGTAAATGCTAACTAACACTGTGCCGAGAGTTATTCGATCCTAAGAGTAGTCAATTGAAAGATACCGCAAATGTTGTTATTAAATACAGTAATTTCTAATAGATTGAACAAAAAACAAAACTTTTGAAATAAAGATAAATATCATAACGTTAAAAATTAAAATATTAGAGGGAAGACGCGCATAAGGAGGCACTACCCATGTGGATGGCTCGTGTCCGTGTTACCAGTTCATATCCTTACGATGCTCATTTATCTCTTTTACCTGTATTATCATATGTATATTTTCTCACTTGCTTGCTTGTGTAAACATTGCATATGTGCAGAGCCGTTCTTGTGTAATTGGTGGCCACAAGCAGCAAAACTTTTTTGGCCAAATATGGGTATCGATGACCTAAAAAAAAAAGAAAAAAAGATTTCCCCCTTGTAAGAATCGAACCCTTGACCTCATTCACTCAAGCATCACACATTTACCAGCAGAACTAACGAAGATATAATTAAAATGCGGCCGATTTAATTGATGTATATATGGCGGCCGCAAGCCTGAGCTTTGCTTGCTTGTAGCCAAGGCCGGCTCTGCATATGTGTAAACTAATGATTTGTCTAAGCCTTATTGTTCATCGTTATATATTATGAATAAAGTCAACTTTCAGTATTAATATCTACATTTCAATATATACATTAAATGCGCAAACTGAACAGAAAAAAAAAACTAATTACACCATATAATAATTAACCACTCACATATGCTTCATATATTTTGTTGAGACATTGACAATCAATATAGCGCCCTTATTTAAAAACTCTTCTCTGCATAAATGAATTAGCTACAAATATATAAAATGATGGTTAAAAATAATAATAATCTCATTTCTAATACGCATGAAAAAAGGAAAAAGCAACAAAATCTCCAACGCATAATTTCATTAATCGTAAGCCGAGCGTGTCCACCAGGGAAGAGAAATAGTCAACTGCAATATCATTACTCAAGTCTTACCTGTCTTAATAACTGATAGCTTTTAGCTACCTATTTTTTCTGTGTACTTTTCTTTTTGTTAAAATATTTAATTAATGATTTTAAAACTTTTTTTTCTGTACTCTCAAGTTCTCTGACATTTTAAAACTTTTTTTTGGGGGGGTAAATGAAATGACTGACATTTTTGAATTGTTCCTTAACTTGTCTATAAGTAGTCGTTTGATAGCTAGATTCACTGCATCTAAATCAAGTAATATAATACTACATGTCATTTATAGCATTTTTGAGAAATATTTATAAATCATAAAGAAAAAGATAGATCCGATTTTAATTTCTGACTAATTTAGTTGAAAAAGAAAAGCAAAGAAGGTGGCTCTGATTGGATTTTTGCTTTTGGTATGAACTTTTGGAATTTAATGCTCGAAACGCGGTTTCCGTCAAACGCGTCCGTTTTATCTGTTGAAGTCAAATGACCGTTGAGAATCTGCCACGTGTTCACCATCAAAGGTCCATTTTGTACTGTTTATCTGATATATCTTCACCTTAAAGTCCACTTTTCTTGGCCTCTTGACTTTGAAGATTCTTACTAATTATTTTCTCACCTAATTTCATTTATATTTATACAGAAACTGAGAAGAAAAAAAATTAATACAGAAAATGAGAAATTAAAACATAAAATGAGAAATTAATACATTTTTTTCTGTTTGGTAAAATACAAATACATGTGAAAATGCGTGTATAGGGTGAAATGAAAGTAGACAAAAATAGCTTTGCTAATTTATTTTTCCTTTGGTGATATCGAAAGGTGGGTATCGTCGTTTTTAGAGCAGTTGCACGTTGTTTTACGAGGGAAAGAGGGAATTGCATGTGGATTTTAGGTGAATTGTCTCCGTTCATTTTTGCATGACATATGGCCATTTACAATATAATACAATTGGTACAAAAAACACGACCTAAGAGCATATGCAAGGGGGAACATTTGGTGTGTTCTTAAGGGTTTTAAAATAATAAAAATGTTGAATAGTGGATACAACTGTTCTTAAAATTATAAAAACTGTTCTTCCTGAAGTTAGAACTGTTCTACCACTGTTCACCTTATTTCCTATTTTTAAATCCTAAGAACACACTCAAAAGTTCCCCTCTTGCATATGGTCTAAGCTTTGATATTGATCTGGATAAATATATATATATATATATATATATATATATATATATAATAGCAATCTAATAAATACCATTTGCACATCTGAACGGTTGCGTCTTTTTGTCGCAACCTTTCGTTAATTTTTTATAAACTAAAATAAATATTTTACGGTTATTTTTTGTATAAATTGCATTCCGAATGTCTTCTACGGTTGTGTCTTTTTATTGTAACTGTTCATAAACAGTTGAAACCGCTTATTCGAATCATTGCAATATTTTGTTTATTTTACGAACAACTGCAATCTTTGGTTTATATATCTAGTTTATTTCACGAACAATTGCAACTTTTTTGGTTTATTTTATGTATAGGTATATTTACATTTAATTATCTACCTTCGAATCTCTCGATATAACTTTTCATAAATTAATATTTTTTATTTTTTATTTTTTAATGATCAAAATATATTTAAATGAGATTGTAACCGTTTAATTGAACCGTTGCAACATTTAGTTTATTTGAAAAATCATTGCAATTTTTGGTTTTGTTTTATGAACCGTTGTAATCTTTAGTTTATTTGACGAACTTGACAAACCATTGCAATTTTTGGTATATCGCAATATTTCGTTTTTTTTTTTTAAAACTAAAAAAATATATTTTACGTTATGTTTTTTGAGAAAGTTGCAATTTGAGTAAATATTTTATACAGTTGCATCTTTTTATTGTAACTCTTCATAAAACGGTTGCAACCATTTAGTTGAACCTTTACAACATTTAGTTTATTTCACGAACAATTGCAACTTTAAGTTTATTTTATAAATCTTCATAACATTTAATCATCTACCGTCAGTGTAACTTTTCATAAATTATTATTTTTAATTCTTAATTTAAAATTATTAAAATGTATTTAAATGAGATTGTAACTATTTAATTGAACTGTTGCAATATTTGGATTATTTTACGAATCATTGCAACTTTTGGTTTTGTTTTACAAACCATTGTAATTTTTAGTATATTTGACGAACCATTGCTAAAATATATTTAAATAAATTATTAAAATATATTTAAATAAATTATTGTAATCATATTTTGTAAAAAATATTTAATTACTAAAATATATTTAAATAAATTATTGTTACTGTTTAATAACATAGTAGCATTTGGTTTATTTGACGTTGAATATTTTGGTTTATTTATCAAACCGTTGTAACCTTTGGTTTATTATTTGATTTTTTTTTTGCATTTGGGAATAGTTTTTTAGTTACAAATTAATGTTTTTCTAATATTTATATACTTGATAAATGCTTGTGAGGGTTTTCTTTATCATAATTATTGTAAAATATATATTGATTTGATATTAAAAAAAAATTAAAATTAATACAATTCATTATGATTTTTCGTTTGATTTTTTTTAAAACGATTTTTGAAATATATTCACCCGCGACATCGCGGGGTCCCGAATCCTAGTAATAATAATATCAAAGCTTAGATCGTATGCTTTTTGGACAAGATGGTAAAAAAAAAAAATTATAAATAAACCAATAAAATGAAACAATAAATTATATACTCCATAGTCTAGGATTGATATTCTATCTGTTTCATAAAAAGTATCATTATGACATTTTCACACAAAATAAAAAAATTAAACAAATTTTATTCCTACCATTTATTAATAAACTCTCTCTAATTAATAAACTAAAATAGTAGAAATAAACAGAGAATTAAATCTTAAAAACTGCATTGAAAACCCAAAACGACACTCTCTGTGAAATAAGAATAAAACTTTTAAACGATATTCTTTATGAAACAAAAGAAGTATATAAATTGTTCTGTTTCGTATTAAATCTATTTTTTCAAAATTCGACATTTTGACAAATATATTGTGCTAATCCAGCTAAAATACATGTCATTTGCTGATGCACCGCATAGCAGGAATGAATTTCCTTATATGTTGAGCTTTGGCATAGAAATATTGACACCTTTTCTTTTGTTGCTTACTTGATTTCCTTAACTCCTGCCAGTACTCACCTAACCATCTACGTATGTATTTGTAACCGATGAAATTTAGGTTGATCTTATCCTTAATCCTTAAAAATAGAACTAGAAAATTATGTGACAAAAGAAAAATTGAACAAATAAATCCACCAAAAAATGTCGAAAGTCGAAACCTAGTTAAAAAATCCAGAGGCCCAAGTTTCTAGTTCAACTCTGAAATTACTCAAACAATTTATATCGTCTATAGCAGGGTCAAATTTTAATCATGGCCCTCCATTGTTTGTTATGGGGATGACATTCACACCCTTCGGGAAAAGGAGAGGAAATTGAATGGGCTACAAGACTAGGCCCATTAAGCCTGCACTATACGTCTATACCTATCTGGCTAGTAGGCTTGGGCACGAATCGAATATCCGGAATTTTTGTTATATTTGATATTCGATTCGTTTTAACCAAATACTTGATTTTGTGATTTGCTTCGATTCAAAAATTTCCGGATATCCGGAAATTCGAATATCCGGATTTTTTTTGTGATATTTGCGGATATCCGCTTCGGTACATCTAAATATTAAAAAAAATCGTAGACTATATAAAATAACAAAATATCATATATTCAAAGTTTTTGTTTGACATGTTTTCAAAATAAGTTCCAAAAAAACAAACGTAACCATTGTTGATATCACCGATCAAGAACATGCCATCAAACTAATTCCAAAAACCAAAACCCGATAGTTTAAAATTCCACTAATCAAAACATAACTCTGTGTAAATCCAGGAAGAAAATGCTAAAATTTGAGAAACTGAATCGTCCACGGTCCACTTCTTATTATTATTTAATATTTAAGGGATGCTGATTTTTCATTTTTTTAATAAATCCCAAACACAAGCTCATAAGCTCACCAAAAAGAAAACACGAGCCCAAAAGATAAAAAAAAAAAACACAAGCCCAAAAGATTAAAAAAACACAAGCCCAAAATATACAAATACACAAACTATACTATGATATGTATATATATTCTAATATATATAGAAAAAATACAGATCGAATCGGATATCCAACTTTTTAAAAAATAGTATTTGGTATTTGCTTCGGTTTTAACGAATATTATATTTTTCTATTTGATTTGCTCCAAAATCTTACGGATATTCGGATTTTTCGAATCAAATCAAATCGAATACCGAATCGAAGCGGATCAGACGAATATTATTTGAAAATCACATGTCGTTCAACTAATTGAAATAATATTTTAATAATTAAATTATTATAATATTCAAATGTTTGAAAATCAACTATTGTCTTAGTTTCAAAAAATAGTTCAAACTCTAAATCAATTAAAAGTTCTTAAATAACAAAATGCTTACCTAACCGGCTAACCCAATAAAATGTTCCATTTTGGGTATAATGCAGTTGGCATGACTTATTAGAAACATGGTTGGTAATGTCAGATCGGTTAGACCGTCACATTCACATTTAATCATAACCAAATATCAAATCAAGAAGTCAAAACCGGGTTTAATGCCCGGTCCAAAAACTATTAAATCAAGAAACATAATCTGTACTTTGAAAAGGTGTACTCAATCGCGCGTCACGTGTCTCTCAGCTCTCATCACATTGTCCGTTAGCCGCCTGAAAAATCCCTCTACTACTTTTCTTACAACGAGACTTTCTTTGATTCTTTCAGACCGAAACTTAAGACTTCTCGGTCTGAGATTTTGGGTTTTGACTCATTCGACCCGATCAGATCTCATTGCTGATCGCTCCAATTCATATCTTTTTTTCTTTTCCAGGTGAGTTTATGTTCTTTAGCTTTTGATTTCTTGATTCTGTTGAGATTTCTAGTTATCTATGAGTAAGATCAAGGTCAGATGTGAATTAGTTGTCATGATTCTTTTTCAAAAACTTTAATTGGATATGGTTATTTGATCATAGCATGTACTTCGTTTTAAGTAATCAAAGCGAGCATTTGTATCTAATTAACATCGTTATTAGCTCAATAACTTCTTAACCACGGCTAAAATCTAGCTCCAAATTTATGCCTTGCTTCTTGTATCTTCCCTGTTTCTGCCCAAGGAATAATCAAATTACGGTATTAATCTCTGTATTTTTTGACTATTAATTTTTCTCTAATCAAGTTTGGTTGCCCCTTTGCTCTTGAATTTCAGCAAGATATGAATTCTGATTACGATAAATCATCTTCAAATGGAATTGAGAAATCTTTGCCACCAGACGAGTATCTAAACAAGGTATGGGGGATCATTAGCTGCTCTGTGATATTTGATATGTGAATCAATATTTTATTGCATGTTGATATAAAGATTGTGTGTTTTAACAATATAGATAAATGAAGTGAGGACTTTGCTAGGGCCATTGACTGAGAAGTCATCTGAGTTTTGTTCAGATGCTGCCATTACTCGGTATTTAGCTGCGCGTAATGGCCATGTCAAGAAAGCTACTAAAATGCTTAAAGAAACACTAAAATGGAGGGCTCAGTACAAACCTGAGGAGATTCGATGGGTATGTACATATTCTTGGACCAGTAAATATCCCATCAGTTTATTCAATGGTTCTAACTTTTCATGTCATGTGAAATGGTTATAGGAGGATATTGCACGAGAAGCTGAGACCGGGAAAATATACCGAGCTAATTGTACCGATAAGTATGGAAGAACAGTTCTTGTTATGAGACCAAGTTCCCAGGTTTGGCTTTTCTCCCATTTCCGTCAAAATCTCTGATACTATACACTTTTCGATTAATATCCCTTTTTACTACAGAATACGAAATCGTATAAAGGGCAGATTAGATTCTTGGTGTACTGCATGGAAAATGCAATCATGAATCTACCAGACAATCAAGAACAAATGGTTTGGCTAATCGATTTTCACGGTTTCAACATGTCGCATATATCCGTGAAAGTGTCTCGAGAAACCGTTCATGTGTTACAAGAACATTACCCTGAACGGTTAGGCTTGGCCATAGTATACAACCCGCCTAAGATTTTCGAATCGTTTTATAAGGTACATTTCAAAATCTCTCTCTGCCCCAATGCAAATCTTTATGCATCATGAAGCTTGTTGACATAAGAGGAAATTGTAAATATGCAGATGGTGAAACCATTTCTAGAGCCAAAGACCTGCAACAAGGTGAAATTCGTCTACTCCGATGATAACATCAGCAAAAAGCTTCTCGAGGATCTTTTCGATATGGAGCAACTCGAGGTTGCATTTGGTGGAAAAAACAGCGATGCGGGTTTCAATTTTGAGAAGTATGCTGAGAGAATGAGAGAGGATGATTTGAAGTTCTATGGAAACACAACAGTGTCATCAACCTCAGCTCATTTGACCAACTCAGATTCTGAAGTTTCAGACTCTGAAATGAAGCAATTGGAAGACAAAGAAGATGAGAAGATCAAGAACGCAACTTTGCAATCTCCTTTAGATACAACAAAAACCTACACATGAAGCCTAAAATAGAAGAGGCTCTGGGGTTAATACTTAACCCATCGATTAAAGCTCGAGCTATAATTTTTGTTGCTGTTACAAATTAAGACCAATAAAACTGCAGATTCTTAAATGTTTCACAGAATAATACTACTTGTTTACTTAAAGAATATGGCAATAACAACAAACACAACATCATCAAGTGTCTGGCTTTAAAGAAGGAAACGTGAGGTTTGAACATTATCCTTCAGGTAACAATGGATATGACACATATGAATGAAAAAAGAACCAGAAAAAAAGAACAAGATCAGCAGTTATATATGCTTTGTAAACTGCCCCTACGTTCCTAAGGTTGAGGGAAGAGGGTTGAGTAGATCAAGAACCAATCTTTCTAGTTTACTTCAGGAACAGATTACTTCACTGTCTTCCTCTAGCTTCTGTCTGTATTGAGCCAATCTCTGCAAGCACAAAACACTCAGAAGTCAGAACCATTGAAACAGAGAAATCTAAAAAGATAGAGAAGTGAGAAATAATGCCTAACCTTGGTATAAGCATAGACACCGGCTTCTGTTGGACCAACCGGGCTTCCCCGCTTCATGAATTTGCCTTCTTTGAATATGTAGAGAAGAGGTATTCCGGTCGATAGCTCTAGACTTATCACCTAAGAACCAAAACCACAAAGACAATTTCAGTTATTCGTCAAAAACCGCAAAACCAGTGATAAAAAATGGATATGTAACCAGTCTTTTATCACACCTCCTGGCAAGTCAATTTGTCAAGATACATTATGATAGACCGCAGCGAGTTCCCGTGAGCAGCTATCATTACGTTCTTTCCAGCTGCAAGCTTTGGTTCGATCTGCAATTCGATATCCAACATTAGTAGACAAACTCAGGAGCAAAGTTAGAATGAAACAGAATAAAGAATCTTCATTACATTGTCCTGAAAATAAGCCACTGCTCTCTCAGCACACATCTCCAAACTCTCGCCTTTGGGAGGAGGAATATCATAACTCCTACGCCATTCGTGAACTTGCTGTTTCCCGTATCTTTCCGCTGTTTCTTGCTTGTTAAGACCTTGCAATTCTCCATACCTATATCCAAAAACGTTGACAAGGAGATAAGCTTTTTATCGGTTTCAAAGCTCGATATGTTGAAAGACAAATCTTTGTTTACATTCTTTCATTAAGCTGCCAAGCGGGTATGACAGGAATGGATTGGTTTTTAGTCTCATCACTGAAAACTTGACTCCAAGTTTTCGCCTGTTCGCTTTCATCGTGCAAGATAATCGGAACCTAGACAGGTTAAATCCAGTCATCAGAAAATGTGACAAACACCAAAAGATCAATCTGAGCTTGGTTCCACATACCTTCTTACGACGGTGTTGAATCATAGCAAGCATTGCAGTCATCTGAGCACGAATCAAAGACGATGTAAAGATAACATCAACAGGTATGTTACTAATCCTCTTCCCTGCTTCAATAGCTTCTTCAACACCTTTCTCAGTCAATGGCACATCAACACAGCCCGTAAAAAGATTCTTCTCGTTCCACAAAGATTCTCCATGCCTAATCAATATCAAAGCTGCTTCATCTAAACATCAAAACATAAACTTGTTTAGATAAATGATCATAAACCAATGTTTCTAATGAAATTTGAGGAATTCAAAAAGCAGAGCATGTACTTGATTTCTTTAGAGAATTGTCAGGGATGGTCTTGGAAGGAGACAAGAGAGTGTTGTTATAAGAAACTGATGCCATTGCTTTAATCTTGCAAAAGTTTATCTTTTTTGAGGTAAAACTCAGTGAAGAATCGATCTTGAATCCACATTGAGAGATTGTGGAAGAAGGAGAAGCAAATGAAACGATTGATTGGTGAAACGTAGCCGTAGCCATTCTGGAGAAAAAGAAACCAAAATTTGTGGTAATGAAAATGTTAAATTCTATAATTAGCAAATTAATTTTTCGTGATTAAAGATCTAAATCAGAGAAAACCCTAAACGCAAAACCCTGAGGAAGAAGTAAGAGTAACTCTGATCATTAGCATTAAGGGAATTTGATTGCATACAGATCCAATTGGGAAGAAATTAAGCATGATTAAGAGCTACTAATGACGAAATTATCAAGATCAGAGAGACCAGTGATTACAAGAAGACGAAAGATCCAGAAAACAACTTGAATAGCAATGTTTGAACAGAGACAAACCTGGTTGTAATCAATGTCGATGAAACCAATGACGAGGAGAAATTACCCAACACAAAAAAGTTGTTTCGTTTTCACTTTCACAGAGACGATTTCCTAGCAGAACTTCTCAATGCCCAAAAAGTTTATGAGTTTATATAGGCTTTAAAATATAACAAAATGTCTTCTTCTTTTTTTCCTTGTTTTTGTCAACTTTCTATTTCTTGTTTTTGCATTTATTTTTCATAATACCAAAAATCGAAACTATAGAACAAAAGATCGGCTTCCTTAGGTAGTCACAATTGACAGTGAGGACAACACATGAGGGGAAAATATTTTCTCAATTATACGGAACAAAATACGTTTGTTTTATTAATTTAAATATTATATTTCACAAAGAGTATTATTCTACCATTTTCATATAAATTAAAAAAATAAACAAATTTCATTTTTACCCCTTATTAATACAGCAGATATATAGTACTCTTTCTCTAATTAATCAGCTGAAATAGTAGAGATAAAAAGGAGAATTAGTTTTAAAAACTACATTGAAAACATAAAACGACACCTACTCTTTGTGAAATACGATTAAAATCTTAAAACGACACCTACTCTTTGTGAAACGGAAGGAGTAGTATTTTATTTTCATCTATGTATGTTCTCTTCTCTTTTTATTGTATCCAACAAAGTTTCATGTGGACTTCACATCGAAAAAATGAAATTATCGATCATTGTTTTGTTGCGGTTGTTTTTTTTCTTTTGCCAAAACAAAGGTACTGAAAAAAGTGTGAAGTAAATAGACCGATTGTTTCAAATGAAAATATTTACGTTTGCGTTAAATTTACTAGTTATAAAACATATTGGATAAGTGAACTATTTACATGTATTAAAAAGGTTGCCAAGAATGCGTAATTGAAATGCATTGTATGTATGATATAAGTAAAATTTAAATAAGTGAAATGACGCTATCGAAATTGTTGCGCGAAGGCTTAATTGGAAATCGAGGATTGAACAAAATTTGTGTCAAGTGTCAACAACCTCTCGTGGTGTTGTAGAGACCATAATACGTTTCACTTATAATTAAAAAAGAAATTCTAAAGAGACTGCGACAGCAAAAATCAGCGATAAGCACCTCTTCAAAGCCTTTAACAACCACCCCATATCATTGCCTTTTTCTTGGTCTAGAGGGTTCGGTTTGGAACCCTAAAGAAAATGATTATCATATCAAGATATCATTAAACCTAATAACCTATCAAAGGTAAATATAAAATGATACTACAAGTTTTTACATTTTCTATAACTCTTCATTTTCATATTCTTTAATACAGAAAATATTTTGTTTTTGTTATGATTAGTCAAATCCTATATCAAAGAAACCGATAGCATTTCAGAGAGAAAATAGATAAGTTCTTGTGATAGTAGATCAGTAATTCAGTATGTTCTCAAATCAAAATTGTTGAAACAGTCATATTATAGTATAATTTATGAGTTAATTTTTTTATAGATGATAAAAAAAGAAAAAATTACATAAATTAGTGTGAAATGAAAAAATTACATGAGATATGCTTTTTTTTGTCCAATTAGATGAGATCTTCTAACATTATTTTGCATGACATCTACTAAAAGCTGCTGATTCAATTTGACAATTGGCAAAAAGATGACATATGTCTAATGAATCAGAGGTGCTATAGAATATGCGGTCTGAAGATGCTTTTGCCCAAACAAACAAAATTGTATCATTGGAGACTCATCATTCATCGAATATACCAAACAAAAATTGGTCACAACGAAAATACCAAAGTCATATATTCATCGCCTCAAATAAGGCTGTCACGCGGGGTCCATAAAGCCCAACCCATGTCAATGTGAAGCAGATAGGCTTTAGTAGGCCCATTTAAAACTTTTCCTTTTTTGAGTATGACCAAGAGAATTTGAGGTATTTGATAAACAACTATCAAGTTTTGTTGTATGCTATTAATTATGAAAAGGAGTATTGTAAATAATTCAGAATTGGAATGCATGAACTATTATAAAGTTTTAATGAGCTCAATCCTCACATGAGATGTTCCCTATCCTGTCTTTGCTTAATTTAGATGGGACAACTCAATCCAAAACAATAAGATGATGGATCAATAACACAAATAAATAAAGCAAGTCTAGAAGAAAAGGAACACATAAGTTTGGCTTTATATAAACGTAGACGACCGACTATTCAATGATTTCATTTTTATTATCGTCAACAATATACGTTATGTTGGGTTTAATTTTGGATGGTAACACAACAAAGACATTAACACCAACCAACTAAATTAACTTCGATTCTTTTTTGGCCATAGAACCGGTTGATAAAAGTTGAACTTATTGGTTGGTTTTTCCTAAAGAAAATTTTGCTTAAAACAAGAATTCTTTTCTGAGGCAAAAGGAGAGCATTAGCCATTAGGAATCTATAAAAATTGACACATCAAAGAAAGTAAGAATCTCTCAAAATGTTACAACGGGATAGAGGGACCAGTCAATGCTAGGCTTAATAGGTATGAGATTCCTTACTTGACCAAAATCATATTTAAATATTCATTTTTCTTTGTTTCAATACAATAAATAAATGACGAAATTCAATTGGATCATCCTTATATTCGAAAGTAAGCATGAAGTTAAAAACAGTACGATGAATATCTTTTTGGTGGTATGATATATTTGAAATCTACAGTACATAAGGTACAAACTAGTATATCAAACATATAATAAGTTGGTATACAATTTTCACAAATACGATGTTCTTTATTTGTCAATTACTAATTGATAAAAGAATTGAAATGTTGTGATTTTCTAATGTCCGCACAATAATATCTTTACCTTTTAATAGTAATCAGATATTCAGAAGGCAGAATAATCAGTAGAACACAAATCTAATAATTAATATGCAAAACACAATAATTCTTAAGATTAAAAGCAAAGTTTATAGGATGATTAACATGGTTAATCACAGTCAATGCTCAATGCTTTTTATACATAAAATTACAAGAACCAGGCATATAATACAATCCTTACCGATATTATATAACATATGTAAAGAGACCTACACGGCGGCGGAAACCCTCTCTCCAGTGGTGGTTCCGGCGGCTACGACGACGGTGGACCTCACCGAACCTTTCTTCTCGTCCACTGTAATTTGTTGTTGCCTGCACTCTAAACTACAAAACCCTCTATCTCCTCTGCTCAACATTAATCACAACCAAAATAAAATCTTTAATTACATATATAATTAAACCAAAACCATGAGATTAATCTTTAGGTCTTAAACTCATACCTATACATATAGATGTCACGGCCAGGAACAAGAAGACGTTTACAAAGAGAGCAAGATCTCAGAAAATCTTCGGAGTAATCACTTGAGTGTCTTCTCTGTGTACCTCTAGGTGAGACCATCGCTAAGAGCCGTTGATCTAACAATCTTTGATGAACTTGACGATGTTCATCAATGGTCACGAGCTGAATCTGATGATTGGATGGTTCTTGTTCGCTAGGTTGATTCAAATCGAACTTAATCTCCGAGAGACTTGTGGTTCTCTTTATTGGTGGTCTCTGTCTCTTCCCTAGCAACATCGTTAGTATTGTGTGTTTTTGGTTTCTCTCTTTTGTTTCTTGATGCTCTGAGTGAACAGAGCAAAGTGAAAGAGAGAAAGAGGGAAGTGAGAAAAGAGAAGAGACAGAGAAGATAAAAGAAGAGCCATGAACTGAGGAGTTAATCTGAGCCGTTGATTTTGTCTGATCTGATTCTATTCCCATTGTTTTTACGACACGTCATGATTCCGATTCTTAAGTTTTTTTATTTATTTATTCGTTATTATTGCTTTTTGTCTTCTTTCACAAATTATTTTGTCTCTTTTTTAAAAAAATCAATTATTTTGTGTAAGTGTATTCAATCATACAATTGAAAAAGGTTTTTTTTTTTTTTTTGTAAAAATGCCACTTTTTTAATGCTATTTTTTAAAAATACCATTTTTAAAAACTTTATAAAAAATGCTCTTAAAAATATAAGATTTACCCAAATATGTATGTAATATTATTAAAACATACACAAACTATATTTCCATGTATCTTTTTTTTTTTCCTTCTAAAAACTTTTATTAAACAATGGGTATTAGAACCATATAATGCCAATACAAAACTTTACAGAAGCAATTTATTACATAAGCAAATTTATAAGCATATGTTGAAGATGACATAATCGAAGAAGTGAATTTAACGATGCTTCTTTTCCATAAGCCTTACTCGCAATCATGTTACAATACATGATATGTTCCTTCTTTAAAAGCCATCTTTCTCGAGTGTGATACAGATGCCTAAAATCTTATAAATATTTTATAAATACCTTATAAATGCATTTTAAATACCTTTAAAAACCTTTAAAATATCTTGTAAAACCTTTGAAAAACTTTAAAAATCCTTTAAATAACTTGTAAAACCTTAAAAAAACACTTTATAAAACCTTATAAATACTTGGATCGAGTCTTCAAGTAGTAGTTACAATCCATAAATACCTTATAAACCTAATAAAACTTTATAAAAATTTCAAATTTAAAAAGAGGTATTTTTTAAAATGGACATATAAAAGGGGCATTTTTGAAAAGAGACACACCAAAAAGGGTATTTTTAACAATTTTCCTTGAAAATATATTGTTTAGAATAACAATCATTTTTTTTTACTTCTTCCATAACTTGGTGTTATAAGTTATTATATTTGTAAATATCTCTTAAAATATAAGGCTATTTAACTAATGAATTAGCAAATATTTTTTCCGTAAATTAACTTAAAATATTAGTAAAACTCAAATTATTCAAAATATTTGGGTGAATCACTCATTAGTTTATCTTTGAAAATAAAGTGAAAATGTTGTATTCTAGCTAACGTCTGGGCTATATGGTCCACTTTCGTGACCGATATGTCCATTTACAATTGTAAAAAGTGCCTCCAACGCTTCACCACTTCCCGAGCCAATTCCAATATCACTTGACCTATTTACAATACCATTTCAAAATTTTATGACAAAGCAAAAATAATTTGTTTAAAAATAAAAAAATAATAATAGTAATAATAATTTGTTTATATTATTTGATGGAACAATGATTGATAGTCCATAAGCATCTCTTGTTTTTTTGTTTTAAAAAAAATATGCACAAAAAACAAGTACTACAAACTCGTTTTGATTGGTGCATTTGGGGACACTCGTTTTTTACATTACAAACAGAGTTGGCACATTGTACAAAAATGGTCGGTCTCAAAATCTTACGTTATGTACCACTTTTATAATCTCAATTAATCTTTTCGAGAAGAGATGTGACTATGTGAGTATCTTTTTTACAGACCGTTTTATAATTCTATTTGCACGGTGGTTAAATTATTTTAGTCAAATAGGTTTAACTTTAAAATATAGTGGTTTATGATTTATAGCTAAAATTTTTTATTAAAAAAAAAAACAGAAAGATTGCCAAACATATTTAATAGATACCTAAAACATCAAACTAGGTCTATCAACTAGACATAAAAATACATGAAGAAAATTGATATATAGATAACGACCATCTAGCACTTAGACGTCTAAACCATTATCTTTAAAAACAGAGGTCTTAATTTTGTTTATTGTGTACACAAGTGGGCTTCAACTTCTGGTCCACACATAATTATTAAGGGAGAAATGTTTTAATTGTTTTTTTTTGGTCAATGTAATTCGACTCTTGAAAACAAAAGGTTTTGCCCATGTTTCCCCACCAATAATAGTAGCAATAAAGTCTTGAGTCGTCTCTCGTTGCATTACGTTGATCCGATGTTAATGTTTGGGTTCCGATTTATTCGATTAGATCAACTATATATATATATATAATTAGAGCATAGTTCAAAGTTATTGAAAACCATAACAAAAACTAATTCATGATTAACGTTATGCAAATATTTGTCGCAAAACAAATGAGTAATCCAGTAAATCCAAGCTTATCACGATGCTAAAAAGCTCTTTATAGGTCAACTTTAGACTTGACCTCTACGTCACACAAATGGGGATAGATAAAAGATAAATTGAAGGAAAAGTCACTGACTACTCAATTCAGTCTGTACAACATACAACACTTTGTCTTTTTGCTTCATCATCAAGATTCTTCTTCTCCGTTTCAGACCTCGTCGGAGAGTTTCGGAGAGCAAGAATCCACGGCTTCAGCCACCGACAGAAAGATTTTGTCCTGTCCTAACATGTCTGCAAAGTGAGAAACGTGTAGCTTATCTATGACCGGCGGTCCTGGATTCGCTAGAACCATCATACTTAAATCAATCTATTTGCTTTTTTATATCGCCACCTTCCTTCTTCCACTTTTCCACGGTTTTGGTCTTCCTTATTGCGAAACTAAAATTTCCCAATGAAACTAATAACTTACTTCGAGTGAAGCAAACTAGAGTTTGGAACACTAAAATAATTTACTTTTCCGACCTATGAAATATGCATGCAACGAAACCATTCTGTTTATAAGTTAATTTACAGAAAAGGAGACTTTAAAATTAGCACAAGAGTTTGAACCATGGGCATTATTCATCTTCATCTTCCACTTCACGCCCTCATATCTTGCACCGCTACAATATTTTGAAGTTGAATTAATAAAAACCCCAGACTCCATACTTAACAGATTAGAAATCTCAAACGTTATTACCTTTGTCAAGAGCCTTCTCCGTTAAACGAAACCGAGCATCCCCAGGCAGAAAGTCCAACAACAATTGCAGGGGGTCAAAATTAGACAAAACAAAACTAATTGCGAGCAATGAAAAAATGTATTAGAACAAGTCAGTCCGGTTTGACTAGAATGCTTGATTACCGTCCGTTGATGTCGGCTACTAGCAACATGAGTGGTGAATTTTTCAATGTCTTGGTACACAAGTTTCTCATCGCATACTGAGCAAATCAACAAGGCAGATCCACTCGTTTCACTGCACTTATCCTCCTCAAGTGCCCCTGACTCTGTGGAAAGAAATATTTAGTTAACCAACAGTAATTTTAGCCAAGTAAGTAGCCGGTAGTCAGAGAGAACAAACCTGCACGGAAAAAACTTTCAAAAGAATCAGGTGGAATCGGCTTAGCAAAGTTGTATCCCTCCGATTGTATGTTGGCGGCATAGCCAGAAGGCAAAGAATATGCTTCCGATATGACCACTATATTAGCTGGAGGCGGATTCTCATCGATAAATTAAAAAATATGTGAAATCACGCTGAACTTAAAGCTTATCCCTGTTTCAGAAACTTATAGACTTGAGACCCTCTATTCAACAAGGAAAACATCAACTACTGAGAAAAGGCGCAAGGATGAAAAAATCCTAACCGCAATAAAGAGAGATTCCACTGGAATAGACTCCACTCAGGATGCCTTTAGGAACGCCTTCTAGTGGGCCAATGGCAATGATTTTGAGAGGACCAGAGTAGCCTTTATTCTCCAATAACTGTTTAATACACGGACCGACCCGACGAGGATCACAGTCACGTGGAACTGGACACTTTTTGATGTCCCAGCAGACCAATGTTACAGCGTCGTTCGGGTTTCCCTCAAAAAACTCTTTCGATATCTGCAACTGCTCCGACAAAGCCTGCATGAAAACCAAAATCAAATCCAGTCAGAAAAATAAAATAAAAAAGAGTGAGACAGGTAAAACTACTTGTGGTCAGAGCTTATTTGCTTAATTACCTTCTGTTGATAGTTTTCACCATAGAGATGCGAGATGAATTTAGACAAAAGTGAGAGAGGATAACTTGTGGTAAGAGGTTTTCAAACATGAGGGACAAACTTAGGCAAACAAAACTAATATTAAGAAACGAAAAATGACTTTGGTAGATTCCTTACCTCAACCGATGGGTCCAAAGTTTCCATGGCAGGAGGAGCAACCAGTGGATGCAAAGTTTCCATGCCAGAAGAAGCAACCGGTGGATCCAAAGTTCCCATGGCAGGAGGAGCAACCCGTGGATGCCAACGCAACTTGAACAACAAAAGAACATGGGGTCAAAACTAAAACTAGGAAGTGACTACTTGTAAAAAGGAGAAGTAAGCTTAGGAAGGATGGTTGATTACCAGCAGCTCATGATGTTCATCATCAGATAGATGTGTGATCAGATTATCAAAGATTCGGCCAGGAGGATCACGGGCACATGTTTGGCAATCCCACAAGGGAGGTTCATAGGTTTCTGGCACAAGGGGCTCTGAATCTGTGGGGAAAAAAAAAAAAAGAGTTGAGCAACAGAGAGATTCATTTGTTGGTTATTTCATTCAAGAGGACAAACACACCTTCCATGATTAAGGTGTCAAGAGAAGAAAATGGAAATGGCTCGAGAACGTTGTAGTCCCAGTCTAGTAGATAATCAAAAACACCTTCGCAGTCTTTCGGATCGGCTATGGCCATTAAATTAGTTGGAGGAGGAAATCGGTCGGTATCACCAAGTAGACCCGCAATTAGTGGATAATCTGTTTGAGAGAATATAGAGACATGAGACTGTGTATCTCTATATTTCGAAAGGCATAAGAGGAAGGGACAAGATATTAACCTCTGGGGGGGCGTAGATAAGATGGATTCCGCTGGAAAAGAGTGCTCTCAGGATGTCAGTAGAGACGTCCTCTAGTTTACCAAAGGCAGGGACGGTGAGAGGACCACGGTGGCCATTATACTCCAAAACCCGTTTAATACTCGGACGGACCACACGAGGATCACAGCCATCGGCAACCAATCCTATCTATTTTATCGATTACTTTCCAGCACTAAATAACCACCATTAATCATGTTTTACATTTTCATATAGTCATGTTACCATAATTACCTAGTTTAATCTATGTTTAACATGATTTACATTTTCTTATAGTCGTCATTGGTTCGAACAAGTTCATAACTAATCTCTACAATATACATTCTTATTGTCACCACTAGGTTACCGTTTGCACAACTGTTTTTCATCGTTGTCTACATTGTTTGTCAAATTAAAGTAACTAGCAATTAAATTACGATTAAGACAGTAAAATCAAAGTAATGGCACAACATCATTTGTATTTTTCGTTTACACATATTACATATATAGACATTAGGTCTGAATTTTTTACAATGCGATGATTTAAAGAATTTTGTACTACTGTAGATTATTCAAGTATCTCAACTTTTGCCTTTCACTCTTCCCCATCTCTCTTCATAGGCAAGTGTAAAATTTATGTGATCTTTTCTTTTTTCTTCTAACTCAAGAGATTGGTTAAAAATGTTGATATTGAAAAATGTGATTAATATCTTTTACAAGAAAGGAAAAGAAAAAAAATACACTTTAGAAGTTCATAACTAATCTCTACAATATACATTCTCATTAAGACAGTAAATTACAAAGATATTGTGGATGCGTGTTCTGATGCGTCTGTTGAAGAAATACAGAGATTCGAAGAAGATTGACAAGCACATCATGCATATGTACCAACCATGACATGTACCATGACATGTACATGCGTGTTAAGGAAAAGGCTAGAGGGAAGATTATGTCTGATAAGTTTGAGGCTAATTAAGAGGGCGAAGAACAAGGCTAGCCAAGAAAAGAAACATGCTAAGAGAGAGGAGCGTTTTTGTTCTATTTGGTAATTGCTCTATTTGTTTTGTTTTGGTTTTGTATGGTATCTGTCTAAGACGGTAGTAGATGTATAAAGAGCCGGACCAACAAAATTGGATTGGTGACCCCATTTCGGATTGCGAAAAAAATAATATCAAATTTTTTATAAAGTAAAAAACTTAAATAAAAATAACTTCTGGGCTAAATATGGTCCACTTTCTTGACCGATATGTCTCTTTACAATAGTAACAAGGGCCTCCAACGTTTCACCACTTCCCAAGCCAATTTCAATATCACTTGACCTATTATTTATACCATTTCAAAATTTTACGACAAAACAAAACAATTTTTTTTATATTATTTGATGGAACATTGATTGATTGATAGTCCTTAGAAATTTAGCATCTCTTGTTTTTTCTTATAATAAAATATGCACAAAGAACAAGTACTGCTAACTCCACTGATTGGTGCATTTGGGGACACTCATTTGCAGTACAACAGAGTTGGCACATTGTACAAAAATGGTCGGTCTCAAAATCTTACATTTTGTACCACTTTTATATTTCTCAATTAATGTTTTCAAGAGATGTGAGTATCTTTTTTACAGACGGTTTTGTAATTCTATTTGCACGATGGTTAAATTGTTTTAGTCAAATAGGTTTAAAATATAGTGGTTTATGATTTTATAGTTAATTGGAAAAAAACAGGAAGACAGAACGATTGCCAAACGTATCTAATAGGCACCTAAAACATCAAACTAGGTCTATCAACTAGACATAATACATGAAGAAAATTGATATATAGATAACGACCGTCTAACGACGTCTAAAAAAATACAGGTCTTATAATTTAGTTTATTGTGTACACAAGTGGGCATCAACTTCTGGTCCACACATAATTATTTAGAAAGAAATGTTTTAATTGTTTTCTTTGTCAATGTTCGACTCTTAAAAACAAAAGGTTTTGTCAATGTTTCCCCACTAAAAAAAAAAAATTAGTAGCAATAAAGTCCTGAGTCTTTTTCAAAAAAATAAAAAAATAAAAAAATAAAGTCCTGAGTCGTCTCTCGTTGCATTACGTTGATCCGATGTTAATGTTTGGGTTCCGATTTTAATATTTTATTCTACTATATGTATTACAATTTGTTTTTATCTAATCTCCATAGTTAAAAGTTACTGAAAGCAATAACGAAAACTAATACATGCATGTTTGACGTTTCACAAAACAAATGAACTCAAGCTTATCACGACGCTAAAAAAAGTTCTTTATAGGTCAATTTCACTTGACCTCTACGTCACACAATGGTGATAGATAAAAGTAAAGTCGAAGGCAAAGTCACTGACTACTTAATTCAGTCTATACAACATACAACACTTTGTCTTTTTTTTTTCGCTTCATCATCAAGATTCTTCTACTCCAGATCAGACCTCGTCGGAGAGTTTAGGAGAGCAAGAATCCACGGCTTCAGCCACCGTCAGAAAGATTTTGTCGTGTCCTATCAAGTCTGCAAAGTGAGAAACGTGTAGCTTATTTATGACCGGCGGTCCTGGATTCGCTAGAACCAACTGTTTTTGCACACGACCAAAAAAAAGTGTCAGTTTCATATATAACTTCTCTATAATCTTAGGTTTAGCTTTGGTTTATGGTGTGTACCTGAATGTCTCGTTTTTGGAGAGACTTATATAAGTCTTCTAAGGCGTGAATACCGCTAGTATCGATGTCCGTAACAGCTGATAATATATAATAAAACATCAATTACTATGAATCAATGCTCAGCACAGCATAGCGATCTAGATGTAAAAGAAGTAGGGTTAGTTTAGTACGTGACATTTCGATGATAAGAAACTGGATCCTCGGCAAGCTTGCAGCTTTCACCATCTCTTCTTCATCTGTCAACCATCTTTGAATCCTACATATTTGAAGAACACCAAAAATGTAAGGTTCTACACATTGATTTCTTGTGAAACAAGTAACCTTTCAAACTTGGTTTTTCAGGATTCGATCTCATACCTTTCCCTGACATAATTGGAGTTGGAGAAGTAAATAGCGGAGTCAACACGAATTGTCAAAACTCCGGGAATCCTAGTCGCTTCAGGATACTGATTGATATTCCTGTAAACCGAAGTCCCTGGTATCTTTCCAAGAATTGCTGTCCTAGGTCTCGTAACTTGCAAAAGTATCTTGGCAAAAGATATCCCCACCTAAAACATAATCACCCAAAAAAATCAGCCAAGAAAACTGCAAAAACGTATCAATCAATTCACACATATGGTGTTTTCTTGGGACTTACGGCTATTAGAAGGCCAATCTCTACGGATACAAAGATGACACCAAAGAAAGCCCCCATACAAGCAACAAAATCGAGCTTATCGATCTTGAAAATCAAAATGGTAGCATTAACGTCAACCAAAGGAATCACGGCGTTGATGATGATCGCTGCAAGAATTGCGTTGGGTGTGTATTTGAAAAGAGGAGTGAGGAAGAGAAGCGTTAAGAGGACGACAATGGACATGATGATGTTGGAGACTGCCGTTTGACATCCGGCCATGAAGTTGACAGCGGATCTTGAGAACGAACCGGTGGATACATAGCAAGAGGTCATCGAACCGATCACGTTCATTGCTCCTAATGCTACCATCTCTTTGTTACCATCGATTTGGTAGTCTTTCATTGCTGCAAATGTTCTTCCTATCGCTACAGCTTCCTGTTACAAAGATTTGTGCTTGCATTTACGTTTACATATTAAATCAAAATTTTACTAGTAAAACATAAATTTTAGGGTTTATGTAAGTAAGTACCGTCAAGGCAACCATGCCTGAGACAACGCCTATGCGGAAGCCCTTGAGAAGGTAATCGCCGGAGAAATATATTAGACGCAAAGAAGAAGGGTTCAGACCTTTGTCAAGATGTTTCACCTGAGGAGAAGAAAATTAAGACAAGGCAAAGTAGAATAACTTGCATCGCAAGTAACTTTAGGGGTTATATATTTAAGCCTATAAGGTTATGCTTACTATCTGAACTCCTTTCTTGTCGGCTCGGGTTATGTAGACGAAGAAGGTTGAAATGATGACAGATACTAACGGAGCAATCGCTGGAATCCAAAACAGTTTCTTGTTTTTCTTCCCCTGTTTTTATCAGAAGATCATATAAGAACAAGAAAATAGAAATCGACGAGAGATTGCAATTTGATGGTTCGATGAATTACTATGAACTTGGAGATGAGAAGGAAGATCAAGAACGATGCACTAATGAGTATTGTCTGCCAATTCCACTGCAAACATTTGATACCAAACGGTGAGTATTCATAAAGAGTGAAAGAAACTAAAAACAGAGAGATTGAATGAATCTTTACTCCGTGGTGGGCTGAGCTGATTACGGAAGAAAGAACCGCGATGATATCGGTTTTCTTTGTGAACTTATTGATTCCGAGGAATCCTTTGAGCTGTTGAAGCGCAATGGTGATGGCTGCTCCACCCATGAACCCTACTACCGCGGCGTGGGATAAGAAATCGATCAAGAAACCCAATCTGAAACCAAAGTTGAGAAGTTATAGATCAAGAAGAATCTCTAAACTTAAGAGCATCATTGATGTGTGATGTTGGGATTAGTATGTTACCTAAAGAACCCTAGTGCTGCTTGAGTGACACCGGCAAAGAACGTGGAGGTGAAGGCTAAGCGGAGATATTCGTTAGGGTTTGTGTTGGGGTCGATCTCAGCCCGAAGCAGAGTACCTAAAAGGAGCGAAACCACTGCCACGGGTCCAATCGCTATATCCTTTGAGCTTCCCATACATGCGTACACCAACGGAGGAACAAAACTTGAATCTATACAAGAATTTGAAAGAAACAAAAACAGCAATAATAAGAATTGTTGTTCATTTCCAACGAAAACATACGATAAAAACGTAAATGCAATAATAGTAATTGAGGCTTAATTAGGAGCATCAAACGAGAATAAGATGGTTATTAACTTACATAGACCATACTTAGGGTCAAGACTGGCGAGCTTTGCATATCCAATATCCTGAAACCATTTGAATACATATCTGCTAATGCTTTCTTACATAAGTAACTTGTGACAGAAGTTACTGAACTTTTTTTTTTTTTTTTTTGTAAACCTGAGGAATGCAGAGACTGGCTATGGTTAAACCGGCAATAAGATCGCCGCGAAACATCTTAAGATTATATTTTCTTCCCCACTCGATAACCGGGAAGACGGACTGGATACCGAGCATGAGCTTCTTGGACTTTGACTGGTCCTTGAAATGCCTTAGAGGATCATCGTGGAAGAAAGTTTCTTTGAAAGTGTACATGAACTCATTGAAGAGGTTTTGCTTCGGAGGAACTTCGACTTTGTGGACATACGGTGTATTTGCTTGCCGCGGGGAAGATGTATCCACCGGGGAAATCTCTCCGTCATCGTCCACAGGATGAGCTCTAGCCGACATTGCTATATGTGTGATTTGTAGCAAACACTGAAGAAACGTATTTATAGAAATATCAAGCTGTTTTGCCAAAAAAATAATATTTTACATTTAAAAACACCGTTAAGATGACTCCAAAAAAATAATTTTAAGTTGGCCCTAGTTGCCAAAGAAACGTCATTAGTATCCCCAAGAATAAGAAATTAGTTTCGCACTAGTAAGTTCGTATTAGTTTCCACTAACAATCAAATTGCTTTAGCTGCCGCAAACGTTTACCATTGTAACATTTGGCTAAACAATTCCTACACCAGACGATTAATTGACTTATAGAAAAGTTCTTATGCTATAGACGTCGTCTTAGAATCACTTTAGACTAACAATTATTGGATGATTGAAAATGTAGGTTTTTCTAAAACCGTATGGTGCCGAATATCCATGTATTTATATAATAAAAGCCTGTGAATTTAGAATAGAGAAAAGGCAAAACACATCTTGTGATTAAAATCGATTAATAAGGGAATCATCATAAAGTCGACGAATATAACTATATAAAGATATATAGAAAGAACAAAACCATTGATAGTGGAAGGTGAAAGCATTACATATATACCTGGAAAATAAATCAGTGACGAATTCGATCTTTGATTTTAGCCTCTTTTAATCCTCCAAAGTTCTTCCATGGAGAAATTTTTGCTTAGGTCGAAATATTTAAAAAGGATTTTTATTTTTTTAATTGGAAACGCCAGGCCAGATTGTACAAACCCAACGTTTGTTATTAAAGAGCAGGAACCTAGATCCTGTCCAGGTTCACTGATTAACTACTCTCCAAATATATCAATGAGAAATCCTAATTTTTTAAGAAAAGAGGGGAAATTATATGAATTGAAGTTTTATTTTGTTTAATTTTATTCAGAAAAAAAAAAGATTAAAAGAGAGTAGAAAAGTATCAATGAATTTTTTTTTGAAAGTCACGTCCCGATTGTGGAAAGAAAAGAGAAAGGTGTTTTCTGCAGAATCTGATTTTCTTTTGTGGTTAAACAAGAGGAGAAAAATATTCTTACAAATACTTTTTTGAAAGTGATGATTAAAACAGATCTAGTTTCTCCATAAGAAAATATTCAGACATTGAACAGAAATAAACCAAAATTATTTCTTTTCACTTAATCAAAATCAAGAAGAATACAAATCTCGACTGTTTTCTTCTTTGTGTTTGTTTGTAATTCTTATCAAATTGAAAGAACTAAACAAAACCAAAGAAGAAGGAAATTGTGGCGATACAAGTTTCAGAGTTACAGTGAACAACAAACGAGATTCGAAGAAGTTAGATCCGAAATTTAAGAAGATTCCACTAGTCATTTTGTTGTTGGTGTGAGATACAACAATAAAAAGTCAAACAACCCGAAGCGAGAAGGCTGGAGTTTTTAACTTCATTTATGTGTTCCATTTGAAAAAAATGAAAAGAAGAAAAACAAATAGTATTAATAATAATATTGGTCGACGGGTAGCCGCATATTATCATGTAATTTAAATATGTTATTATTTTTTTGTAGTGCAAACTTTATTTAAAAACAAAAAAAAATAATTACAAAAAGCATGTGACGTTCAAAAAAAGTTTTTTTTTTTATACAAGAAAAATGGTAGGTTCACGAATAATACTGACAAACTTTTTGGCCATTGGCTTCATTTCTAAGCACCATTACATTGGAGGACTCATATTAATTGCCTTAAATAATAGCATTTCAATACTTAATTGGTAAAAGGTGATGCTCGTTTTGTGCAGTTTTCTGTTGGCAATGGGCAATAATTACAATTTTATATGCCGTTTTGATTATATATATCGCCAAACTGAAAAAAAAAAAAAAAAAAAAAAAACTAAAATTTGACATGGAACTTGTTTTGTTGGTTAAAATCTGATGTTGATGAAATAAACATGAATGCTCAAAATACATATACATTAGTATAGGATTCTTGATGTTTTTATGCAATTTGTCATCTGTAGAGGAGGACTTGAGTAGCGATGGTTGGTCGAGAGCATTTTTTGTTACGTTCTCTCAAAATATTTCTTAGAAATAGGATGTTTTGTTGGTTTGATTTGATTCTAGTTTTATCGGGTTTAATTGGTTTATATTTGTTTCCCTTATGGTTATGATTTTACTCTCCTATCGCTTTATCTACTATACCTCATAGTACGAGTAGTTTGCTTCATTTTATAGAGTTTAGATTCCGGAAAAATCTTGTTTTCCGTATGTGTATTTTTGTAATCTATCAAATATCATACAATTGCTAATTAAATCAAAATCAAATGATCAAAAAAAAAAAAAAAAACAAGAAAGAAACGAAAAAAAAAAAATACAAATTGGCAAAATGACACCAACATATAGCAGCCGTAATGTATGATTAGACAATTTTAGGATCTTAAAGAGAGTCCATTGATTGTGATAAATGTTAGGTATCATCAACATTCGAAAATCTTAATTAACTATAGTGGACCAATCAAGCACGAAGATCAAACCTCCTTCATTCAATTCCGTATTCGTTCATACTCAAATATAAAGAAGAGAACAAAAATACAACCATCGGATCTCTTGTGTCACACTTAATTGTCCATTTTAAAAAGTTTGAACAATATTTTATTTTCTCAAAAAGCTATTCACCGAAACGACGCCGTAACGTGGAAAAGGAAATAACTTAATGTTGGGTGGGTCAATCAATACGGTGTCGTTTAAAAAACACTAATTCTCACGAAGCCTATGAAGTAAAGCAGATCAAAACAAAACAGAGAAAATTCTTTTGTTGCGTTGAGAGATGGGAGCCGATAATGGAGAATCGCCAAAACCTACACAGATCTCAATTTCTAAAGATCAATTCTTCGCGTGGAAACGCCAAAAGGTATCTCTCTCTACCTCTCCTTTACATCGATTCGTAGTGAATGAATTGAAGAACCCTAGAATTGATGATAGATTGTTATGAAGCCCTCGTTGTTTATTTATTGTATAAGCTCATGTAATGATTGATTGATTAACCTAAGTTTGTTGTTTTCTTGTAAGGATGCTGAGTTATTAGCTAAACAAGCTGAAGTAGCAAGGAAACGTCAAGAGGACATAGCTTCAGGTCGTGTTCCAATGAATGGTCGTGAGCTTTTCTTGCATGAGCCTTGGGTTTTCGACGATACTCACCATTAGATTCACTAATTCTTCATAGGTACATACAGATATCATTCGAACCATAAAGAAACCATTTAGACTCTCTCATTAGTACTTGCATCTGAGTTTATGAATTGGGTTTAACCATAAGGATTAGGGGAACAATGGAACTGATTGTGTGTGATCTGATGAAACCAGTCTTGTGTTTAAAGATCTGTTACTGTATTATCTCTTGATGTTGTATATTTATGTGTGTTTCAGGTGATCTAAGACATTACCAAACACATTTCCTTGGTCATTTGTGATCCAACTCTGTTTCTCTTTTGTTCTAGTACTCTCATGTTCCCACTTTTGTCTGAAGTGTTTAATCAGAAAATTAGTCGTCATTGTGACTTAATCATTGGCTCTGTTTATTGGAAATTTGGTGGTTGTTACTTGTTATATCCCTCGATGTTTGATATATACATTATTGCAAACAAAACATGGAGACATTAAACCTAAAGCTGAAACTGATTTATTGTGTTAATGAAGATAGTCCATATAGTCGACCAAAGACAACAAACTTTGCGCTATGAGGTATCATCAAGACTATAAATTAGTGATCAAGCTCATAAAACTTAGCGACTTATGATGCTTAAACCGCATATACATATCTCGTAAGTTCATTAAAATGATAATCACTAATCTCATCACCGTTTATCCAAATATTTTGATGTAAAAAGAAGAGTAAACTTAAGAAATCTCTAAACGATATATACAACGAAGAGAGGGAAATTAGTCAAGCATTCTATTTTTAGTTCCTATTAACTCGCCTAATTATAAGCATTTTCTTCCTCCTCCTTCCCTATATTAACGATATCTTTTTCAAACCATTTTTTCTTCTTCTCTTTTGAAGTTTTGTAGATTACTGATCAAGCATTATATCAACTTACGATTTGGATGAATCAAAATCTCTTTCTGCGTCGTTAATATGGGTCGGGTGAAGTTAGAGATCAAGAGAATAGAGAATACAACGAATCGACAAGTTACGTTTTCAAAACGTAGAAATGGTTTGATTAAGAAAGCTTATGAATTGTCGATTCTTTGTGATATCGACATTGCTCTCATTATGTTCTCTCCTTCTGATCGCCTTAGCCTCTTCTCCGGAAAAACTAGGTATTATCATTTACGCCTTTTTCATTAACATTTTCCATTGCAAGACTTCTAGGGTTTGGACCATATCATATCTCAATTATCTCTACAGGATTGAAGACGTTTTTACAAGATTCATCAATCTTCCTAAACAAGAACGAGAGAGGTACGCTTATACTACTTTCGTTTCATTTGCAATTTCTTTTCTGATTTTTATTATATTGCTAGCAGGTGTTCAAGTATATATATATTGCTAGTAAATTTTGACTATTGATTAATTAATTATTTGTCTTTTTTTTTCCCAGTGCTCTATACTTTTCCGACCAGAATAGACGCCCGTATGTATCACATTTTGTTTTTTTCTGTTACATTACATAAAATCATATGGATATAAATTATAATAAATTTGTCTTGACCTTTATTTTCTTTTCTTGCAGAGATATTCAAAACAAAGAGGTTTGTATTCTAATCATAGTGATTAATTTGTTCCTCAGAATTATGTTGTTTCTTTAATTTATTTATTAATCTAGAATCATGTTATTATATGACAGTGTCTACTAAGGATTTTGCAGCAACTCAAGTCTGAAAATGACATCGCTCTTCAACTCACGAAGTCCGTAAATTCCTTCTGTTCTGTAGTTATAATCAATTTTATAATCTCATATATTTACCAAGATACACTCTTCAATACACATTTAAATATACACTAAACTTTTTTTCTTACATATAATTATTTTGAAAAAAAGCCCTGCAGCTATTAACTCCGACGTCGAGGTAACTTATCTCTAACTTCTTGATAAATTAATTAGAACATATAGAAATATATTGATACGTAGTTTAACCGTCTCACTTGTAATCTAGGAACTTGAGCATGAAGTTTGTAGGTTACAACAACAACTCCAAATGGCAGAAGAAGAACTAAGGTTTTTTACTCGAAAAACAAAAATGTTTGATATTATTGTTTATAATGTTAGTTAAAATCATGATCCATTAGTATAACCTTAATATGAGCAGGAGATACGAACCGGATCCAGTAAGATTCACGACCATGGAGGAATACGAAGTTTATGAGAAGCAACTTCTCGACACTCTAACACATGTTGTCCAAAGGCGAGACCATCTCATGAGCAACCATTTATCTTCTTATGAAGCATCTACTATGCAACAAAGCATTGGTGGTCCTTTTGTTAACGACGGCGTTGAAGGTTGGCTACCTGAAAATGGGCCTAATCAAACCCATTTATTTGATGCATCGGCCCATTCCAATCAACTCAGGTACATACATATTCATAGTCTTCCTAAGCTTCCTCAAGCGATTGTTTTTTCTTTGAAAATATAAATATTCACATTGATAGTTTGATACAGTTTGACTCAATTTTCTTTTACAAAAAATTGGCAGAGAATTATCATCGGCAATGTATGAACCATTGTTGCAAGGAAGTAGCTCAAGCTCGAACCAAAACAACATGAGTGAATGCCACGTGACGAACCACAACGGTGAAATGTTCCCTGAGTGGGCTCAGGCGTATTCTTCCTCGGCCTTATTCGCTTCTATGCAACAACAGGTTTTTTTTGTCCTTTTTTTGCTTTATTATTTAATTTTCTATTTAACTAAAATTCAAAAATGTGGACTTGTTTTGGTCAACGTGCCAGCATGGAGGTGTGGGTCCCAGTATAGAAGAAATGATGCCAGCTCAGCAAGGTGATATTCCGGCAGTGACGGCGGAGGCACAACCTGATCATGAAGTCTCCGACTATGAAACAAAAGTTCCTCAGCTCAGTAGCCAATAATCTCAACCATGTATTTTTTTTTTATGTATTACCATTTTTTTTCTTTTTTTTTTTCCTTCAATCCAGAAAAAAAACTGGATTTTTTGTCATGATGACATGAGAAGACGATACCAAATCGTGTTATATTTTTGATACCATTTTTTTCGCAACACCATTTTATATATATTTTTTTAAATGTGATAAATATGCTCTGTTTGTTTTTTTTTTTTTTTTTTTTAAATTACACGGCCATAGAAGATATCGACACGAGAAGACAAAAAAAAAATTCTGACATATAAATAAGCTTGTAATACGCAATTTGTTGTTAAGTTATAACGGAAATTTCACCTTGACAGTTTTTACAAAAAAATGGTTATTTCGTTTCCATTTTGTTGAAAAAGACACTAAAATTCAAAAAAAAAAAATCTGACACATAAATAAGCTTCTAATACGCAATTTGTTGTTAATTTATAACGAAAATGAATAATTCTTGGGTTCACCCACTTTCATTCACCTCCTCTTAATTATCCAATTAGAATTTGCCATGTTATCTAGTTAAAAAAATTAAAACAATTAATATTTTCTAAATAAACAATAAGATTAAGTCATAACCACTCTTTTATAAACCCAAACCAATATATAATCTCGTTTAATTACAAAATATAAACCCTAATTCTCCTTTGTAAACCCAAACCGTCATTTAAACTCGTTTAATCGTAAAAAAATCTAAACCCTAATCGTACTTTCTAAACCCAAACCGATACTTAATTTCGTTTAATTGTAAAAAACCTGTTTATAAACCCAAACCGATAGTTAAACTTGTTTAATCATAAAATCTAAACCCTAATCTTTTCTAATAAACTAAACCGATACATAATTTCGTTTTACTGGCAAATTAAATTTTATAATTAAATATTTTTATTATTATTAGGTAGCATATTTTGATTGGATGAAATAAAGGGAGTGAAAATAAGAGGTTCACCCCTAGAATAATAGGCTAGGGGTGAACCTAAGAATAATAGAACGGAAATTTCACCTTGTCAGTTTTTACTAAAAAATAGCTATTTTGTTTCTATTTTGTTGAAAAGGACATATTAAAATTCAATAAAAAAATTTTGACACATAAATAAGCTTGTAATACGCAATTTGTTGTTAGTAATTTATAACGGAAATTTCACCTTGTCAGTTTTTATTAAAAAAATAGCTATTTCGTCTCCATTTTGTTGAAAAAGACATTAAAATAAAGAGTATTCTTTCGTAGTTTTTTTTTTGGTAGAACGTATTCTTTCGTAGTTGACAGAAAAAGAAAGCTAAGGGAATAAATATTTTTAACCAGATTTAGATTTTCTTCCTTAATTGTCCAAAATTTTTGGTCCACTTTTCTATTTTCTTCGTCCAATAAAAAATTGTAAGATATTTTCCTTAAGAAAATCATTATTTTTAAAATTAATTATCAAGACTGTAAGATGTTAAAAATATATATATATACTGTCAAAAATAAATAATTACATTAGTATTATATATTATTAACATCTTTTCCCTAAATCAAAACTTTAGAAACAATGCATTATAGCGTAACCGTAATAAAACACTAGATTTGTAAATTTTCCTTTCAATTTTAAAGTGATAATTACTCGAATATCCACTGTAATCTTTTTTTTTTTTAACACGTTTCCACTGTAATCTATCCTTTATAATTTCCTATAAACAACATTATTTTTAAATTTTGTTGTTGACTTTGCAGATTCTCCCAAATTTGGATTATTGTTTGTCTCCATATTTGCAGATTCTTTGTTGTCTTGTGGGTCCATATTTTCCAAAGTCAAAGAAAAATGCTTATTTTGGATCATTTGGCTTACAAAAATTATAAACTTTTGTACAAATATTTTATAAATCTTAATTTATAGCATTTATAAAAATTTCCAATTTTTGATGTGAAAGCTAAAATTCCATATTTATACATTTCTTATTAATAAGATTTCACCAAATCTCATGAACTCCTAGAATATTGAATTAAAGTTTTCAGAAGCTAGCACAATTTTTGTCTTTAAAGATAAATATTCAATCCAATGAACTTTTAAAAAATAATCTTATATAATGGATACATTGTTAGGCAATGTCAATATTAAGATAATCTTCCATCTGTTTGTTTATGAATGGATACATTTATCTCTCTCTATATATAAATATATAATGTTATAATAATCTAGGAAAGAAATCTAACACTAATATTGGGGTATTCAATTTAAAATCAAGATTTTTACCAATAACTGTACAAGAAAATAATTTTATAAGCTGAACTATTATTAGCTTTTCTGAGTAAAATGTATGATTGCTTCAAAACGCAATGTCTTAGTATTTTGATTATTCACTAAGTAATATATAAATATGAACGGAAATTGGCAAGCTAAAATTTTATATCTTCCTTTTCTTTCGTTTTTTTTTTCTATTTCACAGCTTATATATATATAATTTAGTATAAAAAAATTAAAGTAATCATATAAGGAAACAAATTTTTTTATTGTCTACACAAACAAAAATTACAAACAATCAACACTTTATGCGTTCTCCACTTCTCCTATATATATATATATCCATTCACAGCCTCTAACATTTCTGATAAACTTCTTCCTTCTCTCAGAATCTCTTGGTTTCATTCGTTTATATCCAGTCGCATATCATTCTGAAGAAAATAAGGTATATCATATTCATTTCACGACATCTTTATTCTTTATAGATAAAGTAAGCATAATTTTATGAGTTTTATCATTTACTTCATTTGTTTTAAACTTCTCTTTAGCTCTTCAAAAATTGAAACAAGATTCAGATTTGATTTTTTTTTTTTTTGTAAAATACAACAAATTTTTCATTTTTGTTTTATATATCATATATATTCAACTCTAAACTAAGTTTTAAAGCAAATGTTTTTTGTTCCTTGAATTTTACATTATCAATTTTTCATTTCATATTCGATGATGAATTGATGATGATGATGTTGGTGTGGTAACATACGTTAATTTAATGATTTGATTGTGAATATTGCAGTGTTGTTAAGAATGGCTTCAAGCGACGATCTTGAATTTTCGTTTTTGGATTTACCAGAAACTTTTGGTGCTCTTACGGTAATACTACTTATCTCTTGGTGTTAGTATGTGAAAATAAAGAACATCTCCATATATAGTTTTTGATTTGACTAATTACATATTTTGACTAATCTCCCTCTTATTCTTGTTTCTCATTCTTTTTTTTTTTTTTTAAGTCGCATTTAAACAAAATAAAATGTTTATATAATAAAATTGTTTATGTAAACTTTGAAAAGGAGTATGTGGGAAATGCTTCGTTGCTGGTTTCAGAAAATGAACAAAATGACTTTGTTGGATACATCCCTGTCTCTGCCACCACAAGTAATGTTTATCCTGCACCACTAATAGAGAATTCAAACACTGATCAAGAGATCGAGACATTGACAAGAACTTCAAGCTTTGATCAAGAGACAGCCATAGTAGCACACAATCAAAGCTTTCATCAGGAGGACGATTATGCTAAGTATTTCAACACCGCCGAAAACTTTAATGACATAGTAAGAACACTACTTATAACTCTTCTTTCACTTATTAATGCATATATAACTAATGACATACCATTCATGATTTATAGTTTACTTTCCCAAGAATTTAGAAGTTAGAACTTAGAACATTGACATTATGTGGTAATTAACGGGAGGATTCCAAACTGATCTTATAAATTTGCAGTCGCCGAGTGTCTTTAGCAATGGCCAAAGAGAAAATGTGTACAGTGGAAATTGTGTCCTAACCTCGAGCAATCAAATGATGACCACTGGACAACATGGACCTCTAGAGCAAAGTTATCAACAACCTTTATTGTCTCAAACATTTCCCGATTTCTCTAACGAGCCATATGTTTCAACACTGGTACAAATTTTCTATGACTCTCTATTTTACGTAATCGATAATTTAAAATGTATACTCAGAACATTCAATATCATGATGAGTCAGGTAAGGAGTAATATACAAGAAATGGAGAGAGCTAATGGACCTACAAATCTCAATCTAATCCAGCATGGCCTTCAAGATCATCACTTCCATCCTTCTTTGTATTCAACTTCTAACATCTTTTTTTCTCCTTATATATATCAAATGTTTAGAAATGATAATAATAATAATATCAATCAATGCAGGTATCAGGAGGAACAATATAATCACACTGACTTACTACTTGAACAACTCGTGCGAATTCATGAAACTGAACATCAAATGCAACTACCAAAATTCTCTAACATGTCTACCCCAACATCAGTGTAAGAAAATAATTACTTTGATTGTTTTGAAAATTGATTTATCCACAGTAGTCAAAACTTAATTTTATTTTATCTTTTGTCCAATTATAGAGGGACATTGCTAAACAATCAAGGCCTAATTCCTTTTGCCTCGACTCCAAATACTATACCGAATCCAGAGTATCGTACTCCCATGATTTCTAACAATCTGACACTAAATAAGTATATAAATAGTGTTTTAAGTATTTTTGTTTAGTTTCTTATATACACTCGCTAAGTATTAAATCACTTACAAATCTAGGATTTTCGAATGTTTTCAGCTCAGGAAACTACTCACCATTTACGCAAAGGTCATATGAGCCTGACTCATTTGCTTATGCCTTCCAGAAATCAAGCTCGTTAAACCCTACTCGTCGCCCCCGTGGAAGGTGACATCATTGTCTTACACTATACATGTTTTGCTTAACTTTTCCATATGATCTATTGAAAAGATGATATAGTATTGTCAAATTTATTAGGCCCAGGAGATTTCAAAGTGTTATGCCTTCAAGTTTGTCTATTACTACACCAAATAACATGTCTTTGGTACCTGCAACTCAAACCCTATTAACCCCTCCCAGGTAACTAGTTTTCATGCTAGCACATATCTATTTCATCTTGAAAAATGCATTAGAAATACATATTGTTAATTTCATGCAGTGTATGTATTAGTATTGCATAAATCATGATTTTTTGAATATAATTTAGGCCTTATGCCCAAGATAAGGGAAAACAACATGTTACAGCAATGCCGTCTTTGAACCCAACTCTCTACAATCAGTATCAAAATTCATACCCAAACTCAATGATCCAACAGGTGAAGTTTTTAAATCTTAATATTGCATTAGATGTGAAATAAATTCCTGTTGAAAATGAGAAATGGAACCACTTGAAAAATGTTTTTATTTTTTTGTATTATTAAAATATTAACTAATTATTCAAGTTGTTACAACACAAAATTACTAGATACAATTTATATTAAACACAATGTAGTAATACCAAATATTGTGTCTACTATTGCAGAGTGGAGGTTTAAGACAACGCAGTTGTTATGATCAATGTGAAAATGAAGGTTCTTCGTCTAAAATAAGGGTACACATGCATTCTTACACAAATAATCATTTTCTTCTTCAAAGAAAAAATTTATAGGAGTGTGACACATAGAAAATAATTAACTATTGCAGAGAGTCATGTTACCGTTTCAAGAAAATAGTATAGCAGATTCATCGAGTGTATCTCTTTGGCAAGATGGAAATAGGCGTTCAAGTGCGGCCAATCACCATGAAGAAAGGTTTGTTTATTTCAGCTATAAACTCAAATTTCAATCTTAGACCAAGAAAACAAAATATTTTTAGTTACAGTACTTATATATTTACTCCTTATTCAGGTTAAAAAATGCAGTATACGATCCATTTTATGCAGGTGTTGGATTACCCATTGATCCTCATTTGAGGTTCTTTTGATTAAATATATTGAAATGGTAATTCTCTCATACACATATACGTTATACAATCAATTAAAAACCCCGTAATTAAATAAGAATAATCATATATTACATTATAGTCTTTCATACTTCTCTAAAAATTCTTTTGCAGGACGGCGTAACTTGCACTTGCATGTTTGAAGAATCAGTGTGGTGTATTGATGGGAAAAAATATTTGAGACTCATCAGACTCTAAAATCTAAATCATATAAGCAGTTATGGGTCTATGTACATCACATATGCGTTGTGTATTTTTGCATGTGACAAAGATTTTCAGTCCATCAGTTTGTACTTGTGATTATGTTGTGTCATATCCTTTTAAAAACTTTTTATGCATATATTTCGCCTCAAATTTCTTGTTGAGAAAATGTTTTCATAATTCATCGCCAAAACCATGCCGTCAACACCATCCTAATTAATAGTATTTTAGCAAACGTAGCTATCAAATTTGCATCGCGAAAACGCGATTTTGCACCCTAATTTGAACAACAAAACGAAAATATTTTATCTGAAAGTCACACATTCATAACGTTTTGTAGAAGCTTATGCATTTTGGTGTCAAACAAGATGCTCAAAATAAAATTTGAAAAAAAAAATATCAAATGATCTTATTCAACTTAGAAGTACACAAAAATGATAAAATAAAATTCAAAACATATGATATATATATATATATATAGATATATAGATATATATATATATTTTTTTCTCTATTTACGATTTAACGCTGTTATAGAGATTTTCATTTGTTTCGCTAGAATATGTTTGAATTAAATATCAAATGATCTATCTAGGATATGTTATTCAACTTAAAAAATAATTTTTACCCAAAAATGCTAAAATAAATTCAAAACACATGATAGAATGATTTTATTTTGTTTTCTATTTACCATTTGCTATGTTGGTACTTGGTAGATTGAAAATGAATTTAGGAGGCTTTGAGGGGAAGAAGGGCTGGAGCAACAATGATGGGTCAATAAAAAGCCTAATAAGCATTAGAATGTCAATGGACCTTAAAGCAAAGTTAAATTTCCATCCCTCTCATACGGTGGCCGGCCCTTGGCCTTCGTTTGCTTTGATTCAAAGCCTTTGAAGTTGGTGTTCACTCACCACTGTCTACAGTGAACGTAAATGCTCTCTAGTTGTATCTATGGATTAATGAAACCTTGTTTAGGTAAACACCGTAAAATATACTAATAATCATTAATGCTTTGGTGAGTGGTTTGTAACACTCTGTATTAGTTCCTTTAGTATATGTGGGTTTTTAACCTTTTTATCTCTGCAAAGATCAAAAAGCTATTCGGCTAAAGATCTTTTGAATATTGCTTGATTTCACTGTTCCATACGATATACTCAAAGGCCAGAGTTTTGATGATTATATTATTTGTTTTGTTTTTGTGTTCTGATTCTTTTAGATTCTGACAAGTAAGCTGCTTTGGGAACCATCAAAAGAACTAGTTGAAAACAAAACCAAAAAACTTATAATATTCACAAAAACTTCTATTATCTTCTATCTTGAGAGCTCATCTCATCACATTTGACTTTATTCTCAAAAATCTTTAAAATGTTTTCACTTTCAGATAACGATGGTCTAGGTACAGCTTGCAGCAAATACTTCTGTGTTGTCGATCCTCGTAAGTAAAACTATTGTTTACATATTTTTGTTCAAAACGTAAACTATTATATACATTATCAGTTTCACTAGTTTTAAATTTATCTGTCTCTTCGCCGACTTCTCAAGATCTTAAAGGTATAATCTAAAGAATTAAAATAACATATGACTTATTATTTTACATAATGCTGATGTTGTCAATTTATCTCGTTTCAGGTGATTCAGAACATTATCAAGACTCTTCAGGTAATCAGTAAATAGTGAGTTAACTTTGAAAATTTTTGAACTCTTTTCTTCATTTGGGAATTTATGTCCTGTTTCTTTAGCTTCTTTGCATTTTCTCTCAACTTGGATCTTTCATATCCACAAAATTTTTATCAGCTAAATAGTGTACCATTGTGTTTATGAGTTTCTCCCAAAACTCAATATTTTAAAAAGTATTTTTTCGTTAATCAGTATTGTAAAGAAATATTAATTCAAGCTAAGTATTAGTAAAAGGACAACTAGCATATGTAAATGGTAAAGTTATTCTGTAATCTTATTATGATTTCCTTATTCAATCATAAACTTTATAGAATATACATCCAAACGTAATCCATTATGATTTACTAGTTGATTCTCTAAATTATGCTTTAGAATCTGACATTATTGCATAAATTCCAATGACATTAAAATTACAAACACAAACTTTAGGATAATGTCATGACAAATCATGTTATCAAATCTTTATATCTTGAATATTTCAAATATAGGTAGGAGTTAGTTAAATTAATCAATTATCCACTCCAAATACCATAATCCCATTCCCAGGGAATTGAAAATTTTAATTAGGTTGCTTATTCTTTTTTTTTTTTTGGTCAACATTAGGTTGCTTATTCCCCATAAATAAAAATAACTATTTTTTTGGATAAAATTGCTTATCACTTTTTTTTTATATGTAAATTCTGTCATTGTGGCTATCATCAGTTAAAAGCATATCCTTTGGAATTTGGATAAGAAAAAAGTGAATAATAAATTTCTAATTTTTGTTACCATAGAGATGCTGTAAAATAGTTAAAATTAAAAAGGTGTTTATCCATAACGCTTAAAATTAGGATAGGTTAAGGATTTACAGCAAACGAGAGAGGAACGGCCGACTTGGTTAAACATCCTAATCTTAATCCCTCCGACTTTGCCTAATTTTAAGCATTGTTTTATAATTAAAAATAAATATATGTTTTCTTGATTATCTTTCCTTAATTAATCCCAAAAGATTTTTCTTTTAAAACAATTGAATTAATTGATAGAGGTATATATCGTATCGATTCCGTTTCGACGAATTAAATTCTCTTGTGCTTCGTTGTGAGTGCGTGTATAAGAGAACAAAAGTTCGCGTAACGTTCATCTTTTAATCTCGAAGAAGAAAACTCGTTCGTTTGCTTATCCATGATACAGGTAAATTTATAATTTTTCGATTTTATTTTTTATTTTCTTTAGTCTTTTTTGCATGCAATCTATTTCGTGAATTTGATAACAATTTCTATTTGATTGATGAATGATGATTCACGAGAATTCATCTTTGTAGGATTAAATTTAAGAAATCTGATTAGGGTGTTGATTATGATATTAAACTCAATCATTCGTTTTTTTTAAAACACATAAGAATATTTGTGATTATCTTTTTTTCTTAGAATCTGGGTTTAATCGTTGTTTGAATCCTATGAAATTAAGAAAGATATTCATGGAAGTCGAGCTTCGTATATTTTAAAAAAATCAAAGGTACGCGTAGCTTTTTAGATTGACCATTGTATATGATATTTTAAATTTAATTTAATAAATAATTTGCAAATTAGTCAGTCAACAACTTGTTTATTTCGTGAATCGTCGTAGTTGCTTTTTTGGCGTTCAAGAATAGGTAGATGCTTTTTGCGTTCAACTTCAAGAATAGACACATTCTTGTTTAAAAACGTGTAGCTTTCATGTAATCGTAGTTGCTTTTTGTTATCATTATAACGTTTATAAAACTCTGGTAACAGATTTTGGCTGTTTTTACCTTAAAAAGGGATTTAATAATCCACAGACGTTTTAAAAGACTATCCTCATAGCTTAACCTTTTTTTTAGCTTTCCATTTTTTCCTGTTGATTAAATCGTTTTAAGAATATGAAAATGTACTAACTAGATCAAAGAGAATATCCAATATATATATATATATATATATATATATATATATATAGATTAAGAACATCCTATATCCAACTTAATTGTTGATTCTGTGTGGCTGAGATGTTGTTAATTTATGCTCTAACTTGTCATTAAACAATTGATTATTTGTTAGTAAGATGATTTACTTAACCATTATCGTCTAGATGTTGTACATATTTTTGAAATATTCAATTAGAACAATTACATTATCTTTTCCCATTTTTCCATTTTCTTATTTTCAGTCCCAATTTCGGTAGATTAATTGCCCTATATGCATTTATAAGAACAAATTACATTCATTGGATACAAGAAAGGTGTGAGGGATGTATAGAATTTCTAAGAAACTTCTAGATGTTCTACCAATCATATCCACTTTAGTTTATACTAATTTGGTATTGATGACATATTCTTAGCAAAAAAACTTTATTTTGGTCCTATTTTGGTCTAATATTTCTTATATTTTCCCATTCACAGGAAAAAAAAACATTAAATGTCACAGATTCTCAATAATATCTCAGCGACCATCCCTTCCATGACATCACCTCCTTCGCTTAGCTGTCTCTCTATTTAAGATCTCTTCATGCAAACTCTAACATCACATTAAAATTATAAAATAAAAGAAACAAAACCCAGGAAATAAAAAGAATTGATATTTTTTTGTTGGGTTTTGTTATTTTTATTTTCTTATAAAATCCAGATATGGAGAGAGCCTTTTCTTCCTCTGACTCATCATCATCCATGCCTTCTTCTTCTGATCAGTCTCTTTCCATCAACTCCGATCAAACCTCACCTTTCGTGACGTCATCCATGCTTTCACGCACGTCATCTTCTTCTTCCTCCGCCGTGGGTGACTACATCGGGACAGAGAGCTGCTTTGACGTCCTCTCCGCTGACGAAGAAAACGATGTCGTCTCCGTTACGTCCGAGTCTGTAAAAAGCCGGTTTCGTTACGGTGGAAGGAGGAGAGAAGAGAGAGAAGCTAGAGCTGCGGCGGCGCGTGAGTTTCCTCCGCCGATACCGTTGCTTGCTCAGACGGGGAATCTCCTCCCGCACATGCCGTGGGTTCTCAAGCGTGTGGTGACGAGCGACGGGAGGCTTATACTCAGAGAAGAGAAGGTTCGTCATCATGAGTATTTCCGTGCGAATAGATCCAATGGTCGTCTCACTCTTCACCTTGTTCCTTTAGACGATGACGTTTTTGAACTTCCTCAAGAACCCTCTCATTACCAAAGTGATGATGATAACGATGATGAAGAGGATGGTGATGATCAGTGTGATGATCAGGATGAATGTGATGATGATCAGCATCAAGAGGTGGAAGATGATTTGGATGATCTGGCGGATAAGATTAATAAGGATGTTGCTAGCAATGCCTCTAATGATGATGATAAGGGCAATGTGCATGGTGATAGTGAAGATGGATATAGAAAGGTTATCTTAGCGGCGGTGGGGGAGGAGACGGTGGGGGAGAGTGGAGTGATGGTCGGAGGAGGAGGATCGCCAAGAGGAAAGTGTTTGAAGTCATGTTTTGTTGGTATGAGAGTTCATGAGATAAGACCAGTTCTTAGTTGATTCTTATTATTATTAATTAGTAGTTCTTGTTAATTAGCATCTTTTTTTTTGGGTGGAAAACAAGATTATTATCGAAGAGAGCAATAAAATACTACCGGCTTAATTCATATGAATATTAGAGGTTTTTTCATGAGAAAAAGTTGTTTGTTTTTGTAATCTTCAGAGGCTATGGTGTAATTTAGCTTCTTTTAGATGTTTTTTGAGGATATATACATATTTTAAATAGGGTTAATAGTTTTGTGACTTTGTCGGTATGTGAGTGATGATGTTTTTTTAAAAAATTTGAATTTATCTTGCCGGGTGAATACTATGGACAAGAGATATCACTTGTAAAAGAAAAATATTATAAAATCGAATCGTAATCTCCTTTAAAGGAAAATAATAGTAATTGAATAAAAGAATTCCAAAGACCGAAGAAATGCAAAAAAAAAAAAAAAAGGGGAAGAAACATAACAGCTAATATTCGATAATCCATATGGTGCAAAGTGAAAACAGCTAATATTGTTGTTCATTTTTGTAGAGAATTTAAATTTCTAGGAAATCGATATTGAATTGACTTATACCTTAAATCCAGCGATGTTCTTTTGTATTTATCACTTCAAAAATCGTATGTCGAACAAAAAAAATGAAAACAAAAGTTAGATACATATATATATCCTGTAAGATAAAAGTCACAAAACGAGGTCATTTTGTGTACGAAATCAGAAACGAGAATACTTGTATACTAGATACAGGACCTGCGAAAGAAAGTTAATGGTCATAATTTTCTTTATAAGTAAAGAAATTGTTCAATTTTAAAAAGGATTAGAATATTTTGTGTTTTTCAATAAATTTCTTTATAAACGTATAAATTAGTGTTTTTATGTCCGATCCGAACCGTTCGGTATGATTAGTTAACCTGCGATCCGTACACTTCTCCAGTTTAGGTATAGTGCTAATTTCCGATAATTTTTTTTTGCTCAAATGCCCGGTTTTTTTAAAACCGAATAAAAAACCTACAAAAATCTGCCATTAACCCGTAACCTGATGAACCGGTTGAACTGACCGGGTATCGGATCAAAAACAAATCATTTGATTTGGAAATATTAGTTACTTGATAAGATTTGCTTGAAAAAATATAAGGTAGTTATATATTTAGTTTGGAAATATTAGTTACTTGATAAGATTTGCTTAAGGTTGGATGTAACCTTTGATACATTTTAATGATCTGGCTAATATAGAGATAAAGGTGGTCTCGTAGTCTCTGTTACTAATATTAGTTACGTAATCATTTGCTTAAGTTTGTGGTATATTTATTCTGGAAAGATTTGCTGCATAATTATTTACAATTTTAATTAAAAATTTGTTTTGATTAGTGAGATATATGTGTATAATATTAATGACAAATTCTGTAAATAGTCTAATAAAATTTGGGCAATTATTTAAATAGGTGACAAATCATTCTGAGAGCGACACGTTAGCATGACAACTTGTTAATAACACTTCAAAGTAAGGTTTATTTTTTAGAGTATTTATCTATTAATATATAAAGGATATGTAGAAGTAAATAGATATAAAGGGTCCGAATGGTAACAGCGTTTTTTATTGTGCTGGAAAAGTGGTATTATAGTGCAGTACGGTTCAACTGCGGTACGTGCGGGAGAAAAGTATTTGCGGGACAAGTGCGGTTTGTACAAAATAAGCGGTACAGAATAATGTTTGATTGATGAACAATTACTTGCGGTACACAATAATATTTATGAATGGTAAAATAGTAAGAAACATTACGGATTACATATTATAAATAAATATATTGATAATTAATATAATTGTAAATTATTGTTTGTTTGTGTTAATAAAAAAATATTTTCGTACATTCATGAACCTTAACTATCTAAATTGATTTAAAGCAAAAACTTAGTTTTTAGACATACATATTGCTAAATAAGTTAAAGAGTTCAATTATTACTAATCTAATTTTATTATCAAAAATATGAAGAAATATACCTAAGTCTCCTTAAGTTATATGGTATTAGGTAACTAAATAAATTTTAATAAGTTTTGTGAAGCTTACTAAATTAGATTATTACTTATACTTTATCTCAATTTGTATGAAATAAATTAATTATATTTTTACTTAATTTTATGTGTATAAGTTAACTATTTTTATAAGATAATTTTAAATTAAAAATTAACTTGATTCTTAGAGATGAAGAAAAAAAATCAAACCATTTAGAACTATGAATGGATGTATGAAAAAATTTAGTGTGCAATATCCATTTTCATAAGCACAAAACACTAAAAAAAAAAAATATTATCCAGGGCGTTATTTGATGGACCGCTAGTTATTACCCGCAAAATGATTTTAAACTACGGTCCATAATTTATTGGGTAATATACTGCTTCAATTTCTGCATGCGTTTTTACTTTTTGTTTTAATCCAAAAACGCAAATGTTTAAAAAAGTTATGATTGGTGTAATAAAAGTGGTTTTGGAAAAACCAATTTGAATTCCGCACATATAAGGTTACCATTCATTACCAAAATCTCATACCAACACCAAAAAAAAAAAAATTGATAAAATAAATTTAGAGAAAAAGAGAAGCCAATAAGGGAGAATAAAAGGTACGGAGAAAAATGTAAGTACAGCTAAGATAGAAAGATAGAGAGTTTCCCGATGAATTTTAAGACAGAGACACTTAACTTAACTCTGTCTTCTGTAATTTGTCAGTTCCTCATCATTGGTCTTTCCCACCACCTGATCTCTTGTCCTATATTCCCCTCCGGTTTACTCTCTCTTGAACCGGTCTTCTTCTTCGTTCTTCAAAATATCTAATTATTCTCAATACAACAACAAATTAATTCTATTTCCCAGGAATAATAAGGCGAGCGACTTGGTTTACTTAATTCTAATCTTAACCCCTTTGACTTCGCCTTATTTTAAGCATTTAAAATATAAATTTCATATTGATTATTTTTAATATCTTACAAAATCTACAACTATTACTATATTGTATCATCAGTTCAATTTCAATGAAATAGAAATTAATTATCCTCTGCTAATATTCTTACTTGTTTATTCTAATTGTTATTGGGTTTGACAAAACACTCAACGTTGGGCCTTAATGGGCCAGACGAAATTGGTATAAAGAAAAGGAGAACAAGATTATGGAAATGGCTTTGGCCCATATGCATACATCTATATGTATGTTTCATCGATCAAGAAAGTGGAAGTGGTTGAGACAAGACAGCAAAAGAGGGTTCTAGAGAAAGAGAAAAAACGTTAGAGTTCTCAAGAAGCTTTCTTCCTTGTGTTCTTTTGTGTCTTTGATCTTGTTCTTACTGAGTTTGTACCTGAAACCAAAAGATAACATCACTAGTTAGTGGTCTTTGTAACCTCCTTTTGATATAAGTGAAGCTTGGGAGAAGAGTCCTCCCCCGAGACGTACCGGTTAGAGGCCGGGAACTCGGTTATCAAATTCTTTTGTGTCATATTCAAGTTTTAGATCCGTGAATCATTAATCGGTTTGTGAGGCGATTAGGGACATAAATTCCTTACACTAATTATTCCATTTATTCACTCTTTTATATTGTTATTTGATATATCTTTTTTTTTTTACGTCTAGATTTATTATTTATTGCAAATTATGAGAACTGTTACATAGACGATTCTACAACGGACAATTCCTTCCGACCCTTATTAGATCCACGACAGACGACACTTCATTCTCCATGCTCTTGACGGACACCTTCAATGATCCACGACCTGACGACACTTCTCTCTCTGCGTAGAATCCTGGCGAACGGCTATAATTGTACTTCGCTAGAGATCTCCTGCACACTTGCCTCCTTTAATCTGCAAATTTATTAATAAATCGCAATATCTGGGATTCGAACCCCAAACCTCTTGGTGTAGAAGCATTAATTAACCATTAGTCAACCAATGGGCCAAGAGCGCTTCCACGATATATCCTTTATAATAAATATGACTTTTTTTTTTTTTTGGTCAAAATCTGATTAGTTATTTTAATAAACACATTCACTCTGTCTTAAGCAAATAAATTCAATCTGTATTCATACTTGTTTTTTTTTTTTTAGCGACGAAGGAAATCTGTAGAACTGAATTACGAATTGTTTATTAGTATTACATTTTGATACTAATCGAGATCATTGATGATTATTTCTTGATCGTTTTAATAAATCGGCTACATTGTTTAATTTTCAAAACCAAAGGTGCATGCATAGCTTGTCTACGCTTTGATCATTGCTTAAAAGATACGTTTTTTTGTTTTGTTAATCTGTGTTTGGATTCAGATGGAGGAGATTGTTTTGGAACCAAAGGATGCAGTTGATTGGTCATATAGAGGCGAAGGAGCTGTTAATTTGGTTCTCGCTTACACTGGATCTTCTCCCACTTTCGTTAGTCTCCTCTTTCAATCTGTTTCTCTAACCCAAATTTGATCGTTTTTGGGATTAGGAAGAAGTAGTTAACATTGAGATTGATATATTGTTTGTTTCTCTCTTTTTTGGTGTGTTTATGTGTGAAGTTGGGAAAGATGATGAGGATACAGAAAATGCCAAAGGATGGGAATGAAAATGGAGACAAAAGTGAAAACGGTCTTACTACTCATGAAAAGCTTATTTGGGCAGACATTAAGGATCTTGTATCTTGCAAGAACAAGGAGATTGAAGAGTATTTGTTTGTCAAACATGTCATGAGACCTTTGTTGGGTCGTAAACATGTCAATCCTGGAGTATGTTTCCTCTTCATTTTCTTTTCTTGTCACATGATTCTAACACAATGGACATAAACGGATGTTTTTAAGGGATTTGAGTCTTGATGACTTGGGAATTTATTTCTGTTGTTGCAACTTTGCAGATACGTCTTCTTGTAGCAAAGGAATTTCTTGAATCTGTTGAGAAAATTATAACATCTCAGCGTCCTTCTTGGCGAGCTGATGCAGCTAGTGTGGATACTAACCGCAGTTCCGTGCTTCTCATGGATGATTTGACGCTTTTCGCCCACGGTAAGTCTATTTTGTATATTCAACTATTGATGAGTCTTTTTCTTTCATTGTTCTAACTTGCAAGTAAAGTTTGATGTGAGCTTGTAGGTTGTCTCTTGGTTTAAGTAAATTTGATATGATGGATTTAAGCTATGGTTTTTGCCTTTTTGGTTTATATAACATGTCGCGCGTTAATGATCTCCTCTGCTTTCAGGTCATGTTGAGGATAAACCATGCTTAAGTGTTGAAATAAAGGTGTTCATCATCATCATCATTATCTTGTGTTTACTTACTTACTTTTAGGCTAGCCATTGAATGCTTTTAGTGGCTGATATATGTTTGCTCTGATGAAGTAGCCCAAATGTGGATTTCTTCCATCTTCAAGTTTCATAGCAGAAGAAAATGTTATTAAGAAGAGTATTACTCGTTTCCAAATGCACCAAATTCTCAAGCTTAAGGAAAACGAGGTACTTCATTTACACATCTCCTCAGATTCACAATCCAATCTTTGAACCTAACTCGTGAAAGTTATGTATTGCAGATCTCAGAAATCAGTGAATATGATCCTTTAGACCTTTTCTCTGGATCCAAAGATAGAATACTCAAAGCAATAAAAGCGCTCTACGCGACTCCTCAGAACAATTTCCGTGTGTTCCTGAATGGTTCTCTGGTATTTGGAGGCTTAGGTGGTGGCATATGCAAAACAACCTCAAAGGTTGAACTAGCTTTTGAGCATATACTCAAAGATATCATCAAGACCTATGATGGTTTACGTGCAGATCGTTTCATAGAGCTTGTAGCAGAAACTGTTTACACATCTGGAGTTCTAGATCAGCTTCTAGACGTCCAAAAGCTCGATAAATATAACATCGAGGGAGCGATTCACGTATACTATGACTTCATTGACCAGCCATGTAAAGTGTGCAGAGAGTTGAATCAATATAGCTCCATGCATTCAATTCCACTGGATGAAAAAGTGAATATTTTGAAGGATTTTCTAATATCTGCCACTGCAAAGGATTGTAGTGTAATGATAAGTTTTAGATCAACAGAAGTTGGGCTCTCAAGATCCTCTTCTCACAGTAATCTTCATCTTGAATCAACAAAGCAAGAATTTGAGTACAAGGTACATCTTTCTTTAACTTGTAGATACTAAAATCTTTGCTTTTATTGAATTGTTTCTCTCATAATCTTTGCAGGTACATTTCATTGATCTTGATATGAGACCTTTGAAGAAAATGGAAGTCTATTACGAATTAGACAAGAAGATCATGAACACATACCTGGAGATGCTGAAGAAGAAAGGAGATCAACCTCGATGTTTCTAGAACTACAAACATGAGAAGCAGATTTCATATCTCATTCCAAAAATTCCTGAATTGGTAGTTAGTATTTTATGTTTCACTTCACCTAACAGATTCCTACTGTTTTCACTTGTATCAATTCATCAGACTCCCTTTACTTGCTCTGGTTTTCAACAGAATAAAACTACATGACATGCAAAATATCTCATTACTTGCTCACAATTTAAGAATCTGGAGAAATAGTGAAGAGCTTGGTCGTCACCAGGATTCATCAATCTATGTAAGGTTGTTTTGCATTAGTTTAGATGTGTTCTCTATCTGAAAGAACCATGAAGTAGCTGGAAACTTCAGAAACTCTGATTAGAGAAAACAGAGCAAAATGTGCTTTAAGACATTGTCTCTGTATTGGTCTCTGGATTTGGTCCAAGAGGACAAAACCAAACACGATTAAACTAAAAGGACAACTAAAACCAAGAAGAATATCTCTCATCATTCCCCTATTAATTAAAGTACACATATGGTAGTATGTTAACTTAATTGTATTCAAGAACAGTAGACACTTGCAAATTACACAAAAACATATCCACTTAACAGTTCAGACGCACAAAATAACTTAGTCGAGACCATTAATAATAGTTATCCAGCTGATCCACATATTTAAATGTGGATCATTACTTAATAAGACGACGAGCGGAGGCCCCGTTTTTTGTATGCCTGGTACCACCTAGGATTAGATAATCGCCATAGTCTATGAACACCTAAACGACGCTTAAGCTTCTTAGAACGCTGCTCATTACTCAGAGCTTTTCCTCCACCAGGGAGATAATGCATAGATTCCTCCTCAGTATTCATAGCTTTTTCTCCACTCCAATAATCACCCCGGAGTCTCAAGAGTCCCGTAGTCATATTGATAATTCTTCTAACAATAGCTTTGCGATCAACCGGCTCACCAATCCGAGCCTTTTCCAAGTCCTTATAAGTTATGTAGACAAATGTAGTTTTGGTGTTGAGACTCGCATTCGGCGGCTCCACATCTTCAATCGCCACTTGCACAATCTCCAACTGGGACAGATAGTGCTGCAGAAACAAAACCACAGTTACTACTAATAGTGAGTGCCAATATCATTTTGATATGCAAACAAATGAAAGAGAGAGAAAAAAACCATTACAACTGTAAGAGACCTATCGTGAGCAACAAGTGTAAGTTCCAAATATAGACGAATCCAATCATTGTCTCGTAACTCTGATTCCTTCACCTGCAAGGTTTGTTAATAAAACATAGTATATCACTACTAGGCAAAAGCAAAAACCACAAGTGAAAACAACAACAAAAAAAAAGAAACCACAAGTGAGTGAGTGTCTTTAGTTATTACCAGCTGAAACCGTTTTCTATCATTGAAGGCAATCTCTAAAGGCCAATCAGGCAATTCATCATTGTCCATATAATCATACTCTGATTCGCTATGGGGACGTAGGAAAGGCACATTGGTGGTCACTATGCAACATTAACCAGCAAGTGTTATATGTAGTGGAAAACTACCACAAGTCAAGTGACTCAAGTAAAGTTGCATCTTTACCTCGAGGTCTAGCAATGGTGCACCTCACGTCTAAACTGCCAAGACGGTGTTCATGAACTAGAACCTGAAAGGTTTGCTGCAAACCGCTATCTGGAACGCGTGCAGCCAAAGTAATGTAGTAAGAGGAAGCACCGCAATTAATTCTCATGTTGAAACTCTTTAGGGTATCGAGCTGCAAATTTTTCCCCTGACAGATGGATAAAGAAATTGAGAATGTAATTTGGTATCATAATAATTAAAAGTTACAGCATATCGATTAAAAAAGCTCTTTTCTTTTTGTTTACCTCCAACAAATTGTAACGGTGAAGCCCCACCATAGCATAAAATTTGACCAAGGAACCATAAGGATACTTTGCATACTTGCCTTCACAGTCGAAGTGAAGAAGCCTATGGAGATTGTATGATATTGGAATACCGTCGGGATAATCGAAACCCTGAGACCCATTAGAGAAAATAATCAATCAATTAATCAATACCTTTAACATTGTAAGAAAGGAACACTAGTCATTTACAAAGAACACTAGCTAAACAATAAGAAGATGAAAGAATTACATCAGATTCATTCCTCTGCGGACGACTTATCTGCTTTGTATATCCGAACCGACGACTCATCTTTTTTCTCCTCCTCGTCAAGTTTGAAATTTAGCGGCGGATGATTTAGGTTTGCTTGGCGAAGAAGGATTCATTCATGGGCTTCCGTTGGGCCTTCTCAACTTCAAATCTCATCAACAAAAAAGGAGGGAAAAACGAACCCATTACATACATAATTATCGAATCTTGGTGGTGTCTTCAAAAAACTCTCTTTACTATGGCTTGTTAAGTAAAATCGTCTTGTGATGTGAGTTGTTGTTACTTGAATCGTTTTTGGTTAATGGGTCTTATTCTGAAATTTCTGTGGAGATTAGTTAAGATTTTAATGTGAGAAATTATCAAAAATCAGAATTGTGCAGATCCTTCCTGTGGATTATGCCATTGCTAAAAATAGTTAGACACTTCAAGAATGTCTGATAATTATTGTCTCCATAGTCTCTCCTTGACTTTCTCACAGAAAAAAAAAACATTTTGGAAAACAGAAAACTACCCTTTTGAAGAACTCTTCATGGAAAGTGATGGCCGGTCAAGACCAGCTCAAACACATTTGTCCAAACACGACTAAACTAAACAATAGTGTTTATATGTTGGGATTAATTAAGGAGTAGAATGGGAAATAAAAAAGACAACTAAAAACGTCTAAAACCAAGAAGAATGTGTTAATTGTTTGTATTCAAAAACAGTAGATACTTATAAATTAAGTTAAGTTAATTGTTTGTATTCAAAAACAGTAGATACTTATAAATTACACAAAATAACTTAGTCGACCATTAATCATAGTTTAGCAGCTGATCCACATCATTACTTAATCAGCCGATCTCAATAAATGGCTAGTCATTACGCAGGCGACGAACGGAGGCCACGGGATTTGTATACCTGGTACCACCTAGGATTAGACAATCGCCAAAGTCTATGAACACCTAAACGACGCTTAAGCATTTTAGAACGCTGCTCATTATTCAGAGCTTTTCCTCCACCAGGGAGATGCATAGATTCCTCCTCCTCAGTATTCATAGCTTTTTCTCCACTCCAATAATCACCCCGGAGTCTCAAGATTCCCGTACTCATATTGATGATTCTTCTAACAATAGCTTTGCGATCAACCGGCTCACCAATCCGAGCCTTTGCCAAGTCCTTATAAGTTATGTAGACAAATGTAGTTTTGGTGTTGAGACTCGCATTCGGCGGCTCCACATCTTCAATCACCACTTGCACAATCTCCAACTTGGACAGATAGTGCTGCAGAAACAAAACCATATCGTGTTAATTAAGTTATTACCAATTGTGGCACACTATCATATTGAAATGCAAACAAATGGAAGAGAGAAAAAACCCTTACAACTGTAAGAGACCTATCGTGAGCAACAAGTGTAAGTTCCAAATATAGACGAATCCAATCATTGTCTCGTAACTCTGATTCCTTCACCTGCAAGGTTTGTCAATAATAAAAAAAAAGGTTTGTCAATAAAAACATGAATCACTACGCAAAATCAAAACCACATGTGTCTTTATTGGTTCAAGCATTTCAAATGATTAATATATCCATATGAGATTATGAATAACATAGGATTAAGTATTTATAGATTATAGAACATTTGATAAGGTTTTTGAAATTAATGATTCAATAACACATAGTTTGCTTGTCCAAATGTATTAAAATTCATTAACAAACCTCCTAATCAATAATAATAATCTTACCAGGTGAAACCGTTTTCTATCATTGAAAGCAATCTCTGAAGGCCAATTAGGCAATTCATCATTGTCCATATAATCATAGGCTAATTCGCTATGCCGACCTAGGAAAGGCTCGCTGGTGGTCACTATGCAACATTAACCCGCAAGTATAATTAGATGTAGTGGAAAACTGCCACAAGTAAAAGTGACTGATCAACTAAAGTCACATGTTTAATTACCTCGAGGTCTCGCAACGGTGCACGTCACGTCTAAACTGCCAAGACGCTCTTCGTGAACTAGAACCTGAAAGATTTGCTGCAAACCGCTATCTGGAACGCGTGCAGCCAAAGTTATGTAGTAAGAGGAAGCACCGCAATTAATTCTCATGTTGAAACTCTTTAGGGTATCGAGCTGCAAGTTTTTCCCCTGACAGATGGATAAAGAATTTGAGAATGTAAATTGGTACCATAATAATAGTTACACTTACACCATATCGATTAAAAAAGCACTTTTTTGAATTACCTCCAACAAATTGTAACGATGAAGCCCCACCATTGCATAAAACTTGACCAAGGAACCATAAGGATACTTAGGATACTTACCTTCACACTCGAAGTGACGAAATCTCTGGAGAGTGTTCCAGTTGGGATAATCGAAACCCTAAGACCCATTAGAGAAAATAATCACTCAATCAATCAGTAACCTTACACATTGTGACAAAGGAACATTAGTCATTTACAACGAACACAATCTAAACAATAGGAAGATGAAAGAATTACATCAGATACATTCCTCGTCAAGTTTGAAATTTAGCGGCGGGTGATTTTGATCGATTTAGGTTTGCTTGGTGAAGAAGGATTCATTCCTGGGCTTCAGTTGGGCCTTCTCAACTTCAAATCTCATATAGGGAGAAAAAAACGAACCCATTATCTTCAAGGAAAAAATAATGGTTCAATAAGTTTTAAATTTTTATAAGATCATTTATATACAATTTTATTTTAATTAATGTATTTATTATTAATTTTAGAATTTTAGCTATTTTGGACGAATCTAGATCATAGTCGGAACATTTTTTGGTTTATGGATCTTATTTTTAAATCTGTATGAAGATTAGTTAAGATTTTGATATGAGAAACGATTAAAAAATCACAATTTTGCAGATCCTTCCTTTAGATTATTACTTACTAAAAATATAGAGACACTTCAAGAATGTCTGATAATCATCTTGGTGGCGTAATCTCTCCTTGACTTTTTCTCAGAAAATTGTCTTTTCAAATTGTCTTTGTGAGAATGTGAAGCCTAATTCCTATATCAATGACACATGTTCATAATTTTCAAAAATATTTAAACTTTTTTTTTTTTTTATATGTTTTGTTTAGACATCTGAGTTTTTTAAAATATCTTCATGAAAAAAGTGATGGTTGGTTTTATTCGAGATCAGCTCAAACACATTATTTGTTGGGCATATGTTTCTTCTTATCTAACGAGTGCTATAATGGTTATCCGTCATTGGGAAGCTAGATACATTCCACTTTTTGCTGAGCAGCCATGTTGATCTAGACATGTTTGACAAGGATGAAGATGTCGTAAAGGGACATGTGTGCTACGGTACTACACTTCATGAAGCCTTAAAACACATTGAAAGAGAATGCATTTCGGAAGAACTCCCACGGTATCGTCAGTTTAATTATTGTCATCATCCTCAAGAGTGTTAATGAGCGAACGCACAAAATAAAGTTTGTTCTAAAGTTTTAATACTTTGTACAAGGCTTTAGTGCACCTTCACATTCAGCCTATTGGTGTGGCTTTGGTTGTTTTCTCAGAGTTGTGGCGTCTTGGAGATGTAAGATTAATTCAATTCTTACTTTCTTTGCCTTATCTTCAACATATTTAAGTTGTTTTGTGCAGCACATATACGGAATTCCGCACATATACTATAGCCCCCTATCAGAGAATACTCAGTTCACGGGGTATCATGACGTAGTGATTATTAAGGTAGAAATGTTAAGGGCGAACATGTGGCGTTGTACAAACTGAGAAACGGCCCAGAAGTTGGTGATGGTGGGTGCGTTAGGGTTTCCCTCGAAGTAATGTACATGGTAGTTGGTGCTCAGAGTAAGGATGTCGATATGGTTTGGCCCACCCCAACACCAAGACATCTTCTTTCGGATGTGTGTTTCGTTTAACTCTGTCTTCATCTTTCCTCGGTGTAGGTTTTTTTGGCTGAGACCCGTATCATAATCATTTTTGGCAAAATTCTAATGAGATCAAACTCGATATAAAGTTTGAAAGAAAATTGCTTGCTGTTTGAATTTAGGGACAATTGGTTAGAAAATCTTTAGATAATTCTGTTTTGGCTAAAAAATAAATAACTTTGAGAAAACTAATAATTTTGGGGTGTGAGATTACAGGAATAGCCCTGCTCAAAAAAAGTATAGTATACGGTTGAGCTTTTTGAAAATCCAAAATAAATAACTTGAGAAAACTAATAATTTTTTCTATTGTTGGTATAAATTGGTCGCTTTAAAAGGTTATTTTACCACATTTAAAAAAAAAAAACTACGAACTGTTGGAACAAGTATAAAGACAAAAAATTTGATGGTGGACTCAAATTCTCATATATGACGAGTGACAACAAACCCTATATATTTTACAAACATAAAAGAGTCTTATATATCAACCACATTACATGTTTTATTGTTTTCCACCCAAATTTACACATCTCTTATTCCTTTTAAGTAAACAAAAACATCAATGAGGAAGATGATGCTCTCTAATAGAGAAAAAATCAGCTTACATCTCCAAACACTTTCTGAGAGTCCCTATAGGTAACATCATCTGCCTTGTGCTTCTTTCTCTTTGTTTTGTTTGCCTCCTAACTTGTCAAGTGTGTTCTCGTGGACGAGCTGCCCAGAGAGAACTAAGAGCGCGCAGCCTGTGGAAGTATTCTCCTAGAGCGAGCAAGCCTCGAGCAGCCTGTCTTGTCGTCAATATCTTACTCATTTGCTGCAGAGTCTGCTGTCTCAGATGATCCGCCTGTTCCAATAGAGTCAGAGATTCTGTTTGTGAAATCAATGCTCACAAGTTTCTAATCAAAGCAAATACACCTAGCTATAATGACGATAAGAAGAAAGAGTATATATGAGTGCGTTACCTGGTTCACAAAACTCTCCAATGCTTGAAGATTCTCCATGGCCGAAACCATTTGAACCCCGTGATTCGCAGACTCGATAACTTCTATCTGAAATGCTATGCTTTCGACCAAACCCTGCTGAAGTTTATCTAAGCCTTGAGAGAGAGCCTCCTCTGCTTGCTGAGACGATTGTTGGAGGTTACGCACCGCCAAGAGTTGCTGATCGGTTAAGGGCTCAACGTATGGCATCACAACCTAGACAACAATAAAATGGTTGAGCATTTTTTCTCAAGAGTAAAAAGACTAACGTGTAAAAGTAAAAAAAAAAAAGGTTTACATTTAAAAGCTCGGATGGGCGGAAACCTCCAATCCATTGGAAGAAGCGTTCAGTTGAAGTTCGCCACATTCCCGACATCAAGAAGAACACATCAGCCTTTGCAGCATCAGCTTTCATGCGGAAGAGATTTGCGTAGTGGTTCAAGCAAGTATCTACCAGCATTTTGAGCTCAATGTCACCTATATGAGCTTGGAGCGCTGTTCGAATCTCACTAACTCTCCTGTTTTGCTCTTCTAGCCAGTGTGTGTATTCCATCTCAAATGCAGCAATACCTGCAAAAAATTATCATTAAGAAAATTACTTATTTATCTACTGAGGAGTAAGAGATTAAGAGATAAAGCAATGCTAATATATGCTTATTTAGTGATACAAACACCAACCTGAGTTCATGTTCCCAGCTGGTCCTATATAACTAGTATCTGAAGAATTGCGTACGCATAATCCCTAAAACAAGCCAAAAGAATCACTGAGTCAATATGAATCAGATAAAGTTTGATGAACACACAACAAAGAAACAAGCTTGTGCTAACCTGTTGCCTAGCTCTAACAAGTTCCTGCTCGAGCTGTGACAACTTTAACCGACTTTCTTCTAACTGTTGCACATGAGCCTACAGGCACAGTCATAACTTTGCATAAGCTTTCCTTTTTATCATTACCACAAGAGAAAATCCCACCAAGGGACCTTTCTTTCTTACCTTCTTTCTCAAACGACTTTTGCGAGCAGCTTCTCGGTTCTGAGCCAAACGCCGTTTCATCTGTGCATACAGAAGGAACAACAATTCATGTCATCACGCCGTGTCTCTTCCTCTAAAGATTAAAATGAAGAAGGAGAAGTTTATGAAGTCTTCGAAACAAAAGGTATAAAGTAGCCTTAAAATGCTAAAGTCTACCTTATCATTGATCCGGTCTTCGTCCTGATCATTATTACTAGAAGGTTCTGCTTCAACAGAGTTATTATTATACACAGAAGTATAATTCGCCTGCACATAATTGACCATCAATTACCAAACAAACAACACTTATAAATCTAAAGCATGAATAAGGAAATAAAGAATATCTCACTCTATTGTTATCATCTGCTTCTGGTCTAGCATCCACCTCAAGAGTTGTTGAAGAACTCTGATTGTTATTCTGATTACTACTAAGATTATTGTTGATATCTGATTTGAAAGGATTCTCCCAACCAGATAACTGTTGAAATGGTTCATACATCCCCATGTCTCTCAATGATACAACTTGAGTAGTAGAAGAAGAAGAGCTCATCATCTGTAAATCAACAATTACAGACTCAAGCTTATTGAATTCAAGAAACAGATTCTCTAGCTCAGCTTTCAATAGATATAGATCCAATCGACATCCTTAAAATTACACTACTCACTAACATAACCATAAACAGTTTTAGCTATAAAGGTTGAAACTTTATACAACCCAACACTCCAAAAACGAGACTTTTGAAGAAACATAGCCAAATAGAGCTATACCCATGAAACTAGAAAGTTGCAACATTTAAAAACTAAAATTGGAAATTTTATAGATTTCACAAAGCAAAAGAAAACATCAGAAACAGAAACCAACCTCCATTGACAAGCAGAGAAGAAATTCATCACAAGCTCGAGAGATGAAGAATGAATCTTCGCATTCTAAAGGAATATTCCGATCAAACGGTGATCACAAGAGAGAAGAGAAATGAAGAAAACTTTGGTCAAAACTTAGAGGTGAAGCGTATCCATCATTGAAAAAAGCAGAGATATTTATTTTTTTTCTAATATATTTTTTTGTGTTGTTTGCTTTTTTCTTCGTTGCTTTGATTAGTCCATGAGCGTAGAATAATAAGCAAGTTGAAGTAAACGAACGATGAAACGACAAAAGCATCATCACCGTGAGAAAACAAATCGAGAGATGATAAAGTTGAAGTCTTTCCCTCTATGCCAAAAGTTGACCTTATCATGCGCATTTTTATCTAAAATACGCGTGTGTTGATGACCTGGATTCTAATCGTCGGCCGACACGTCAGATGCTTGAGAGGAATATTCCGGACGCCTGCTCAGTCTGATTTACTTTATATTTTAACATAGAGAATCTGAATCTCATATATATGTGATTTGTTTTTTTTTTTTTTTTACATCATATATGTGATTTTTTATGATTTGAAAAACATATAAAATTATTTATCAAAACTTATAGTCGATTTATGATTCACATTAAATAATTAATATATAGTATCTCTTATTTTAAAAATAAAATAATATGTAAACAGACCGAAATCAGATAAATGTTGTATCTTGTTCGCAAAAATGTGAAATTATTTTGATTGACCAAACGAAAAGAAAAAGTTTCAAAATTTGATCTGAAAGTTAGATAGTTGACACTTTTGTTCTAAAAATCGGCTGTCTACGCGCTGATCAGAGGGGAACCGCAGCGATTTTGTCCAAATCGGTAAGAAAAATCGCTGATCCGATTATTTTTCCGCTTAGACCGCCTAGATGGCGCCTAGCCCAATTTTTTTTTTTTTTTTTTGATCTAAAATTTAAAAAGTCCACTTATATTCGTAATATGTATAAAACTCATAAATTTGAGCTTAAAATCTGGTTTTCATGTGTTTAATGCAATTTTAAAAATAATATTATTTAAATTTTTTAATTATAATAGATTAATATGTTTTTAAAACATTAAATAGCTCTAAAACTAATTCCCGATTAATTCCGGTTTAATCTCCGATTTTCTTGTTAGACGCTAGGCCCACCCTCACCATCCGACTATCGCCTAGCTATTTTTGAACACGGGTTGACACCATGCCTTTGAGTTTTTTTACCATGATATCACTACCGTTTGGTTAAGTATATGTTACATTAATAACGATTTTAATATAGTTGATATTATCTCTATTTTAATTTAGTTGTCGTTTAAGAAATTTTTACGTATACAAGAAAATTAATTTTTTTGTTGTATTCCTATTTAATGTATTGTTTTATTTGATATATCAATTAATAAGTTAAAAGAATATAGAAAAATTTAGAAAAATTTATCAAAAATTTGCATTAAAAAATAAAAAACAACTAATTTGAAACAAAATTTAACTTTTAAAACAATAATTAATTTGAAACGGAAAGAGTAGTTTATTTGTAGAAATATTTAAAATAATTGTTAATTATTTTTTATTCGGGAATTATATTACTTTTCCTAGAAATTAGGTCGCATTTTGTGGAACAAGAGTGCAAGATTAATACTTTAATCAAATTATTCTCTTTATTTGGAGGGTCTCAGTGCTATGCAGTGGCATCTTTTAACTTAACCCCTCCTTGGCTTAGTGAGTAATAATTGGGCCTTTAGTGACCTACCCAATTGGCCAATTCTAAGAAAATGATTATTTTTGTTATTTCGTTTTGTGCCTAATACAATATTGATTCTTTAGTTAGCTTGGTGCCACTTGTCTAATAAAATCTGCGTTTCGACAGAGACAAATACGTAAAATAAGTGGGGCTTTTGGTTTGGCTTTTATAAAGATTTCATATATATCATATTCTTTTTCAATCCTTATAATACGATTAAAAACGTATTGATCAATGACATGCAAAAAGGAAAAATACCGAAACTAAATGAATCTGTTTCTTCTAGAATTATGATTTCCTTAAATCTACTAAGCGGTTTTTGACATGACGTTTCCTTACATGTTAAAGTTAAAATACAACATATTTCAAATTTTGATCAGTGTGCAGTGTGCACTAACTAACAAAAGAAAGAAAATCAATGTTTTCATAGATAACCAAACACAACGGAGCAGAAAGGCCTAAAGAGGAAAGTTGGGCTTAGCTCGTAAAACCCATAAGATTTGTTGAATATTCTCACATGGCAAGTGCACGTGAGAAAAGCAAGCTAAGTCTCTCTGTGATCGCTTTTTAGGCTCCTCGTCACCACTATGCACAAGTTTCGTTCGTGTATGGTGACATATTATTGTCGTTAACCCTAATAATTTTGGTGTTTTCTTTATTTATTTTGTTATAAAACATCTATAGATTTCGGACCGAGACTAAAATATGGGTAAATTTACCACTGAAAAAGTGTACATTGACGTTGTAATAAAGATAACTTAATATAATTCTGCTAGTAATTCACCATCATTATTTGCTAAATCCCTCCAGAAATCATTGATCCGACAAAATTTTCTGATGGAATTTTCCATGAAATTTTGTGTTCAAGAACTAAGACTTAAGGATAGTTTATGCATAAAAGTGTTTTGTGTTGATGTAAAAACATAGAATAAGATGAAAAATCCTATTAGAAAATCGATTTTTGTAGCATATTCAGCATTCGAAATGCTGGTATACGAATAATTTGTATATTTTGGCAATCGACCACTATTACGGGTGTAAAAGCACTACACCAACAAGAATAGAATTTATTGTTCAAATATTTTTTTAGACGATCTATTATCCACTTGATAAGAAAGTTCAAGTATGTACTTAATATTCTGTTTTAATGATTTATTTTTTGGCAAAAATAATTAAAAACTGGTTGAAATTCTTTAAACGATCATTTCTCAGCCGAACAATTAGTTTCTATTAGTCGTTTATTATCTTAAGTAATTTGACCAATCCGATATTTTCCAATAATATAATTTGTTCATTACATTTGGCTATTCCAGTTTGCATCAAATTCTGATGTTACCCATATAGATAGATTAGATACTATAGTTATCTATACTTAAATCAGATAACTACGTGACCCTCTGGATTTGCCACGGGAAAGAGAGATGCTGGTCTGCTAATAAATTAGCATATATTGTAACTCCGACCCTTCATTTCCTTGTTTATATACGTATTGGTCCTAATTAAACTTATTATGCTTAAAAATTAAACTAATACGTTAGATTTTATTTTTCTCTTATCCTTTGGGCTTTGGCTAACTTGACATACTTACGTCTGGAAATTTTTGTTTTGAAGTTTTGAAAAAAGAGAAAATTACATGATTTAGCTTGTTTGGAATAGTTAAGAAAATCTACTCAATTAATTTGGAAGAATTTTCAAAATTTTCCTTTAAAAATGGTACTTGACTATGTGAGTAAAATATTTTGTTGTTTTAGCATTAAAATCCAGGAACGAGCTGCAGGGTTTAAGAAACTCTTTATAGCTTTATAAAATCTCCACTCTAAATACTTGTTCAAAACCACACAATAATAAAAAAAAGAATCATAAATAAAATCACACGATAAACACTATAGTATTAAACATAAATTGCAAACAAGTAAGTACTAACAATTTAAAAAAAAAAAAAAAAAAAAAAAAAAAAGTACTAACACAAAATGACAAAAGATAGTTCCAACGTTTTATTCGTTATATTAATTTGTTTAATTTTTTGACGTGACCATCATAGCTTATATATTATTCCGTGATCATAAGATCAAAAACTTTAGCAGAGTTTTTCTTGGTGCTTAGCTTTCCAAAGAACCACCGGCCGGATCCTCCACCGTTCTCTTCGATTCCACCGGCGGTACTTGTGGCCGCGGTTGCCATCATACTCTTCATGTTCTCTCTATGAAACTTCCTCACCGTGTAAGCCTCCGCCATAGCCATCCCTCCTAGTCCCGATCCGTCTAGCGACATATTCGAAAAGTTCACAGTAGAAAAATATAATGGTAATTAAGAAAAGAGATGCAAATAGAGACAAAGAGGTGATAAAATGTAAAAAGAATTTGGTGAAAGCTGAGTGTGGTTTGGAATTTAAGAGGGAGGGGTTCGGATGAATATATAGATAAATTTGTGGGTCCATTTTAGTTGAATTTATTTCCTCTGTTTCCCACTTCTTATTATACGTGCATTGTTTTGACAGCTATTATACGTAGTTACGTACACAAATAGTGGGAATCTAAAATCCCTAGTATTGATAATGTTATTGTTGCTTTAGTTTCAAGTGTTTCTATCGTCAGAGAGAATGGAAAAACAGTTTGGTTTACTCTATTATTGAAGCGTAAGAGGTTACATCGTCCTTTGTTGAGTGGTTGGCGATGATGAATTCATCAAAACAAATTTTAGAGTCGGAGACTTTAAATCGTACATTGTTTTCTTTTAAAGGTAAGATTACTATTTATATAAAGTGGACCATATAACTAAGTACTATATTTCCCCTTATCTTTTGTCGGCAGAACTATAGGTAATCATTTATAAACTATCGAAATATATTTTCTTTCATGAATGCGATGGCGTAACAAAAATTATACACATTTAGTGACCTAGTGCACATTGCGCCATACTCTCTTCGACTGTTGATCGGACAGCAAAACTACCATGCTAGCTATCGCAAGCAAATAATGTGTGATGATCAGAATTCTTCAATGCATATTCAAAACAATACTTGAAAAGTAATTATTAATAAATTAATAAATCAATCAATATTTTAGATTATTGCTTGTTAAACCTAAACGATTATTCCTCAAATTTGAGTGATGATTCCTGATCATTCAGCTACAATATCATATTCGTATAGTCATTACAAAGCAAATGGTGGCTTCTGTTTAATTGTTATCGACAGTAAAGAATTATCAGGCGACAAATACGACAATCTTTCATTAAAATAAAAACTTTTTTTTTGTTAAAATAAAAACTTAAAACGATAGTTGAAGATAAACAAAAATTAAAGAAAAAAATGGATTTGATGCAAATCCACGATAGATCCTGATATGATTACATCCACTTCTGTACTATATTATATATATAATGCAAAAAAAGTAAACGTATTTAGGTCAGTGTTTATAATTAATTAAACGTCACAAAGACGAAAACATTAAGCATCGCACTCTTTTATGTTTTATATTATTTATCAGAACGTCTAATGAGCAATGAACATAGCCCTTGTCGTGGATACTGTTCGTAAACCATATAAAGTGGTACAGAGAAACACTAAACACTAGCAATTAATTAGTTAGATACGTTTTATTACTCTAATTAATTAGATACTTAGGTTGATTTGATTAATCCAAATATTTAATGAGTCGTATTAGAGGTGCAACTACTAGAAAGAAAACAAAAACCCAACAGTTCCTAGAGAATAAACAAATATTGATACTTCAACTGCTTCAATTTTACCAGCCAAAGAGAATGATTTGATTTGTTCCAACGTTATCGAATTTGAATTCAAAACCATTACCACTTTTTTTCTTAAAGATAGTCTTTAACCTATAAAAACTATAAATCAAAAGACTCGTATACCTTTTATTACAAGAAAAAAAAAAACAATTCGTATAAATTGGCTAATGGTATCTTTATTTAATTTTACTTTTTACTCGGATTGTATATTATCAGGTTGTGAAATTAACCAGCTACTTTTGTTTTACATAAGGTAAATTAAAATTATTTTGCTTTTAAGCTACTGTGTCGTTGTTGCACAATAGAATATATAACGTTATTTACTGTATGATCGTGAGAAATACGATGTTATGGTGTGTTTGTCAAATTGTAGTTAAACCGTTTATCAAAAGAAGAAAAGAAGAAACATCTAATAAATTAAAATTATTTAGTTTTATTATATACTTTATATATATATATATATATATATATATATATATATGCACTTTTTTTGGTCGGGTATATATATATATACTCACTGCCCATTGGGATGAGTGGGTCGGTATCAACAGAAACTACCAATAAAATTTATTAGATATTCTGGAAGAAAGTTATATATATCGATCGCCAATATATGCACATACTTTACGAGTACATTAGAAAATCAGCAAAAGAATAAATGATAATGCGCTTGTTCTTTTGATTCCTAAGGGTCCGAATGGTAACTGCGGTTTTTATTGTGCGGGGAAAGCGTTATTACAATACGGTACGGTTCAACTGCGGTACGTGCGGGAGAAATATATTTACGGGACAAGTGCGGTTTGTATAAAATAAGCGGTACAGAATAATGTTTGATTGGTGAAAAAACTAATTGCGGTGCGGATTATAGATTATATATATATATATATATTAATAATTAATTAATTTAATTTTATGTTAATAAATAAATAATAACAGATATTTATAAACGACTAATACGATCAAAATATAAATTTAATTTTGTATGAAATAGTTTATCAGTTTGTATGAAATAATATATTTTTAACTTATATTATATGCATATATTGACTATGTTGTAATGTAATTTAAATTTAAAACTTAACTCTTCAAGATGGAGAGATAGTGATCTACATTTTTTAAAGTAAACTGTCAATAAGTGTGTAATATATCCATATGTACAATAAATTTCTTAAAACTATAATATTAAAATATTATCCAGTGCGTTATTTATTGAAACCGCTGGTTATTACCCGTTTTGTGAATTTGAAGTGCGGTCCAAAATTTTGTTGGGTAATTTGATGCTTGAAATCCGTGCGCGTTTTGTTTGGTTTTTAGTCATAAAACCGCAAAATCTAAAATTTTTATGATTGGTGAACTAAAAGTGATTTTGCCAAAACCACTTAAAATTCCTCACTGAGGGTCCGAATGGTAACAGCGTATTTGATTGTGCGGAAAAAGCGGTTTTATAGTGGGGTACGGTTCAACTGCGGTACGTGCGAGAGAATTGTATTTGCGGGACAAGTGCGGTTTTTATAAAATAAGCGGTACAAACTAATGTTTGATTGGTGAAAAATACTATTTGCGGTACACAATAAAATATGTTAATAATAAAAAAGAAAAAATACGTGTTATATGTTCATAAAAAAATTATAATCTTATAAATATAGAATATATATATATATATATATATTATATCTATTGTAATATTATTTATATGAATTAATTAGTAAATTTTATTTTGTAAATGTTATTAAAATAATTTTAAAAATAACTAAGTTGATTTTGTACTATATGTACTAAGTATATTTATCTATATATAAATGAAATACATAACCTATTACGATAATAAAATTTTGAATTAAGAAATTATAGATTAACAAATATGAATCATGACCCGCTTTGTATCATTAAGAACAAAATCACTCCAAAATATAGATTAAAAAACATATATCTAATGGATGGGATGAGATTCTACAAAAAAATGTGATTATAATATATTAGCTATAAACATATTTTTGCATTAAAAAAAATTATAAGCATATTTTAATTAAACTATTAATACATGAGGAAAATTTTTTTCTACTTTTGTATATGTGATTTTTGGAAAGATAAATGTAATCTATATATAGCAAATTTAGTAAATTAAAAAATTAAATAAAAAAGAAAAACAAAAGTTATTATCCATTGGTCACTGCGGATTTGACCAAAACCGCTGGATAAAACATGATGGTATGAAGAATTGCGTTCTGTGTAATATACAACAGTCTCAAAATCCGCGATTTGTTGTTTTTTTTTTTTTGAAAAACGCAAACTGTTAACATAATTGTTGATTGACTGACAAAAAGCGTTTTTGATTATTTTCATCTCAATTCCGCTTTATACAAGTCACCAATCAAGGCCTAAATTCGAAGGATTTATTTATTTGACGTTTTTTTGGTCCCATACATGTACAGTACATGATGTACTACAAAACGTTATAAGAAAGCACTAAATATGGTTTAACATAGCAAACTATTGTTTGTCTTTAAAAAATAAAACTCTATTGACTATTGTTTTAAGAGTGTATTTTTATAATATTAACGGTATATACAAGATTAGTCAAATCATAAAACTGACTAATTTCATTCCCAACAAAGTCAACCACAATGTTATGGAGTATTTCTATTTTATTTTTGGTGAAAAAAAAAAGATTAATCCACTAAGCTGATTTCTCAATCTACAGTAGTGAAAATCAGAAACAATTTTGTAGTTTGGGCCTTGGCCCAAAACACCGGCCTCATCGACCTTGTAGTAATAAATAATGTGTAAGTCGGATCAACGCCACGTGCAACGATCGCAACACGTGATGAGGATGAGTGATCACGTGCTAAAGTGGAAAATAGCTTAGCTGTGACCGGGAGAAAAAGAGACCGCTCGAAACCCACGTGCCCCTTCCTGCCTCCATTATTTATATAGCTCGCTCGCCGTTTTGGGGCCACCTTTACACTTACTGTTACTATTATTTTATTTTATTTAACAAAATGTACTAATGTAGTAGTATCTCAGTGTATTTAAATCCGAATATAACATTAATTACGACACTAATCAATACTCCATATACAGATATGAGAATTCAATAGCTTACATTAGTAATTGTACAATTCCAACTATAAAAAACCACTGCCTGCTTTACTTACCTATTACAAAGATTTATGTGTTTAAACGAGTAGTAAAATTAATTATGAATCGGATTTTATCGATTTTTTTAACATAAATCTTTATTTTTTTATAATGTAGTGAACTTTTAAACTTCGTGACATTTGAAAAATTTCAGCAACATTTATATTTCTATATTAAAAATATACTATTATTAAATTAAGGCTTTGAAGGTCAAGAAATTCAAAGATTATTTTTAAAAGGTCATAAGTGTGGTTTTGTGCCTTGATTATTTTTAAAGATTTAACTTTAAGATGAGTGGAACTAGAATTTATGTTGGGCATTACTTTGATTTTCTTTTTATAAAAAAATATATTTTGATAACAGAAAAATTTGAACATAAAACAAAAAGAAATTAGAACCTTGAATAGTGAACGTGATTATAGTTTTCTGATGAGTCATGTTTTTCCTCATGGAATCGTACATGCTGAAGTAAATTCTTGCGATCTTTACCAATGACATCATTAATTAGTAC